GAACTCAAGAAAAAATGCTGCAAGTAAAATGCTGCCACAAGTTCGTTTACTAAAATACTATTAATCATGTTGTAAATACAATATAGGCAAATGTTTTAAAGTTGGTGTAAAACGTGCTTTCTGGGTGTGGCACCCCGAAAAATAGATGTTCATATTGAACTGTTACTTTTCTAGCATTACGTTAGTTTTGAGCTTTCCAATGAAACGTCACACGAAAAAATCGGCCCACGACAACTAATGATTAATTTCAACTTTTGAATTAAGGGTAGGACGCTCCTAATTCGTTTTGAGCAGTGTACGCAATTTCTGAACTATAGAACTGGCGCCATTTAAAACCACTTTTTAAAACTGTACAAAAGAAACAAGCAAATTTATTTGCTACAGGACATTTTATTCCTTCGGGAAAAAAAATCCAAATTCCGTGTATCTATTCGCGATATGGAGGATAATGGCATAATTTTATAGTGTAATATAACGTACTAACCATGGGAAATTTTAGTAAAAGAAATGCAACTATTTCACCAAATCTTAAAATTTACTGTTGTACACTGAGATTATTTAACACTTTGTAATCAAGTAGTTGTATTGGCGGGAAACAGAACATTCGATCTCTAATTGACAGGCCAAGGACTGGCCACGCCCACAGTGATTCTGAAATCGTATCGGTTGCATGAAATGTGGACTCTTGCGAAATCTGGACTCTTTTACCTTATATGGAGTTGTACCTTCACACGTGGCCGGTCGCTAGTCACACTGCCTCTTCCCAATTATGTAAATTAACTATGGCATGCGGAATACAACCAACGAGTCCCTATATTTCGTACAGTCCAGATGCGGTGAATATGTAATTTGGGCCCCAACGTCAAAGGTTTTACAGGCCAACGACGCGCTGGACGGTCTCCAACCTCGTCCCTATAGCATCAAGCAGTACGCTTCCACTAGCTGCTCTCTCGCGAATGTGTCGACGAGAACAAGGTTGAAAACGAAGTTAGCCCCTGCAACTCTAATCTGCCGTGGAAGATTTGCGTTAATAAATCCATTAAGGAAAGCAGTTTCTATGCTTTTCGCAAACCACTTCAAAACGAGTTTGACACAAAATCCGGGTTCGCACGTGATAGGCCTATAAGTGGTAAACATGTCATCTATCTTGGTACAAAGTACAATTCCCTTTATGTATTTCGGAAGTTAATTTGTCGAATCGAGGGGCCATGTACACTTGAGAAGAGACTGGACCACTGTCTTTCGGTTGCTGGAATCAGAGCGTTCGCGAATCGGAACGAAACCTGAGTGGGGCGGGTACTGATTTAAAAGGACCAAATCCAGGTTTTATTTACTCAAAGTAATGGCCGTCATTAACGGACTACTTTGGGTGTTTATTTATAAACGGTTTCTCTCGATCAAAATGAAACTTCATGTGTGGAGGACTCACTTTTTATCATCGATACTAAATGTTACATTATGTAAGAGAAGTAATCTCGTTTCGTTTTTACATTGTGTTTTATATCTCTGATTCTACGAAATTCCAAACTACCTATACACAGTTGCGTAAATCTGGGTCGGCGAGGGGGGGGGGGGGGTTGGTTGACCAGATGACCAAAAATCCCAGAAGTGTCTAGCCGTGTTAATTCTAAATGCGGAGAGGGGTTGGGGGGGGGGAGAGAAAACGACACCATATTACAATAGGGGGCGCTGTTCATGATTCAAATGTAGTAGCCTTACCTCAAAACGGTGCATTTTAAGCTTTCACGTTGTTTGTTCTTCTTTTTCGGCACTGTATAAATTTGGATTGTCGGAAATTTAAATACATCAATGGCCCACCCCCTGGTCAAAAAGTGTATGTGGAGGGGAAGGATATATCACACCCACCCCATCCCCACCCAGGATTTACGCCCATGCTAGTACCTATTATGCTTACCCGTTTGTCAAAGTGTAGCCTATACTAGGCAAGAAACGATATATTAAACGAAGACGCACAAAAAAACCTTTGTCTCCTTTAATACTGTACGTCTGGTTTGCTGTACCATTCTATAAACGGTTTATATCAGAATAAGGTTTTATAGCAGATTAAAGTGTGAGTGCCCCAATCTGAGTAATAGGGCCTATCGAGTGAGAAAACTCTCATATTTTCTTTCCCGAAATAATGCCAAACAATATCTCGAATCTTGATTTGCCCTCTGTATACCTGTTGAACCTCAGCCAACGACCCCCTTTAAAATTGGTGGACTTCAACAGCCCTGAAATGGCCACCCATTGAAAAAAAATGTCAAAAACGTCAACACCCCTCCCCAAAACTGGAGACCTGCTGCTGCTGCTGCTGCTGCTGCTGCTGCTGCTGCTGCTGCTGCTGCTGCTGCTGCTGCTGCTGCTGCTGCTGCTGCTGCTGCTGCTGCTGCTGCTGCTGCTGCTGCTGCTGCTGCTGCTGCTGACGACGACGACGACGACGACGACGACGACGACGACGACGACGACGACGACGACGACGACGACGACGACGACGACGACGACGACGACGACGACGACGACGACGACGACGACGACGACGACGACGACGACGACGACGACGACGACGACGACGACGACGACGACGACGACGACGACGACGACGACGACGACGACGACGACGACGACGACGACGACGACGACGACGACGACGACGACGACGACGACGACGACGACGACGACGACGACGACGACGACGACGACGACGACGACGACGACGACGACGACGACGACGACGACGACGACGACGACGACGACGACGACGACGACGACGACGACGACGACGACGACGACGACGACGACGACGACGACGACGACGACGACGACGTACATTATATGACAAGTATTTATCGCAGGTAACGCCCCTAATTCTTCTGAGATCTGATTGGTTTATATGTGCCTTGACGATGTCGACTCCTGTTATGTGATTGGCCTACTTTCCAGCACGCTCATGCAACGCAGAACGCGCAGTGCCCCTTTTCGTTCGCGAAATAAGTTGACCACTACGTCACCGGTGGTCGATATCGGACTCGAAATCCGCCGCGTGAGGGGGTTTTTAAATTTGAGACTGTGTTCACATTAATATACCCATGCATGGCAAGGGTCTATGATATGCGAACAGATTCGGCGATTAATTATGCAAAACAAGACTGCGTCTTGACCTCTGAGATTCTGACCATTCAGCGGGCGTCTTCTATCGGGTCTTCCGTTCACCCGTTGTTGTATTACAAAAACACGGCATCCAAATTGACCAATCCACAGCTTCCACATTTCTGATCGAAATGACGTCATATTCTCTAAGGACCATGCACTCTGATTGGCTGTGCGCGGCGGGGGGATCACATAAAATTTACATGCTACGATATATCAGACGAGCAACCGTGGCTATGCATGCCCACGTGAAATGTATGATCAATGTTCATACTACCCATTCCTGCCCTATCAATGGCTCCGTCATATCAAAAGAACACAGATGAAATATGGCTTTCGATTAAACTGGGAGGTTAATTTTCAATTGGTCGGTAATAACGCTGTAATGGGCTCACACTGAGCAGAAAAGTGTGTCACATTATTATGAAGGTCAAATTCTCCACTGTTTACTCTTTAACATGCAAAGTCCATTACCAGGTGTACACGTAAACATTGCTTTCCGGTCCCCGGGAAGTGAATTCTTCATACAAGGTTTGAATGCCAATTACATACCACCCCCTGGATGGACTGCAATTGCCGATATCTGTTTGAGGTAATGGAGACGTGAAGTGTGGGGAAGGGGCTCAGAACGGTACTGGCATTACACGTGAGTGTTAACCATGCATGTCCTCCAACACCCCCTTCCACCTACATATTGGCCCTTCTCAAAAGCCATGCCCTCAACTCAACCACCCTGGTCCTGAACACCCCTTACGCCATCCTCAAACCTAAACCTGCTTACCCCCTCCTCCAACACCACCTCTCACTTTATTTTCCAACCCTTCTCAACTCCAACCCGCCTCAAACCAGAAAACTCATCCCAAAACTCCATTACCTTCTTAAACTATCCCAACCTTTGTCATCTCGATGCCATCCTGAACCTCAACCCTCCAGCCCCCATCCTCCAATGCCACCCATCAAAACCCTTCTCAACCCCCTCCCTCTCAACTCCACCATTTGAAACCACCATAAACTTCGTCATCCCCAATGGCCTCTTCCCCCTCCCTCTAAACGCCAAATAACTAAAACTGGAGTCAAATCCAGCTACTTTTTTCTAGTCATAGTATGAAACTTTGCATGTTTAATTAAATTCCTAGTCAATTTTCAATGACTAGGAAAAACCACTCAATATTGTGACCGAGTTGTCACTGCCCCTTCTCATCCATCTTACCCTCATCCATTACCCTTTAATACCACCTTCCTTGGCAAACCGACTGTCAACTTCTTCATCCTTCTCAGTCCCCTTTAGTCCGAACTACTACCCTCCATCAGTGGCGTCACCAGACCTTTCAGTCTGGGGGGGCACAGGGGGGCACCAGCAATTGATGGGGGGCACTTAGGTGGATACGGATCGCCGTCCTGGGGGAGGGGTCTAAGGGGAGGGGGTGCCCCCCTCCCCTTCGGAAAATTTTCGCATACGGAGGATGGGCTAGATGCAAAATGGTGCCACATTTGATGCTAAATTCGATCTGAAGATATCTCCAGAAATTGCTATTTTCGAGGTAATGATTTTAACAACGCGCAGAATTTTTTTTTACCAACCCAAATCTCAGATGGGGGGGCACTCGGGGGGGCACTAGGTTTTCCAGGGGGGGCACGTGCCCCCCCTGGCCCCCCCTTGGCGACGCCACTGCCCTCCATGACACCTGCAACTATCTTACACCACCACCTCCCCCCCCCCACCCTTCTCAATTACCCCACCTGGACCCCCCCCCCCCTCCCGACCCACCCATTCTCTCCACCTTCTTGACTACACACCCATTCTTGAACACACATATTGGAAAGCTATTCATACATTTGTATACAACACATAGGTTAAAGTAATACATTTTAATGTCTACTTGATTTTTGTGACAGTTGTTATTTTACATCTTTTTGGCCAATTGTGAATAGTTAAAGTTGTTGATGGTTCAAACGCTCGAGAATAAAAAATACGGCATTTTTGGCATGAGGAGCATGTTTACACCTGAGGAATTTGTATAACATTGTATACAGGTATTTGTTAGAATGTAATACCTGTGAATATTTTTTAAATGGGCGAAAAGGGGGCAAATGGACATTGTGAATAAAAATAACTAAACTGACTATGACTTGCCTTCAATCTCTCAAAGAAACAATATCTGACCACTTTACATCGACCCCTTGCAAAGAGTTATAAACCATAAACATTGAGGATTGGTCTTTGTACTTTCATTGCTTTGTACATCCATTGTCGCTGAATTTAAATTAAATAAACTATTTCCCAATGAGGGCGCTCTTTGCAAAAGGTCTATAGTGCCAATAATATTGATGTACAGGGTAACTGAACAAATAATTCCGTCTTACAATGCTTATCACTTGCTGCAATAGTCTAAGCACCGCTTGCTCTTGGTGTCGACAATTTCACATGACAAGTGACACCTACCCTCACTAATGGTGGCCATTCCCTCAATGGCAAATTGGAGTAAAATACCTTGCTAAAGGACATCAGATCAAACATTTTTTTTTTGCACAAGCTGCACCACTGCATTGTGTTGCAAATAAATTTCTTCTGGTCCATCGACAGGCAAATTGTCTTAGCCACTAACACCAATGAACCTAGTTTTAACGCTCGGTCTGTACAGGTAAATGTGTCATATCGACGCATTTGACCAGCCAGGCAGTACAACAGGGCCATTCAACTTGTCGAAGTTCTCTTTTTTTTGCATTTTTTTCAAACCACTTTTAGCCATTAAACACCACAGGAAAATCTCCACTGGTTTTCATCAAGAATACAGAGATAGTATAAAATTGGGTGCAACACTGCATTGGTGGGATGGTCTGCTGGTAATCACGGTGCAGCTGTGAACAAGTACAAGAAAATCACTGCGTCCCTCTTGCATCCGAATCCTCCTCTGTCAAAATGGCGTCAATCTTCTTTCTGAAATACAAATGTAAAACTGATCATTTCAAATGTATTTTAATGACAAACGATTCTCATTCTGATATTGAGAGGGGGAAAGCTGTAATTTTTGAGAGAAAACAAAACTATTGCTAAAGATATGCAGACATTTCACCTGCGTGGATGTGAAGGAAACTAAAAAGTAGGGCTGTGGTGCTACACTTTAAATAAGGGAATAAATATTTGTTTGCAAGGTATTTAAAAAACTCTGTTTAAGACCGGTTGGAGTCTAGATGGGTGATTATTACCAGAGGAGAATCCCATTCATAAATACCTATTCGGTCAAAAAAACAAATCTTTTCGGTCCAAAAATCAAAACAAGTCAAAAGCTAGACGTTGCCAACCATTTTGTTTAACAATTTTACTTCATGTTTTATGAAACACCTCTCTGACTTTAGTATGGAATGTCTCTCTACAACTCCTTGTCTTATAAGGAGATTGGCGTGCACGTCGCGCGTACTGCGCGATGTCGCGCAAAATGCAGCTGGGCTGGTGTAGTGTGAATTTCGGACCTTGAAATACTGATTCACTGGTAGTATTGCGCATGCCTACGTGAGGAATGTGAACGTTCAACAAATGAAACGTTAAAAGGCACTGGATTTCATGGGAGTCTAAATTTCATGTGACACTGGAAAAGTGTTTAAGACCAGCCAGCCATGTCTTCATCATCCGTTTAAGACTGGCCACGTGACACATCCTCGACCAATAGGAATGGGTAAACTGTATTAGGTATTTGTAAATATATAATCAATGGACATTAGATGAGCAGATCAAGTGGTAACGATAAGCAGTTATTAAGCAACCGTCATCTTAAAAAATATAGCCACTTTGTTAAAATGGCCAGGCCTTGATTCCATTCAAAGCAGGGTTCAATACACCGTGCATATCAATGAAATCTCAACTGAAATTTAAGAATCGTACACCTTACAAAAGCCAGGTTTACCAATTCACAGAAAAACTGTAATTATTGAAGAAAAACAGTTGGTTTGGATTATGTTTGGTTTTTTAAAATAGAGCTGTCCCATATTTTGGAATGGGAGTAAATGTCCTTGAAAATGGAGATGCGGGCGAAGAACATACGTAGTTTTTCTGAAGATACATTTTACAATGTTACAATTTTGAAATGTCATTTTGAACAATCAATCATTTCCTTTTGCAGCAAATCAATTACAAACTGTGACCCAGAATTTGCAATTCAAGCCTCTTGCCCCCTAAAAAAAGTTCTTAGGAAAGGTTTCTTGGATCATATCCAGGTTTTTTGTCCCAGTGATAACGATTAGTGATTTATAAAAGATGTGTTTTTATGTAACTGAGTTGTTGTTGTTTATAGCGAATCCGATATCGGTCCAAAATGCAGGTCAAGTATCGACAAGGTAATGTGGCTTTTGAAGCCAAAGGGGGCCGGCACAACTGTCAGGTTTTGTTTTGCGAGTCCAACTTTTTACCCCCACTGTGCCAAGCAGAAGTACAACACATCTGCCAGAGTGTGGCGTCAAATCAAAAACATGCGATAAAAATGCAATTACTGTTTATCGCGAAATGCGATTCAAACGAACACCGCTATCACAGGGATCGTGTTTTCGCAGCGACTGCCGCTTCGTTATTGCTAAAGTTTTGAGACCAAAGCGCAAATTGCAGGTTTTTAATCATGCTTTTTTTTTCTTTTTTTTCCAACATGGTGTAAGTGCCTACCTTTCCTGCGAAGTAAGGGTCATGTGACCTTTGACCCTGTCGATGAACTGGGGTACTAAGGTTGGGCTAACATTTGAAACAAGCTGTAAACAACTCTGGGGGAAAAAAATAAAATAAAGAACATGTTAGATAAAGGCAGGAAAAAAATTACTTTCCACTAATTTGTGGGGATTATTTCATGTTGTTCTAAATTTCAGATGTAGTAGTGCGTATCATTGTGAATGTAAACGATTGACTGAACACTGACCGTTTGTGCCTTTGCAATTTCTTGACTAGTTTCAAGCAATTTACACATGTAAACATAAACACCAACGCACAAAATAGATATGTAAGGCAAACAGTCTGCAAATTTCTAAAAAAGAGACCCTCAAAAATCCTGCTTCGTGTAGGGGAGGACGTAATGCACATTTCTGCTTCTGCAAGAACCTTACGTACGGCGCTCAACTGAAGAAAAGGCAAAAACAGTACGTCAGAACGTACAGAAAAAAACCAGAATATTGCTTTGAGCAACAGCATGTTGCTCCACAGCGACACTGCAAAACAAGATTATTTTTGAGGCTGGCCCACTGTCAAATTGTCAGATTTGTGATAGAATATGAACAACTTATCAACCTTAAACTGATGGGCAAGCGGCCAAATTACATAAGACTGTTATTTAACGAGATGAATCGATGCCCAGCCCCCGCAAAATTGTAGGTCAAAATGGGTATTTTATGGGTCGCCGATAGTGCACCCTTTGAAAAGGAGGAGATACGCGCTGATATACAAAGGACGTGTTTTTCCCACACTTCTGGACTCTGCAGTGTTTTTCTGTGTTTTTAAACTCTGCTTTTGGGGTTTTTTTTATTGTTTATTTGTTTTTCTCTCTTTTTTTAATTTTTTTTTTAGCTTGATGATTATTGTGGCTTACAATCGAATCGACTTATTTCCACAATATATTGATATCTTCCCCGGGTACGGTCAGTAAATTTACTAAACAGTTTCCTTTTCTTTAAAACCCTTGCACTCTTATCTGCCATTGACTTTACAAGCAACATTGAAGTGTTTTGGAAAGTGTAACAAAGCAAGGATGAAAAGAATGTAGTATCCAGACGCCACTTCAGCAGTTGTGTACAAAGTCTATGGAGAGTCGAGAACATTTTCAAAGTATTTCCTAACAATGTTTCTCAGTCCCAGATTCATGTCTTTTCAACATTTTTGCAATGACTGACCTTCATTTGGATGATATATGATGAAAAACGTAATATACATGACATGGCATTTTGGCTGGTAACCTGTTTTGCTTATCGCATTATTTTCTATACTAAGCAAACATATTGCTCAACAAATATATATGCTAAGCAAAAATCAGCAGAGTACCAGTCATGTGTAATATACATCACATGGCATTTTGGCTGGTAACCGGTTTTGCTTATCGCATTATATTCTATACTAAGCAAATGTTTCTCAACAAATATATATGCTATGCAAAAATCAGCAGAGGACCAGTCACGTGTAATATACGTCACATGGCATTTTGGCTGGTAACCTGTTTTGCTTATCACATTATATTCTATACCAAGCAAATATATTCTGTAATTTCCGGTTTTTACTCTATAAAAGTGCCCCCACCGTAGCTTGAGTTCGTTGTGCAATTTTTCTGACAGAGTGTTTTTAAATACTGGACAAACAATCCTTGCCCTTTGTCCAAGACATAAAAGTGCATACTTTTTGACAGATTTTTGTTGCAATTTATATTTATTCTATCGCCAATAATTTCAGAGATAACCTTCAGATAGGCCAGTTGTGGCAATATCCCTTGGTCAGTACAATGACCAGAGTAAACAACCCAAACCTAAACAAACAGACCATTGGTCAGTGCACTTTCTTATATCTGTTTTATATCTTTGCCCGGTAGTTGGGACACTAGACCTTTGTTTAAAAAAAAAAAGTAGGAATACTGACTAAGTTGTGACCTTCACAAATCTGAATATTAACCCTAACCACCCCAACTCCATCAAAATCCATCCCCCATTTTGGTGGATTTGGGGGACTTGGTCCAGAAGGCCTGGCGTGACTAAATATTGATGGAGTATGATGGACTTGGGCCTAATGGCCTGAAGCAGTGCTAGGGGTATCCGATTGATTTTGCCTAGCTTCCTGTACTGCAATTGTGATAAAAGCCGTGTGTAGCAAGTCCATGAATGTCAACCAGTGCATCAGTGGTGGATTCCATTATGTCATGTACAGTTTTGTATTGGACGCACAGTGATTGATGGATTTTGATGGACTTGGTCCAGTTTGTAGTAAAAGACGCTAAGGAGTTAGGGTTAATATAAAAAAAAATTTACACCTTTAATTTGTTGAGATGAACAAGGCATATCATAATGCAAATTGACAATTTACCAAGAGTATTGATAGTGACATTACCTGAGTGATCATAAACTTTCTGGCAAAACAAAATCAGAAATGGTTTCCAAAAATAAGGTCCTAAGAAACTTCAAGCAAAGTATTCTGTTTGAACCGTAAGCTTTCCCCGTATTGACTCAGTGCATGAGCAGTAAATGACACTTTTTTACCAATTTCTGGAGTAAAAAAAAGTAAAGTCTGTCACGAGCCAATGTGGCTCAACAAGCCGGCGTTTATCTCCGGTTTCAGTAGCATGAAACGACTGAGAACATTTCTACTCCCCCTGGATGGGATGCTAGTCCATCGCAGGTTACTCCCCAGCTAATGCCGGTACCCATTTATACTCCTGGGTGGAGAGAGAGGCAGGTTGGGGTGAAGTGGCTTGCCCAAGGACACAACATATGGCCAGCAGCTGGATTCGAACCCCTGACCCTCTGATCAGGAGTCACGAACCCCAACCACTGGGCCCCACTCCCCCATTTTCTGGAGCTACAGCGCAAACTAGGAAGCTGTTACTGATCGTTTAGATGAATCTACTTACAATTGCTCTCTGTTTGTCTGTGGCAGTGATGCAGGCCTCAAGATACTCCTCTAATAGAACATTGCTAAAAGGAGACGAAATATAACTATTATTCAAACGTATAAGCATACATAAATTAAACAAGCGCAGTAAAAAACACATACATTTATTACAAAACATTAAAAAGCATGATAATTCATCACAAGAAATAACCAAGCTTCTAAATTTCCGCCTAAAAATTCTACAAAGAAAGAAATTTTGGTAAAAAAAAATATAGGATGATAAAAAAGTGATTTGAATTTATTGTTGTTTTTCCTAAAAATAAAGATAATGAGAGTGGGATTCCAGAAATCTCAAAACTCCATTTAGCCTAACCCCTAGGCCCTCTGGCTTGGATGCAACTTCAATCCTGCAAAATCCTCCAATTGCCACCAAGGAAAAAATTGAATTCAGCCTAAACCCTACAAAATCATACGCTATTTTCTTGAATTTAGTCTGTGGAGGGTGACCACTGCCTCAATCCTCCAAAATCCTCTGCCTATTACTGCTATGCTTTGAGGCAGTGCGAATGGCGTTTAGAAGCAGTGCGGATGAAATACGAGAAACACACAGGGCTGATTTATGCATGGCTGAACATAACCAATGCAGGATATGGCCTACTGGCTTGACATAATGCATCCTCCACAAAAAAGCGATACATCTTTGCCATTCATTCTCAATCCTCTAAAATCACCCAAAACCGGGCAGGACGCTTTTGGCGGATTAATATATTGAGGAGGAGTAGGGTTAAAACTGCTGGTATTTTTTTTTTTCAATTTACCTCGGCACTTTGTTTTCTTTCTTGAAAAGCTCCAGAACATCCCTGTAGAGTTTTAATTATAGAAGAAGAGGTTTTTTAAGAAGAAACAACAAGAAATACGACATTTTTAAGATCTGTGAACAAAAGAAGTAAACAATATTGCACAATGCCACGTCTCTAGTGACTGAAAGTTTTTCGATCAAGGGAACTGAGTCAAATTTACTCCCAAGGCAATCTGAGGTTTTTAAGAGGGACACTGAAGTTTATTTGCCAAAAATTGAGTCAATATGATGCTTTGCAACAAAGTAAGGATAGAATGAACAAACATATGATGCCTTCGGAAGTTTATTATGGTTTAAAACTCTAATTGAATGTGATTTCAATTGAAAGTCATCTTTGCAACACAAAAATAAATTAGAATCAGTGTTAGATTCAAGTCCATCACAAATCCTTTCACAAGTCCTTTCATAAAACCAGTCTCAAGTAACTGGACGAACAATGACAAAGGAATGCTTTGGTAACAGAATGAATCTACAGGGGGACTTAAAAAGCAAGATGAGTAAAACAGGATCTTTGGAACGAACAGTACAGGCGCGGATCCAGGGGTGGGGGGATAAAAAAAAAAAAACAGCTGTCATAAATGTATTTTTTTTATAGAAATTCATGAAAAATAATTCCCCCCCCCCTTCTCTGACACCCAAAAAAATTATACAGGTAATAATGTCCGCCTGTGCACAAAATACGGACAGAGCCAGCTTGGTTCGAGGGTATTTGTACACTATTCTGTAATTTTGTATTAATAATTGTCGGATTTGAACAGCGCCCCCATTGAAAGTATGGTACGAGACACCCCCCCCCCCCACCCCACCCCCACCCATTGATTTTCTAAGGCCAAGTGTCTGAAGAAAAAAACATTTCAGAATTTTTTTTTTTTTTTTCACCCCCCTGCAAAAATTCCTGGATCCACCCCTACAGTACGTCTAATGAATACAGAAATTCTGGAAGCTCTAGCAAGGACATTTGAAATATGAACTTGCAGGGACTTGTGATAGACTCGACTACAACACTGGTTAGATGCCATTTGCCACTGGAAGTGAAAGTGTCAAATGCGAAAACTTGCATGTTTACAATGGCACAAGAACTGAAAGGTCGGACAAAGAACACAGAGATCTTGGCTTTTAAACCCAGGAGTCACCACAACCATTAAAACATGTTATCTGTTCTCACCATGCTTTATCAAGATGTTTGGCCTTCAGGCAAATCAGAGCTAGATGTGTTAGGCTGCTTGCCCTCCAGCTGTAGAAAAAAAGAAACTTGAATCATTTCTTTGTTTAAATTTGGAAACTACAAAGATGAAGTGTCTTCAAAAAAATTGTTACCTACCTCCAAAGAAAGAGAGCAACTCAACAAAACATGAAGTTTTCATGTATAAAAAATCTCTGAATGAAGCCTTGGTACTATATGGAGTGAATACCATGCGAACTGCAACAAACTGCTACAACGGATTCTGTTGTATATTGGCACTATGGGCAGTTACCCTGCTAAATGCAACAAGATGCAACACTCATGGGACTTGACTGCTTTAAATGCAACACAACTTTCTACCACTGTTGCTTTCTGTTGCATTTAGCAGGGTTACGGTTGATTATGCTGACAAAACGGTACGGGCAAAAATACAAATACATATTCAAACAATCAAATACAAATGTGAATTGAACAAAAGATTTCAATTTAAAAGAAGTTTAAACGCGATTGTTCAGAAGTGACTCAAATACAAAGTGAATGGGGACTTACTTAACGGGATCCCGCCTTGATTTTGACTTCGCTACGACGGACTTGATTTCCATGGCGATATCGAAGAACTCCGAGGTTAGCTGTGTCGGGAGAAAGACGAATCCAATTTTAGTCACTTTACACACAGGTGTATCTATGACTGTGCCAGAGCAGGAAACAAATATGACCATGGACAAATTTTGCTCCAAGGCTCTGGATCCGAAAAAACGTAACAAAATCGCAATGCGGTACGAGCAAGAAGCATGACTACGACCAACGTGCAATAAACCGTCTTATTCAAGACGGGAGGGGACCCAAACTCTCTAAAACCAAAAACTCTTCTTTATCAAAACAAAAGACTGATCTAAAATAAGAATAAGAGCTTCTGATAAGTTGACAAGAACTTCAAACAAGACTGTATCAACTAAACCAGTGCTAAAACTATGAGTGAATAAATTAATGCACTGATGTATTTGGGGTACTAGCAGATTAAAATCTACTTATTCAGGGCGCAAAGAATGGAACAAAAAGTTCAGACAGGTTCGATTTTTAGCTTCATATAATATGGTGATTATAAAACCATGTAACTTTGGATCTTTATTATTTGTCACTGATTACTTAGCCTTTGGCCGGGAGAACCATAAAACTGTTTTTTGACTTGTTTCTTGTCAGGTCCCATGGTAGCAGATGAGGGAGGAATTTATATTTTCAGAGCTGGATCAGTACCCATCTATGCTCACTGGTTGAGAGGCTATTGTAGTAAAGTGTCTTGCCCAAGAACACACCTGTAGAACGCCATGGTCTAGTGGTTACGGTGTTTGACTCATGTACGAAGGTCCGTGGGTTCGAACCCGGCCAGGAACATGGTGTTTGTGCCCTTGGGCAAGACACTTGACTACAATTGCCTCTCTCCACCCAGGAGTATGAATGGGTACCTGTGAGGGTCGGGGACCGATTGAGCGCTGATATTGGCTGCCGCGTGGTCCCATGGCCTGATGAACGGGGTAATAATTGTAAAGCGCTTTGAGATTGTTGATACGATGGAAAGCGCTATATAAGCACAATTATTAATTACTAATTAAGCAACATGTTCCCCATCAGGGTTCGAACCACCTACCATCGCTCATAGGTCACAACCATTGGACCAGGGCTTTACATATAATCTCTAAGTTTGTATAGAATAAACGCAACAAGTTTTATTTCCCCTTTTGTTTCAACGGATCTTACCTTGTCATCTATATCCGTTGCTTGAGACATCACAGACAGCAGGGTTTCAAGAAGTTGTTGCTGGTAAAGATGACTAAAGTGACAAACATCTGATGAAAAAAAAAATCAACTTGCTCATCACAAAATGAATGACAACTTAAATTGCACACATTTTGAACTTGGGGTGATAATTATAAACACTGTACGCTCCGTGTTTCGGCAAGAATGTTGCAACCTGACGCTACTTTTTTCTTCATATATCATCTCAATGAAGGTCAGTCATTGCAAAACTATTGACAAGACATGAATCTGGGACTGAGAAACATTTACAATTTTGTTAAGAAATACAATTTTCTTGACTCTCCACAGACTTTGCACACAACCGCTGAAGTGGCGTCTGGATACTACATTCTTTCTGGTGTTTCAGATTTGTAAACCCGTGTTTTTATACACAAAACTACTTTGCAAACACAATACCTAGAATTGGAGAGAACACAAGGTGAAACTATCCAACAAAATAAGAATTAACTAAAAATTGTCGAACCTCTCCAAATGATGTCGACTTTGTCGTAAACGCCGGCCGTATCCATGGACCTCAGCATGTCGATGAATACCTGGACACTAGGAATCAATGCCTGCCGTTTGAAAAGTATAAAAATGATCAGTTTGTCAAGATTTGATAGAATAAATTTACTCCTTGGGTAGTATATTTAAATTTCCCCCAAAAAGCACGATATCGGATTTTGTCCTTAACCAGATAAAAATTCTGGGACATCACTACAAAGTCACTCATTGCAATAGCCACTGACGTATATCAGGTATCACGCAGCCGGTCAAAACTTTACAAGTTCGTTGGTCGAGTGGTGAGGACATCTACACTAGTCAGTAGGAAGGTCGTGGGTTCGATTCCCACCACAGTAAATCAAAAGGTTATCGGACAGCATCGAGCATGCAGTACTTACGAAAGTTGTGCTTGTGGAATAACATTGATGAGAGGCAAAATCAACAGTAACCCTCCTGCTATTTAAGCAGTCACAGACAGTCAAAATGTCCATCCACTTCCCCTGCTATACTTTTAACACAGGCTAGTCACCAGCAGTCAGATCATATGTCGAGCAAGCACTGTGACTAGTCACACTCAGTCAACAGACCATGAACAGACAAAGCAGGCAAGTTGTGGGCACAGCTGGCTTATCAATTACCCACAGTCAAAGCAAAGCTTATCGAGTTACATAAACAGTCACGGCCAGTCAATCCTGCTTTATGCTGGGAATTCTTAACTGTTGAAAAGAGTCACTTGATTGATTTTGACTGAAAGGACTACTTGGCACAGAATGTATGTTTGCATAGGAGGGTTAAAAGCCTTATGAAATTCATGCTATTTCAACTTGTATTGAAGCAAATTGTGATTCACACAGAAATCAAGTCAAAATAATTTCACGTTTCCAAGTGATTATCACCCAGACTTCCCTTTATTGCAAAACAACACCAAAGTAGGGAACTTACCGAGGGTACCAGCTTCTCATAATATTCCATCATGGCGTCCACGCTGTCCATGAGACAGATTAGATGGAAGAATTTACCACTGAAAAAAGAAAAAATTACAAATAAAGTTTTCAGGCCGTGTAAGATTAATAATAAATAATTTGGGGGCTATTCATCCTCACTCACAGCTGAGAAGCTGAATTGCGAAGGACGCGGCTACAACATGGTCGAGCCGAAGGCATGTAAAGGCGCCTTAGGCAGCCGCCTTTCGACCCATGTCTTACCCCAGAGCACAGCCAGAGATTGCAAGTGTTGATTTTTTGCGGAGGGAGGAAAACCGGAGAACCCGGAGAAAAACCGCCATGGCACAGGAGAGAACCAACACACAACTCTACTCACATATGGTCCGAGCCAGAAATCGAACCCAGGCACAGCCGTGACAGGCAACACTTTTACGCACTAGACACCCATGCCACCCAAAAATCTCCTGCAAATATACTAGAAACTCAACATACCAAAACGAGTATGGACTGGACTGATACAAAAATGGGGAGTTCAATAAAATTCCAATATTGTTCTCTGGCAACTTCGACCGCCAATGCTCTGTGTTTTTGTTTGTAAAACTTGGAGGCAAATTGGGATGGTCATTATAGTTAAATGTGAGTTACAGTGGTGTTTGTTACAGCGACGTTCTACCGCATGTGTTTCCAAATGTATACTCACTAGTAGATGTTCTGGCCGAAGTAGTCACCAGCGAGTTTGTAATTCTCAGCTGTGTTGAGCAGCAGATCCACCCTGTAGGCAAGCTCAATGTCTTTCAAGGATAAACACTGAAAAAGAAAACAAAGGGGAAAAATCTGGTCCTATGTGAATTGCGGCAAATAATCCAATGCCAGTCTCTGGCAAACTATTGCAGAGGTTAAGTTGCGAGTTTTTGCAAGAACGTGTACTCCTAGGTCCTGCGTTGCATCATGTCTAAGTGTGTGAACGTCACCAAAATATGCCTTGGCGACACATGTACAACTGCTGGCTTGAGAAGACTGTCCCATTAGACACAACTATTTTTCGACGTTTGAAAAAAGATTTGCGTACACAGATAAAAATGCCTACTTAAATTCGTTCATGCCAATGGGAGCACGAAGCTTCAAAACACGTTGCCGTAAAAATTTGACAAACACGCAACTTAACTTCTCTATTTTTGGCTAAGATCTTGATTTTTCTTAAGTAAACAAACTCTAGCAATATATTGATGGTATATTACAAGAATTTATTTTGAGAATAAAGCCCTTTGCTAGAATTTTCCAATGAAGACTTAACATCACCCAGACAACAATTAACAAGTTTATTGAGCATAGTCACGCCCCTAACCCCCCCTAAAAAAAAAAAAACATTTAAAGTAAAGAAGCTGAATGTTACTCACAATATTCATTGCATTCTTGAAGAAGTAAACTGTGAACAAGAATTGAATAAGAAATACATTTAGAATTTCACAGATTCCAAATTTAACAATCCTGTTTACATATCACACAAATATAAAAGCGAAAAAGATTTCACAAGGTTAATCCACAGTCAAATTCGTCAAAATTCAAATGCATTCAACTTTTGGGAATTCGGAGTACAATAAATACACACTAAGGATTTTTCGTTAACTATACAACTGGTTTTAATTGCTAGCTGGATGAAACTTACTGTCTTGCTCGTGTCGTAACGAAAAGCTCATGCCTTCTACGGTGTCCATGATGTCGTACAGAACGTCGCTAGGAGGAAGAGCTGAAATATAAAATATGACGTCAACGGAAACGAGAGAAATATCAAAGCCAAATTTCTGACATTAACGTTTAAAGGGAATATACAACATTTGCAAACATCAAAAAACAAAACTACCAAATTATTATGAAATATTTTACTGGACTGTTAGTGAATGACAGTCTAAAGTATCCTGTAAAATCGTGGCACCTGGTGTGCTGTCATTTTCAAGAAAAGTGGTATTTTGTATCAATTTCCAAAACTGGTCGGCTGACCACCGTTGGAAAAAACTTGCTTTTTCTGGAATACTGCCCCAAATTAACCATATTTAGTTAGTCCGTATTTTGTTTGCATTCGATTACACACCTGTGAACGGTAACACACCAGCTAGACTGGTTCCCTGACCTTACAATTCCCCGACGTCTATATGAACATGAACACTAGACTACATGAACATGATTGCTTTTCTTGGTTTTTTCAAGCATCTACGAGCCCAAAACTTCAAACAAGTCAGTGTGATAATATTTGCTATAAAATACCAACCCCCAAATCCATCCATTTCTGAAAATTTACAGCAAAAGCAAATGTTGTATTTTCCCTTTAACAAAAATTTGTTTACAAAATCCTCCACAACAATGCCCCAGAGTATCTCATGGGCCTCATTCGGACTCCGCTCCGGTTAGCTCATGATGCTTCACGAGCCCAGGACCTCCACTCTGTGGGGTGACAGATCCTTTACTGCAGCGTCAGCCCGAGTGTGGAACCAACTCCCTCTGGCTATCAAATCATCTCCATCCATCACAAAACTTAAGACAAATATAAAATCTCACCTGTACAAACAAGCTTACTCTCACAACAAAATCCTAACTTGACTTTCTCCTCAAGCGCCATGAGCGCCTTTTTAGGCGGATACCGACGCTTTACAAAAAATTTACAAAAGTGATTTTTAATTTGCAAATGTTTGGGTTCACAATTTGAAAAGAAAATCTCTAAACTGAACAGTGTCTTCCTGAAATGACATCACAGCAACAGCGCCCTCAGTTGTCAGGAAAAGTATGGAACATTTGAAATGTTTAAAGAAGTGCACTTTACAAAAAACAAATGACTAAAATGGATATCAAATAGTTTTCATTCATTTAAGACCAATAGAAAAATGCAAAAAATATGTTTCCAATTAAAATTCATGTCAAGATCCTTTTAAGAGCTCGAACATAAGACGGATTGAAAAATATTAAAATACACTTACAATCTTTGTAGAAGATCATCAGAAGAAGATTGTAGGTGCCTAAACTTGGCTCTGCAAAACAGAATTTTGGGGGAAAAAATATACAGAAGAGTTAACACTACGTGGTAAGAATTCACACATAGCTTTAAAACATGTCATGTAGTCAATAAGCAGAATAATACTGCTTGGAAAATGTATGTGCTAAGCAGAAATCAGCTGGCAACCAGTCACAAACTGTGCGTACTGGATGTGTTTTGAGCTGGTTTCCTGTTTTTGGTAAGCAAATATTCTTCATGCTTAGCAGGTTTATCTAAATCTATCTAAGCAGAATAAAATTGCTTAGCATATGTATAAGCTAAGCAGACTGGGAACCAGTCACAAACTGTGCGTATTGGATGGGAATTTAGCTGGTTACCTGTTTTTGGTGAGCAAATATTCTTCATGCTTAGCAGATTTATCAGTATTGCACACGGGTCTATGAGAATTGGCTGCAGCCACGTCCCATAGACTCATGTGTAATTTAAGCAAGTAATTCGGACACGGACTACGAATAGCCGGGATCATGTGACACAACCTCGGCCAATCAGGACAGAGTAGCGTCTTGAGGGGCATTGTGGGTACAGACCTATGCCGACGGCTTTCATCTCAGCGACGGTCTGCAGGGCCTTCTTGCGTCCGACGATACCCATGATCCTCAGCGCATCCAGCATGGTGTTGAAGCTGTGGAGGTTGGGCCACACGCCCTCCAGCTGCATCTGATTCATCAGTTGCTGCCGGGGTTCAAGAAGAATAACTGTAAAGTGAGTATTTTGTGGGGCGCTGTGGTCCAATGGTTACGGTGTTCGACTCGTGTGCCGTGGTACACGGGTTCGAATCCTGACCGTGGGAACATGGTGCTTGTGCTCTTGAGCAAGGCACTTTACCATTATTGCTTTGTCCTTCGGATGGGACGTAAAGCCGTAGGTCCCGTGTTGTGTAATGCACGTTAAAGAACCCAGTAACACTTGTCGCTAGGAGGAAAGGTTTGCCCCGGTGTTTCTGGCAGTGCCAGCAATTATGCGCCACAGCACCTAGCAAAAAGGTGCTACATAATGGGTCTCATATGTTCATATACTTCATTTACCTGGCTTTGGTTGCATTCTCCCCCAGCGCTTTGTATCCTCTGGCAAAAAGCGCTATATAAATACAGTTATTATTATTATTATTATTATTATTAACCAGGGATTCGAACCCAAGACCGTCAGGCAGCAGTCCCAATAGAGTGATAATGTGATCACAAAATCATTTGCTACTGGAACTATAAAACAAATTAACCAATGAAGGGGAAAAAACAAATTCAGGCAACTTGGCTCTTGTGTTATTTGAAGAGCTATGGGAAATAACATCAGATTTTATGTGAAGCACGGCGTATAGCAACCAATGCAATCCCAGAAGATGTGAGGGTATTGCCTTCCATTATTAGGAAGTATGAACACGTGACGCCTCTCATCCATGCACTGCACTGGCTCCCGGTTCACCACCGAATTGTCTTCAAGATCCTCACCACAGTCTACAAATGTTTCCATCACAACGCCCCTTCATATCTCACTAGTCTCATTGACGTGTACCACCCCAGACGACCTGGCCTTCGGTCTGGTTCAGACAACACACTGCCTGCACTTCCTAAAGTACATTCTCCGATAGGGGAACGTGGTTCTATGCACATGCCCTACGTCTTTGGAACAGTTTTTCAAGGGAAATCCGCTCAGCACAAACACTTCAAGGGTTCAAGAGCTGTCTCAAGACTTATCTGTTCAATTGTTAACTGCTTTTACTTTTTTCATTAATTTAGAGTCTCAGTTTCTGTAAGTTACTTTGCTGTTAAGCGCTGTGATACCTTTTGTGTAAGAGCGCTCTATGGGCTCCGTGCGCCGATGAAAGAGGGCGCCCTTTTACCTAGCTACGACGTCCCATGGGCGGGACATTTCGCTGGTTGACGTGCACCGTTCCTTGTGTGTGACGCACGTACACCAGGGGATTTGTACTATGTACACGCAGTGGCCGCGCTTCGCAGCAAATGAATTGCACTCAGGTAAGATGGCATCGGTCAGTCACCCCCAACTGTACTCTCTTTGCCGGTGAGGGGGTGCTTGTGAACGGAGCGGATAAATGCTTGTTATTATTATTATTATCATTAAAGTTATGTCATGGGAGCTAGATAAGCCTATTCTTAAATTTGGAGATTGCGAGAGAGGGGCTACTCACATATATAACCTTCCACCGTTCTGCATAATCCTCCCTGATGAAGACAGCACCCTGGATGAGGGCGTTGTAGGTACGCACGTCGGCCTGAATTCCTTTTTCTTGCATCTCATTGTACAGGATGAAGGCTTTGGTGGCTGCCCCGTGCTAGATTGAACAACAACAAGTGCCAAGATTTCACAGCATGTCTAAAACGGTAGAGTACATCATTTGCAGCTATCCAAAAAGTAACTGACGAAATTATTGTTGAAAAGCATACTTGGTTTAACGATTGCAGGTCGGGTTTGCCAACATTTTACAGTACCAATGACTTATGAGTGCTGTAGTTATAATGGATTGATTACATAAACACAACTACAAATAGAAACAACTTTATGAAAACATAGTGCCTTTCCCAATTTGAAACTACAATAACTGGTATCGTTTCAGTTTGCAGTATCACCATGTGGTAATAACTACTGCTTAGAAGATATTTAGTTCTGAAAAGAACTTGTTCTGCTTATTATCAACTTTCGCTGAGTAGTTTTTGTTCTGATAAGAACAGTCCCTGACGATGACTAGAGCAGGCTAGTCCAAACGTTGGGACCAAAGACAAGTTCTTTTAGAACTTAAAGCAGGACTGTTCTTATCAGAACAAAACCTACTAAGCGAAAGTTGATAATAAGCAGGACAAGTTCTTTTCAGCAACACTGTACCAGATATACGCCATGTATGAATCAGCTATTTTTAGACCATGGCTTCGATTTTAGTCACTGTGCAGAACATTGAACAGACATCAATACCCATTAGAGGCACAGCCGTATCTACGGAATAACACAACATTTTAACCATGACGCTACAAAGTTTCTGGACGATTCCGTTTTCTACCTTAATCATGCCTCGAACCATGGAGCAGTAACTGTGAGCATTTCTCTCCGGTAATGCATCGAACAACTTCTCAATATCATTGTTTTCTCTGAAAATACAACAACAACAAAATTAATTAATTTTTGCCGTGAGTATTTTTGTGACATCACAGTCTCTTTGCATTCTCATGATGCAATTATAGAAAAACTTAAGTCTGTATTTTTTTTTCGATGAAACTTACTTCCATCTGGCTTCACTGCCGGTCTTTTTTCTCCTTGACCTCCGACCTCTGTTCTCAGCCTCTGATTGCTCGGTTACTTCCACAGAATCTGAGTTTTCCTGCGGGGAGAAATTTCAAACCAACAAATTGAAATAATGCATTACAAAAATTACATGACTACATTTTTTGACGTAAATCTGTCTTTTTATACTGTTACATCGACAGAGACAGATAAAACTTTTATTGCATTTAAAAAAAAATTAACTTTTTCCCCCTCGTACTTAAGGATAAATTTTGCTACTGACTTGTTCTTTTTCTTCCCCTGTTGTCTCCTGTGCTTCAGCTGCAGTGTCGGGACTGTAGCCATGGTAACACAGCAGGTCCAACAATGCATTGCTCGTTGCCATGGAGACCAAAGACCCTGATAAAATCAAACCAAATGCATCACAGCGTAAACAAGACTTTGGTTCTGGTTTGATATTTTAATATATCGCATGAAAATCACAAAACACGTTATCAGGCACACACGAGTAAAACATGAAATCCCATTATCTGATGTCTTATCGTGACTGACACCACGCCTATTTTACAGAACCGCGTTATTTTCGTTTTCACAAACTGTCAACCGTCACAGTGCAGCACTTCTAGAGCGCACTCCGTACATTTTCGTGTTCATAAAACCGACACTGATCTTAATTTCACCAGTGAGAAAGTTTTTTATTCACATTTTTGTATAGTCCCACAAGTAAACGGATGGATTAAAATCATGTCAAACCTTTCAAAGTGTTTTTTTCCGAATTGTATTGCAGCAGCATGATTGCGTGTTAGTTCGTGAAAACGAACATGATCTATTATGCTTCAGTGTCCGATGTGCGCGCGTACACCCGGGTGTCAGTTCCTGAAGTCGAAATTGTTGATTACGCGGTTTTCACGAACTGACATCCACTAGCCCGTTGAGTGTCATTCGTTGTGTCGGTGACGACATGTTCCTTTTTGAACTATTACATCCCAACTACAGCAATGGCCCCAACTATAGATGGGACCGTCCCAACTATAGTTTGGACACGTCCCAACTAATGTGATCCCAACTATAGTCCCAACTGTAGTTGGGATGATGCCATTCTCACCTGTTTCTAGGAGTTTGTAGAACATGTCAAGAGCCTCTTTCATATCGGCGTTCTCCACCCTTTCCAAGACGGCTTCCTCACTGGGCTCATCAAACAGATATTGCTGCTGAGGAGGGTAGAATGCCTGAGGGAAACAATCAAGGTCATGTCAGCTCAATAGAAATCGGGCACTATACTCAAAATTGTTGACTGGTTACATACAGTGCCCTCTAAATAAACTCAAACTCAACAACTGAATCTAGGGAAACTAAAACCGTTCCTTGTTGAAATGCTCATAGTTGAATCGCTTATGGGTTAATTATTGAATTAAAACAGTTGAGTTATAAAACTCTGAAAAGTTGTTTTTTTTTTTTTTTGGACAGAGGTGAGTTCTAAAACACATATGGACTGACATAATTTGGTCCCCAGTGCACGTCTATGCACCCCTCGGGCCTGTGAGTAACCAGAAGAGGGTCTTATTTACCTCAGCCTTCGGCCTCAGGAAATAGGACCCACTTCCGGCATAGATGTGCACTAGTGACCTCATTGCCAGTCTATATGTGTATATTAGTGCCTTCATAAAAAGATGAAGTAGTGGTTGGTTTGGTGACTAGGTGCTGATGTTTTGGTTGTTAGGGTAAAATATTTTGATGGCGGGGGCAGATACTTTGGTGACTAGCGACTGATATTTTGGTGGCTGTGGGATATTTTGGAGGCCAGGGGCCAGTGTTTTTGCACAGGGGCCAGGGCCAGCTGATATTTTGGTGCCTGGCCTTGGGCTGATAGTTTGGTCACCAGGCAAAACATTCAGGCGACTGGGCGGATATTTTGGGTGGCCAGAAGCCACTATATTTCAGTGGTGAGCAGTCAATATTTTGGTGGCCACAACCCAATATTTTGGTAACCAGATGCAAATATATTGATGTTCTGGGCAAATATTTTGACTGTCAGCGGCAATGGTGGCTGGGGCCCAATATTGTTCTGGCCACTGCAACGGCTACTGGTCAGTAATATCATTTAGTTCACTGGGCAATAAATTGTCTGCTGTTACCTCAACTTTAGGAGCATCCCTCTGTATGGCCAGGAAGTGCTCCGGCCATTTCTTGATGACGTACTGAGCAGCCTGTTTGCCTGATTCCGTTGCTAGTGCATATCGTCTCTGAGAAGGAAAAAAAAACAGAAGACAACCCGCTCTGGTTTAGCACATTTATGAGCAATTTTATCTGTTTTATTAGGTGTGTTTATTGTATTCTCTTGTGAGCATACTGGTTTGTGCGCAAATGGGCTCAGTGCGCCAATGAAAGAGGGCGCCCTTCTTCCTAGCAACGACGTCCCATGGGCAGAACATTCAGCTGGTTGACGCGCACCGTTCCTTGTGTGTGGCACACGTGCAACAGGGGATCTGTACTATATACATGAAGTGGTACGGCAGCGCGTCGCGGCAAAATTGCAGTCAGGCAAGATGGCGTCGGTCTGACACCCCCAACTGTACTTTCTTTGCCGGTGAGGGGGTTCTTGTGAACGGAGCGGATATCGCGTGAAGTATGCACGACTTATTTTATTCTAAATGTGCACAAAGCCATAGACTCTTCGCGTAAGCATCAAGCGTTGCCGGCATGCAATGCGTTCCAATGTCTCTCCCGTTAGTCTCTCCCAACTCTCCCTTTCTCACCGTTGAGGGGGTACTTGTGCACGGAAAACATTGGTCTCCCGCAACTCATCCATTGTAACTTGTGCGCAGAGTCGGTGTATTAGGCTGCAGTTTGGTCAAATATAAATTGACAGTTTCAATTCTTATTTTGAAGCTGATGACCAAATAATGGATTACACTAGCACTGAATATCTGTAATAAATTGGCCTTACCCGCTCGCCACCATTTCTGGGTAGCAAAAAGGGATCGTCGTGGAACATGTACGGCGATGCTGAAGGATCCTGCAAAAAAAACAAAAACAAGGCGTGTTTAAGGAGCGTGCTAAACTCTTTGCGTACTTGTTTCATCCTCAAGTGCCCTTTTGAGACGTGACATTTTCCCAGCTGGAACGAGTTACATTACTTAAAAGATTTAACCCTCGAGTATGGAATTCATTACCTTAAGGCTGGGTAATATTCGGCGCGAATGCAAACGCGAACGCGTATTTATGATGCCGGGGCAATTTTTTTGCGCTGCGCATTCGCAAAAGATGAGCACACTTCGCAAAAGATGAATTTGCAGCGAATGTTTTCTAACATCATATTCGCTTCACATTTGCATTCTCGTGAAGCATGCAACGGCTAGTTTTGGACAGACTCAAACATAATGCCATGCGCATAGAAAACAAACTCACTTTTTTGACTGTATTGCTCAAAGCTTGAAGTACGCTCGTTGGATCTCTGCAAGCAATAATGGAAACAGAAAGTCAGATAAAAGAATTTAAGAAAGTCTGTAAAATAAAATGGATTTTGAACAATTGGATGCAGAAGCAGCTGTTGACAACAATAAAGCCTAAAAGTCTGAAATCTCAAAATGTCTGAAATTTGCTCATTTGTCCCAATTATTTTCAGAGTCTGAAATTCTACAACTAATTGTTGACTTTTCAAAAATTTAGTCCCAGAGTAAATTCAGAATTTTTTTTATTTCACTGTGGGAAAGTTGTTTTTTTTATGTCCACTTTGGGGAAAAAAAGAACGTTGTGAGACTGATGCAGGTGTTCTTTCGTACCTTTTCTTCTTTTTGGGAATCTGAATTTCCGTCTGTGGTTTTTGGACAGCCGCTGCCTCTTGTCCATAGCATCTGCTTATATTGAGCCACCTATATTTCAAACATTGATAAGAAAAGTTTGCAAATGTGAACATGCACACGTGAACGTACATGATCCTGAGGACAGAAAGACAAAACAACAGATTCTTTAACCCTCCCTGGGAATTTTACTAGGATGCAACCTGAATCCTGCAAAATCCTCCTACTGCCTCCATGTAAAAATTGCATACATGTACAACCTCAATCCTGCGGAAAGCAAGACAACGAGAATGCTCTCCACGGCAATGCACCAGACGAAAATTGAACTCACTTGCGGCACCTGAAAGCGGTGTGGTACCCACATACATCGCGCGCGCAGATTTTTTTTTATGTCATCACGTGATGCATACATTTAAATAATTTAGCAAAACAAAATGGAAGACAGCCGTTGGAACTGGCGTATTTTTACGGACAAGCCATCGAAATCGTCAAGATTTTTCACATTTTTTTGTGTGGTCTGTTTCATTGGAAATGTCGATCATTAGGCTTCGTAAATGACTGCTGAATGTATGAGGTATGTAAATGAACTCTGAGGTGGGATATTAGACATGTTAGAACTTAGAGGTGAAAATGAACAATTTTTGAGAGGCCATTTTTTTAGGGTCTCTTGCTACCACATTCTAACGAACAGGTTTTGCCTCCAGCGTTACATGTGAATGAATATGGAGCATGTCAGCTGGAGTTACTCAAGCTAGATGACGCGCAGGTCACTGGTCACGCAAAATCCAACCAATCAGAGCGTGAATTCATCAGAGTATCCCAGCGTCCTGTTTGCAGGGCGGGGGGTACGAGCGAAGTAATGAATGCAGACAGAGCGGTGTTGCAGCGCCCTCTATCGGATGTCACCGATTTAGTTTATGTGTTCTGTTAACCACCGGTGCACCACTGACAACTTCACGACACAAGGAGAAAAAAAAACTTAGTCGTAAAAAGAATATTAAGTAAACGTGCCGAATTTGCGCAGTTAATTACCACAACTATCTTGGTAGATACATCGTGCATTCTTCAATCACAAAATTCATATGCCAAAATGTACTGACCTGCGTAGACATGAATTCAGGACTGGTTTTGAAGGCAACTTGCAAAGTGTGAAAATTCTCCTGGGCGCCGCCATTGTGAAACTTGGCGTCTAGTCACCAGACGTCATCAACCACATGTAATAAGTTATGAAAATTAAGCAGGGCACCCGACTATACCAGTTTACCATTTTTTTTATTGAGGGCGCTCTACTGGTTTCACGTGCACTCATCGAGTCGCGCGAATATTAAATCGCCACATGTCGAATTGATTTCAATCCCCCCCCCCCCAAAAAAAATGGTATCCCTATCAGGTGAGTACTATTCATTTTAAAATGGCTGTTTTTAGTATCAGTTTAAAGATGTACTGTTCATGTTACCCGAAAAAGAGTTGAATTTAAATTGACATTTATGAGAGTTGGTCCATGGTTGAGTGGTCCACCGCCCCCACCGGCATGACAGGACAGGTGTAGCATAGCATGAATTTAGGTTTTATGAAATACGGACTCATTGTGGTATTGCGCATACTCATGCATTGATAATTAGGAGAGGGACCGGTCACGCGTGAGAGGGTTTAACCAATAAAACTAAAAGGGAAAAAGAGTCCGATTTTCATACGAGTCCAATTTTCATGTGACACCGGCACTACAGTCATGACAGTGATGTCATATCAGGTCAAACTTGTTATTGTTTGGTAAAGTTAGAGTCAAAGTGTTTTTATCATTCCAAAGTGAATTCTGCAACCTAAAACAGACTTCTCTTAACTCTATTGACAAAAAAAATGTAATTTTGGACAGTAGGCCCTATCTTTTAGTCGAATTGCAGTATCTATAGCCCAAGTAACTTGGAGTTGGACACAACTTACATGACTTATGGATGGCCCTTTTTAATATTTGGGAGAAAAGATTCCAATATCTGGCAATCACTTGTCACCCCTTGCACAAACCCCATGAGACTGGTCTGACACTTTCTAAGTGTTTTTCCCCAGTAAATACTTCAATATTTTCCCTGCTAAATTTGACTTTTTTAGGACATATTAATCACTTTCTGATGGCTGTCTATAGGTCACTGCCAGGAAAAATTAGTGATGGCCAGATATGGCAAATCTTTCCTACAGTTCAATTCAGTGATGCCATGCAAATCATTTGGGGAAAAATGTAGCTTGAATCGCTGCGTAGCTACATACAGAGGAAGTCTAATACTTGAGACACATTTAATGATCAATGGGGAGTGTTGGTTCTCAACTTCTCATTTTGCCAGTTTCATTTCTTTTCAGGGTTGGATGATGAGAGATATGTCTAAATTATTTGGGGATCGACATCTTAAGACATTTGCAGCCCCAGGGAAAACATGGATGGGGACGTTATACCCCCCCTCCCCCCCCCCCCCCCCCCCCCCCGGGCCCAGTCCACACCCTACCCCAACACTGGGATGATGTTAAAAGAAACAGATGTGGCCAACACACACAAGCAAGACTTTGAAAAGTAAGGCTTGGTTGAAGTTTAAAATGAAGAATAATTATTATGTGGACTTTATACTGAAATTTCTGGCAACATATTTTCTGGATCTCACTCTAAAGGGAATGTACATCATCGGCTTTTGCTGTAATTTTCAGAAATGAACTATTTGGGGGGTTAGCATAATAGATTGTTACACTGACAAAGATACTTGAGGTTTTGTGACACAAAACTTCGTGTTCGAAAATGCTGGAAAAACCATGAAAAACAAAAATGTTCAAGTAGTCTGGTTCCCTGACTCCACTAAAGATGAAATGAATCAAAAATGCGGGAAAATTGTAAGCTAGGGAACCAGTCTAGCTGGCCTGCCTGCACCCGTTCATGAACATGGAACCAATAGTAAACAAAATTTGGACTGAAAAAAAAGCAGAAGTTGAAAAATAGTTAGGTTTTTCCAACGGTGGTCGGCCGACCACCGTTGGAAATGTATACAAAAATACAATTTTCTTGAAAATGACTTCACACCAGGTGTCCTAATTTTACATGATGCTTTAGACTGTCATTTTCCAATATCATAGTAAGGTATTTCGTAACAACTTGGTAGTTTTATTTTTCGATGTTTGCAAATGTTGTATTTTCCCTTTAACATGTTTAATGAATGGTTCTCCTCCAAATTCATTACCACATACAAGAACCGGTGTGTTTGTACATGTATGTTACGTCCCAAAAACAATATCATTGTTCCTCGACTAGGCCTTGATACAAATATTGAGTGGCTCCAGTGAAATGGGAGAAATATTATCGCAAGGTAAATCTGGACTTTTCCATTTCACGAGAAACTACTCTTTTTTTTTTTTTACTTGGCCTAGTGTATTTGTTGTATTGCAGCTACTTGTACAACAAACAATTGTACAATGTGACTAAAACTGACTTTAGTAAGAGTTCTTTGAGCGAAAAGAACAAAAAATCCCCACCAAATGAAAACTTGATTCAACCCACAGCACTGACATGGAATATAATGATTGTTTGGAAGTCTCAAAAGTGTATGAAGGCTAACTAAAAAAAAATCACGTTTAGCGTCCCCGCTTCCTTAATGGAGGCCGCCTCCTTTTTTTTCTTTTTTTTGTAAACCGAAAAAATAATAAATTTTAAACAGTGACATCATTTTGGCCTCTTTGTTTGTTGCATCTAGCCTATATAACTGGTATGTCATTTTCTGAGTCAATGGCCGCAATTTAAAAAAAAAAATTGGCGGCCATCTTCAAAAATAGCATCGGGCAGCAAGTTAGGAGGGGGAAAAAGGGCCTCCCACTTCTTTTTTTCAAAAAGGCAGGACGCTAAACATTTTTTTTATTTGGCCTTAAGGGACTGATGTAGAAACAATTTCAGGGGTTATTTTTTTTTAAATACTGATCAGTCCGCCTTCAATTCGAGAACAATTCTGATTTTGACCTATTGCACAAAATAAAAGGCCTATTTTAAAAAAGTTAGGGATTCAAATTCAAGAAACAGAAAGAATGTTGCAACCTGACGCTGTTTTTTTCTTTCATTTATCATCTCAATGAAGGTCAGTCATTGCAAACATAATAAGACGTGAATCTGGGACTGAGAAACATTTCCAATTTTGTTAGGCAAATACTTTTCTTGACTCTCCATAGACTTTGTACACAACCGCTGAAGTGGCGTCAGGTTGCAATATTCCTTTCCCACGGAACAAGTGGAAAATTGGTCCACTGAGCAAATAAAATAAAATTCCAAGAGAGTCCGCTTTTTTCCATTTGGCATGTTTCCCAGATTAAAAACATGAAAGAAAATGTTTTGGTTTCCTTTGTATTTTACCAGACACAAAAAATGCTGTCCTTGGAACGTTGTCTGACAAACAGATCCTAGGTACAACTGAAGTTAGGTGTGAAATTAGATTTTACCACACACAGAACAAATATTCTCAGGGGTTTTTTTTGCAATATCATGTTACTGTTATAATAAAAAAAACAAAAATTGCCAATTCATTCTGAATAGGAACCCATTGCTTGAGGTATTTCTAAGTAAGAGAACTATTGTCAAACTACATCCATTCCAGAGATATTATGAACTGACCTCGGATGCATTGTTGTGTACCAGTGTCCGCCTATCACAAATCCTTACCCTCTGACTTGTCAGCGCTGCCGTGGAAACGCCAAACAGAAAGGCCAGATAAATTGTAAAGTTTCGTTCCGTGACCCGTACTTACTTTATGGCCAACTTTAATCTGTGACGCAAACACGTACACAGGGGGGAAAAAAGCTCATAATTGTTGATGCTAGCTGGAGCGGCGAATCGTGACTGGGAAGTTTCAGCCTCCCCGGCATTTCTAGCTGAACAGGTAAGTGGGGCGGTCGACGTTTTATGGACTGGCCTAAAAAGTAGAATAGTCTCTGCAATTGTTGATGCAGATTATGAGTCGAAAAAACTTGGTAATTTATATTAATTCATCAAACTCTGTTGAAGTTTTTGCAGAAATACGATTTGCGAAGTTATCAGTGAATTTTGAAGAAGAAAGCTCTGGCAATTGTAACAGTTTTGACAATTGAGTGATTTTTGTTTTTCTACTCATACGGATAAAACACCGACTTGCATTGTGTACCAAAGTTTTACTGTTGGAAGCAATTTATATTTTGTGTATTTAAGCAAATATGCATTGGAACTTGCAATTTATATGGTGACTGCTCTATGTTCCGACACCCCTATGTTCCGACAACATAGATTGTGTTACTCCCGGTTAGGGTTAGGGTTAGGAATAGGAATATGTGCAGTCGGAACATAGGGGTGTCGGAACATAGAGGTGTAACCATTTATATTTTATGTATTTAGGTGAATATGCATTGGAAGCATTTTTTATTTTATGTATTCAGGAGAATACTCTTAGGAATCCATGTATCATGTTTTAAGGCTAATGTGCTTTGAAAGCAATTTACATTTTATGTATTTAGGTGAATATGCTTTGGAAGCAATATTTTATGTATTTATGTGAATATTCTTTGGAAGCAATTTATATTTTATGTATTTAGGCTAGTTATATTCTTTGGAAGCAATTTATATTTTATGTATTTAGGCTAATATGCTTTGAAAGCAATTTATATTTTATGTATTTAGGCGAATATGCATTGGAAGCAATTTATATTTTATGTATTTAGGCGAATATGCTTTGAAAGCAATTTATATTTTATGTATTTAGGCGAATATGCATTGGAAGCAATTTATATTTTATGTATGTAGGCGAATATGCATTGGAAGCAATTTTTATTTTATGTATATAGGAGAATATTCTTAGGAATCAATTTATATATCATGTTTTAAGGCTAATGTGCTTTGAAAGCAATTTATATTTTATGTATTTAGGTGAACATGCTTTGGAAGCAATATTTTATGTATTTATGTGAATATTCTTTGGAAGCAATTTATATTTTATGTATTTAGGCTAGTTATATTCTTAGGAAGCAATTTATATTTTAAGAATTTAGGCAAATATTCTTTGGAAGCAATATTTTATGTATTTAGGCTAATATGCTTTCGAAGCAATAGTTTATGAATTTAGGCTAATTATGTTATATTTTATTTATTTAGGCTACTACCGGTATGCTTTGGAAGCAATTTATATTTTATTAGAGGCCTGAAAACCAACAAGTACTGCAGTTATAAAAATAGTATTTTCATAATTGCTTTTTGATTATTATACTGGTACATGGCAAGTTGTGATGGCGCGGCTAGGTTCTGCAACCCTGTCACAATTTCTGAGAAAAATATTAGAATAATTTTTATTCATTTTTCCCCTGTAGACGGAGAATCAGCTTGAGACAACTTACCCCCAAATCGGCCAAAACTTGAGAGGAATTTGTCTTGTGAACCAAACGCGGAAGCTAACCAGCATGGACGCTTCTTCGGCTGCAAGGATTGTCGTCTTTCTGCTCACATTACAAGGTAATGCTTGTTTTCCTTGGACTTTGAAAAGCACTTCTCCATCTTGGTTTCTTTTATTTTTATTTTATGTTGGTTTTTATTCAGTTTCATTTCATGAAAAGAAGAAAGAGTGAAAAAGTTCCTAAATTTCTAAAAATGCATGAAAGAAGTTCAAGTTGTTTTCCTCGCAATCTTTTCAAGTTTCATCCTCAAAAATAACTTCCTGCTCTCAGGCCAAAAAAAAAAGTATCCGGGTTCCGGTATGGAGCTTTGCCCAAAAAGTGGTGCGGCGACGCGGTTTTTTTTTTTTTTCTATTTTTTTCCCTTCAATTGTCGGCTGATGACTACTCAACATTTTATGTCATGTGACACTTTTCTTTACTTTATTTTACCATAACTATTCAAATATTCGGAAATAAATGAAGGAAAAAGATTCAAATTTTTAATACTGCAAATATTTATCAGAATCAAGTGAAGAAGAGTTAAGAGTTGTTAATCTTTTACACAACACAGAACCCCAACCCTAAAAAAATAATAAGAAAGATGAACACATTTAAAACCAAACGCTGATTCCCAAACTCAAACCAGCATTACAAAAAAACGGAGAACATTTGGCCGTTCTTTTTCTGCTCACCTCAAATTTCTTGTCGTCCTGTGTCTCTGAATTTCTCATTTTCTTTCAAAAGCCATTTATAATAATAAAAACAATAACGGGTTGTTAAAGATCATTATTAAAGATTAAAGCACTTTACATCATTATTACCCCTGCTTATTGGGCCATTTAAACATTCCAAATACAATGTCAGCTCTCTGGGGAGTATACAGCTGCCTGTTCGGCACAAGGAAGCTAGAACCAATCACAATAACCATCTCTGCCCTCACAGCACCCATTTACTCCTGGGTGGAGAGAAGCAATGAGTGACAAAGTGCCTTGCCCAAGGGCACATGCACCACAACCCCAGGCTGGACTCGAACCCACAACCCGCAGAATTCCCCGCAGACCACGAATTCAGTGCCCCAGACCACGAGGCCACGGCACTCCACGTAACCCTGTTTTGGATAATCGCCTCATAGTGAATTAACATCAATATTACACTGTTTAATGACACCGTCTCTCGGATTTTCAACAGCTGTGGCATCCGCGCCGTATTATGGCAAAGAGATCGGCCAGTTCAGCACCAGATTCCACCTGGTGTCAGGGACCGTGTATGCTGTGGATGAAACAACCGTCATGATTCGAGGATTCAACTACGATGGCCTTGGCCCTGGTAAGATATAATCTCATCCCTGATTGGTTGAAGGATGATTCACTTTGCATTCCGATTGGCTGAGTTTATAATTAGAATCTGGAGTTTATAGAGTGTGAAGCACGTTATCAGTGATTTTTTTTTTTTTAATTTATTTGAGTATAAATCGATATTTAAATCAGTGATTTAAACCAACGTGATTTATATCAGCCAACCCTGAACAAAAGTCACAAAGCGCTTTACAATTATTACCCCTGTTCATCAGGCTATGAGACTGCAAACTAGTCTCTATCGCCACAGTTACCCCTTTATACTCCTGGATGTAGTCTATGTAACCATAGTAACAGACCATGGCCAATGCCATATAGTCTATAACATTTGAGCAGATTCGCTGATTAATTATGCAAGACAACTGCATCTTGACCTCTAGATTTTGACCAGTCAGCGGGCGCTGTATATATCGCGTCTTCGGTCATTCACTGTTGTCGGGTCATAGACATGGATGAACAAAAATCTAGACACAGCGACAAAGGCTGTAGTCACGCGCTCTGTATTATGTTATGTGATACGCGCCCAGCTGTTGTATTACCAAACGCTGCATTCAAATTGACCAATCATACGTTTAGTCCTGATTTGGGATTGGAATGATGTCACGATTTAGTAAAGTCGACTCCGATTGGCTTGTGCGCAGCTTGCATAAATCTGCATGCTTTGACGTATCAGACGTTATACAGGCGACTTGGCTGCATGGATAATGGGTGATACTCAGACTAGATGTGGACTAAGAGAGGCAATTGGAGTAAAGTGCCTTGCCAATGGACAACAGCGCCATACTCCTCAGCAAGGTTCAAACCACATGCATTACCACTGCACATTTCTATCTCTTTCTATCTTTGCATTCAGATGCCTTTTTCTGGGTCGGAACCACTGACTCTCCAAGTTCCACTGGACAACCAATCTATCTCGATTCCAGGTAAGACTATAATGCATCATTTATCTTAGTGTTAATCCAGTGAGTACTTTTCAACCAGTTTAAACCAGTTTTAGCTGGTTCTTAAACTGGTTATTTTTCATGAACCAAATCGGATTTTCTCTGGAACTTGATAGTTGCAAGATTTAAAAGAGTGAAAATGTCTTTTGGTGTCAGGCATGCAACTTTTCCTCGGATCAGCTGATTTCCTCTTTTTTCACTTCCAATGTGTGCCATTGAAAATAGAAAAACACTGTACAAAGTCTTGGAAAAATTTGAATTTCCTCTTTTTTGTGACTTCCCAGTTGCATGCCTGTGGTGTACTGACGTTGTGTTTATGGTGACTGCTCTATGTTCCAACACCCCTATGTTCCGACAACCTAGATTGTGTTACTCCCGGTTAGGATTAGGGTTAGGGTTAGGGTTAGGAATAGAAATATGTGCAGTTGGAACATAGGGGTGTCGGAACATAGAGGTGTAACCGTGTTTATTGCCCCGCCTAGGCTAGTTCACTGTAGACTTCCCAAGCTCACAGCTGTAGGATTGTTTACAATTTAGAAGATTTCTTTTATTTTTTTACAAGGAATCATGTTTTTGTTTAGGTTATTGTTTGTTTCACTTAAGAAGTACATTTACCAGGATGTGACTAGTGTTAGTGGACTACTGGTAATTTTTAGAAATGCATTTCTAAAATTCTTCCAAATCATTTAAACTGAAAGTTGTTCAATTTATTTTGAGAAAAAAAAATTTAACAGGGTACTTTTTTCCTGAAGAACCCAATTGATGTTAAAGTAACAAGATTTTGAAAAATAAACTTTTTTTTTTGGAAAGTATTTTGAAAAATTGTATTTGTGTGACGAAATTCATTTTGAAAATGCAATAAAAACTTCCTTTTGCCCTTTCTTTTGGTGAATCACTAGTTAATTTTGACATCTTAAATATAACGCAGATATTGTTGGCCGTTACTTTCGATTTTTATTGTGTAAGAATCGTTTGAAGGGCCAATGACATGAGTTGTACTTGGGAACATATTTTGTGCAACTTTCTACTCCTCTTTAATGCATGAAAACAATTTGACATCCCGTTTTGGTTAATCTTATTGAAAAGTGCACTTCTTTAAACATTTTTAAAAAAATTCCAAGCTTTTCCTGGGAAATGAGAGCGCTGTTGCTGTGATGTCATTTCAGGAAGACACTGTTCAGTTAAGGTGTTTTCTGTTCAAATGTTGAACCCAAACTTTGCTCCATGGCCTACTTTCTTTTACTGAAACAACAAAGAATCCCCAAAGAAAAGAAAATTTACGACAGCAAAATATCCAGAATTCTGGCAAATGTTGATGCTGAAATATTTGTAACATTGATTAAATCATAAGATGGGATTTTTGCGTCGGGGCGATGTAAATCAAATAAGGTTTTGCCCTTCACCGACCTAACCACCGAACTATATACAGTGTGTATATGTCGGCTAAGGGCAAAACCTAATTTGATTAACATTAACTAAGGTTTCTGCCTGAAATGACACCACTCTTTTGCTCATGAATATACACATTTTTCATTATTATAAAAACCACAAAGTTACCAAAATGCCCGTAAAAATGACAAAATGACGAAAAAAAGAGAACTTTAAATGGGACACAATGGTGCATTTACGAGGACTGTATTAAAACATTACATCACACGTGCCCTTTAAAGACCTAAATTTACTCAAAAGAAGCTCTAGCATTCTGTGACTGCTCTTGTTGGATGGGGTCACAAAAGAGAACTTCATTACTCACTACTACTTGTTGAAGTTGACAAGTTCATCGGACCGAAACATTGTATTCAACAAGAAAAGGCTCCTGGTACAAGCTGGCATATTGCCCAAGGTTTGAAGTAAAAGTAAAACAAAATTAAAACCGCACACACAAAACTGTTAAATAGCAAACAAAATGTGTCATAAGTGAGCGAACTTGCCCTTGTCCTTTGTTCTGATTTTTGTTTTGTGTTTGTGCCATGGGCGTCGCGAGGGGGGGGGGCAAAAATATGTTTTGCCCCCTCTAGAAAAAATCCTGGCGACGCCCATGGTTTGTGCATTGAAAAAAAACAATGGTTAATCTATGACAGCTGATGAAATTGATGACTTAACCTTCAAAGGTACATTGTAACTTTAATTATTTAAATCATTTTACGGGTAGGCCTATACAAGATCCACACTTCTCATCTGTTATCTCTGTTGACTAATAGAAATATTTAAATACGATATGCTGTTGATTTTTGGTTTTTGACCAAACAAAAGTGGGATTGTTGTGGGTCGGGTCAATAATGGCCCAACCCTCGTGTTTGTCAAGGTTCGTGTTCTGCCTTTTGTGCCCCCGGAATCAAAAGGGGTGCATGTCAGTGAAGTCTTGCGTCAATAAACAGAACGCTTTGAATTTGTTCCACCCACCACCGGGTACAAGAATTACTGGGTAATTGTTCACTAGTTGGACTTCAGAGAGAAAAACTCAAAAGTTCACCGTGACTTGACGAAACTTTTAAAAAGTGATGACGCATTTGAAATATCTAAACTGTTAGAAAGAAAACAGTTATCAAAGAAACATACAGCGTATTGTACTTTAACATCCTTTTCAATAGACGAAGCCGAGTACGTGATCCTGCACGGGACCCTGACTGCCCATTATGATTGATTATCTTAACAATAGGCAAAAAAAAGAAAGTCTCCGGTTTCTGGTATGTGCGTGCGTCGCCGTAGCCATGCGCGTCGGCAAAATGAAAAATTTTGTTTTCAATGTAAGAGGATGTCTCGAAACTGCCAACTCACTGGTTTGACTGGAATCCTACTGCTGCACAATTTTAACGTGTTTTTAGATGGGGTTACGATCGAGTATAAGCTTTAGGTGGCCTCTCTGGACTCCCATATATTTTGCACTAAATTTAGTCTGGCACCATTTGCAGTCATCAGCCGACATTTGAAGGGAAAAAAAGTTAAAAAAAAAAAGCTGCATTGCCGCACCACTTTTGGGGCAAGCTCCATACCAGAAACCGGAGACTTTTTTTTGGCCATAGCTAGCAGAATGATTTCACCATTGACAGGGGGGGGGGAGATCATAATAGAATTGACGGCCGCCCGGACTGTTGTATACTTTGCTCTGATGCACAGGGACACAGACCTGTCCTAGTTTGTCACAGGCCTTTTCACTCATCCTGGTTGGGTGATTTAGCATGTACAAAAAGTGCCAGGGTTGGAATAGACAGAGAATTATTCTCTTAGCTTTCCCACGGTGCTTTAAAGGGAATATACAACATTTGCAAACATCACAAAAACAAAACTACCAAAATTATCACAAAATACCTTACAGGACTGTTAGTGAATGACAGTCTAAAGCATCCTGTAGAATCCTGGCACCTGGTGTGCTAACATTTTCAAGAAAAGTGGTATTTTTGTATCGGCCGACCAGCACTGAAAAAAATCGGCCAACCAGCATTGGAAAAAAAAACTGGTTTTCTTCAAATACTGTCCCCAATTTACCATATTTAGTTAGCCCGCATTTTCTTTGCAATTGATTACACACCTGTGAACAATCGATCAAGGGTGGATCCAGGGGGGGGGGGCCGTTGCAATAAAGGCAGGCAATGAGTACACCACCATCTTTTCCTCAAAAAAACATTGGCTAAAGTGGTCAGAAATTGCCTCAGATCGCACCACAGAGCATCTAGAATCCCAAAAAAATTTGGGCCCCTTAAGCGGGCCCGGAACTCCACGCCGTAATTTTTTTTACCCACTTTCTGGGAACCAAATTGATTTCGCCCCCCCCCCCCCCAAATTGTGTTATGGATCTGCCCTTGCAATCGATAGGGGCATTACTAAGTCAAAACACCAAACCCATGCATGTAAAAAAGATGCATAAAAATACTGAGTCCAGCATTAAAAAAATGTAAACTTTTTTTTTTTTCAGTCAAAGCAAACTGGGAGCATACAGTAATGCAGAGGTGGTGATTTCCATGCCAACGGGCCAGAAGATCACCGATTTCAAATGGCTGTCGGTGTGGTGTAGGATGGCCGCCGTAAGTGAACATGTAGTTGATGTCGGTAGATGCAACGTGTAGCTGGCGTTGTCCCCTATAACTCATAATACTCTTGAAACTGACACGACAAAAATGAAATGTGCTTGTTAACATTTCCTCAGTAATAACTTCGTTACGTTGAAGGACAATTTCAAGTTCATGATAACTTTCGATACATATTTAGGCACTTTGAGACATTCGAAAGAGTCTCACAACTTAGTGCATTGGTTTCAACAGTCAGACTTTTTTTCTCATTTGAACACTTGTGACGTGGTCTAGCTGTCTGAACATATGTGATGCAATCAAGCTAAGCGAGTCGTTTGTTGGGAATTTTTATTCGGAGATTCAGGCTAAAAAGAAGGCCACTTCATCACATCACTTCATCACATCTCTTGGTGTTCCGAGTCCATAATTTGTGAACTAAAGATGGTATCAGCATGCTGTTTTCACAGCAGTAATGCTGAGATTGTGCTCTTTTCAAATCTGTAATGAAAAAAAAAAAAATTGACCAGGGTCGACAAACGACTCATTTAGCTTGATCGCATCACATGTATTATTTTTGTTTTTGACATGCCATTATTTGAACAGGAATAATATCAAAACCCTTTTGAAAATCAAACCAATACGTATAGGCCATCAGCCTGGGGGTTTGGTCAGTCTCAAATCAGGGCATAAATGATTATAGTGCGCATGCGCAAGGTATACCGCCCCTAGAGTGGTAACAAGCATTTTGATGGACATTTTGAAAAAAAAGGGTGATAACACCCAAAAAGCTGCCACCGCTGCAATGCTATCCCATATTTTCCAACTCTGGAGGTGTATACCTTGCCAAAAATCGCCATGACGATTATTCCCCTCATTGATACCGGTGGCCAAAATTTTGGACCGAGGCTGATGGCCTAATACCAGGGACAAAGTTAAGATTCCAAGCTTTAAAGTGATATAAAAATAATGGTGGTATGTTTCCGCGGCCATGCTAGAGCCTCGCAAAAAAGTGTTGCGGGTATTTTGGGACGCGCTGTACAGTATTTAACTGATGAACTTTCATTCTCTGTATTCCAACCTTTCGTCAGGCCAATTTTGGAGAAGTGATCATCCCGCCTGGCTTTGTGTTGCCGGCCGCCCATGACTTGGGTCCGCTGGTAGGCACGCAGCATGAGGTCAGTGCCAAAAAGGTCGTCATCCTTGACTCTCGCACCCTGCGCTTTGAGAAACTGGTTTACGACGGCAACGGTCCGGGTATGTTCAATTTATGTTTAGATGTAAGGAAGAAATAGAGATTTTTCTTCTCTTTAAATGGAGTCCCAAATCAAAGTCCATCAGGGTCATTCTGAAAATTTGGGGTTGAATTTTTTTCATGTCCTTGTTTAACATCTGCAGTATGATTTTTAAAATTCTTATGCACTCTTTAATGCAGTCATCCTCCAAGAGTGATAATGAATAACAAACAACCAACAAATACAAATTTGTTTGTCATTCTTAATGATACTGGAATTGTGAATTACAGAGAACCAAGGTATAGGGACAGGAAAAAATGACCAAAAATCACATGTAACAAAGAAATCTAGCAAGTTGAATTTTACTAGATTCAAACACTGAACTTTTCTTTAAAAGGTAAAAAGAATGCTTTTTTTTATTGAGTTTGCCACCCAAAAAGAAGGACTAATTTCAAATTTCAGTTAGTTAGAGGGAAAAGTACTTTGTCAAACAGGTAACTTTCAAACTGGACCGGAGCAAACAGAAAATAATAGGATTAAAAAAAGGAAACAAATTTAGATTTTATAACTTTAAAAAACATTGTGAAAGAAATTGATTTTCTTTAGAGTCAATTTATTTTTGGTCAGAAAGTTGTTATTCATTTTTAAGTTCAAAACTTCAGTAACAATAAGTGCAGTTTCCTTCCGAGAATCAATAGCTTTCTTTCCAATCTTCTGTAGTAAAGCTAAACTGGAAAAAACAGTCAAAGAACGATTATTCATGTCGCATTCATGGTTTAAAAATTGCGGGTATTTTGGGGTTTTTCCCCCCAAATTATTAGTTATGCCACTCACGTTGCATTTTCTGAGCAACAAGCCTACTGACCTCTATACTTTTGAGCGTAGCGATAGGCCTCTTTTCAACTTTCTTCTTTGGCATGTTTGGGGTACGCTTGCGGTTTTGTGCTGGAATTGATCCCCCCAGTCCCCTTTCCCGGCTGAATGGTTTTTGCAAAATCACATCCCAGCGGCTTCACAATGTATTATGCCGAAGGGCATCCAATGTGGCCTTCGAAAAGAATAATGACCTGACGCGGAATTGCTCTTTTTTCCTTCAAAACTGTTTGGCATGAGGCCATTAAAATAGCAACTAATACCAGTATAATCCTTGGAAAGCAATGGTAGATATGTCCATTAAGTAAAATAGCTTTAGAAACCCTTTTTCCACGGGGTTTTGTGGGAAATCTGACGAAGGCTAATTCTGTGAAATTTGAGGTTATTCCTTTCACTGCACGCCCATTCATTTATAAGCAGGTCATTTATAACCATTTAGCACAGTCATATTAGTTTGTTGGGTGTGGAAGATGAATGAAATACAGGCCATGATTTTGCAAAATGCTTTTTGGGGGGAAATAGCATTTCAGAATTTGTCACCAAAATCCTTCAAAACTGTCAGGGAGTTTTGCAGGATTCTGCAAAATTTCAGGAAGAACTATTTGTTGCCTCCGAGTATCATTATCTATACAATTTTAAATGTTTAAAGAAGTGTACTTTTCAATAAAATTAACCCCAAAGGGATGCCAAATAATTTTCTTCCATTTATGAGGAGAACAAAGTTGCACATGGCCCTTTAACTGCTGTAAGGATCCTCATCACTAAGTTGATAAATTAATGCTGGTTTTTTCGTCCTTTCCTCTTTTTTTCCCTTTTTTTTTGGGTCAATGTTTAGATGCCTACTTCTGGGCCGGGGTAACCGAAATACCGGATGAGAATGGTTTTGCACTGACATGGAGAGAGGGGTAGGTAAATTATTGTTCGTACGTAACCTCTTTTTGGGAGGCTGTTTGAGTCTAAGGATCTTCTTCTTCTTATTATTATTATTATTTATTTCTGGTAATGAAACCAAGGATTCCTCAAAAAACAACCCCAGTAAGGGATTTTCACTACGTGTACCTATGTGTGCATTGTGTACAGGATGAAAAATTACTACTTTTACATAACTGGCATTTTCTCCGCAACCCAAAGTGCTATTTTCAGGATTTTTTTTTCAGTATTTTAACGAAAAAGCTCTCAGCTTTAATCTGATACCCAAAACATAAAAATTCACCGATTTTTTTTTTTCTTTTTTTTTAAGCATATATGTTTTTGGGTTGCAATTTGTTTTGGTCACCCTGTGATGCAATTAAGCTAGATGAGTCATTTGTCAGGAACTTTCTTTTGGAGATTCAGGCCAAAATAGGGCCACTTCATTGCATCACTTCATCACATCTCTTGGTGTTCCGACTTTCATAATTGTTTAACTAAAGATGGTATCAGCATGCGGTTTTCGAAGCAGTAATGCTGAGATTATGCTCTTTTCCAATCTGTGATAAAAAAAATTTGACCAGGGTCGACAAATGACTCATTTAGCTTAATCGCATCACGTAAGGAAAAGAGAAAAGAACCATTGCGCTAACTTCACTCCTCTTGCATCTATTCTTCGTCCACGGAGTCTGACCAAATTGCAGACATTTTACCATTCATTGTAATTATATATCCCATCCTCCAGCAACAACCAAGTCATCCCCCGGGCGTTCGCCAACGAGACGTTCATCGTCAAAATCCCCCCGCCCCGTACCGTCTACGACATATCGTACGTGGGGCTGTGGTGTCACCTAGCGAAAGCGGACTTTGGCCACATCAAGATCAACGGCTCGGAGCTGAACGTGCCGGCGTCCCTGGGCACGCAGGGCATGGACTACCACGGCCAGCTGATTGGCGAGTTCGTCACGCTGGACCACGGGGTGGAGGGCACGGTGTATGCCGTGGACCAGAGACGAATCATGCTGCGAGACTTCAGCTACGATGGATCAGCTCCAGGTATTTCTTTTTTTTTTCGAATAAACCTTTCAACTCTTTAATAAATGTCTCCGGTTTCTGATATGGAGCTTGCCCAAAAAGTGGTGCGGCGACGCAGCTTTTTTTTTTTTTTTTTTTTTTTTGGCCGTTTTGTTTTCTTCAAATGTCGGCACTTGAAAGTGTGCAGTTGTGTACTTGTTCTACATACCCCGAGGACCGACACACAAAGGGAGAACAACAGATCCTTTCAGTCCTCGGGAGTTGGGTCTTTTGTTCAAAACGGTCCTCTGTAGTAAGTTTGTGTGCTTAATCTATGGGAGTATGTTATATTACAGGGACAAAGGAAAACACAAAGCATTGTCCTCGGGAGTATGGTAAAACAACAGTGTGTGAAAACAGCCGTGTATGATTGCAAATTGACGCTCCGTCTGAGTGATGACTCTGTTTCTTGGGATTTTTTTCAGATGCCTTTTTGTGGGCGGGTGTCAGTGATTTACCCAGTGTAATTGGAACGCCGTTGTACCTTGATAACAGGTAATTAGGAGAAAGTATCGTTTGTTCCCTGACCCCTTTGTCCTAGGTCCACGATTGCTGGTGTTTACACACTCACAAAAACAGCCTCAAAGGTCAATGAAAATGCAGAAAGTAACCGTACTTTTTGAGGGACAAGGTCATTTTTCCTTTGGCAATGGCACTTTTTTTCAGAAAAAAGTTTAAGTGTATTAAAGGTATACACAGTCCATCATTTGTAATTTGTGCATTTTGTTCGTTTGAAGCAACAAAAGTGCTCAAAATCTAAAGAAGGGTGCTGAACAACTAACCTGATGAAGTTTCAGCTCAGCTTCAGCTGTGTATTTTGAGAAAAACAACATTCTAGGATCTCGATTTCAAATCAAAAGTTGCTGAATCATGTTTTGAATTGGGCCTGAATTCAGCGTCCGGGACACGTTCTTACTGAGTTGATTGCAGCTACGCGATGTGGCGCACTGATCTGATGAATTTTAGCAACCACGCGCGTGCGTGCGTCGTGTCAACGCTTGGGCGCGCTTCGCCAAATAAAAAAAAACGAACTACTAATGAGAATTTCTTAAGACGCACCACCGTTGGAAAGGCCTTCTTTCGTTGATTTCTTCAAAATGACAGCTTGCCAGAAAGAATAATTTCGCAGGGAGTTTAGTCCCCTTACTATCTTTCAACCAAGTATGTTTTTCAACAATAATTACGCCAGTTACATTTTGGATAGCTGCAAATGGTGGACTCTGGCTCTAAGGCAAAGACCAATGTAGGTCAAGTCCCTTTTTGGCCTCTGTGAAGTTAACGAAACTTTATAATTATGTCAATCGTAAACCAATTTACTGTAGGTCAGAGTACGACTATACCAACCTTTTACATTAATCAAGTAGTTCGCTTGTTGATGAAGTGGCGTTTGACAGTTAAGCTTTGATGGCCGCTGCTATCATTTTTCGAGTGCTGTTTGCTGAGCGATAATCGAAATTCAAATAGCAACGCAGAAGTGTTGTCCTTTTGTGTTCTGTCAATTATTGACGAACAGTCATCGGGTGTTTTCTCACAACCAGAGCAATATTGCACAGAATTTGATGTATCTTAATGCAAAAAAACACAGTCAGAAAGCCCTGGATAAAATGTTTTGAATGGCAAAACTGCAGGCCAGTCAATGTCAGAACAGGGGCTCGAAACTGAATAGCAATGTTGTGATGCGATCAAGCTAAATGAGTCATTTGTCGACCCTGGTCAAATTTTTTTTATTACAGATTTGAAAAGAGCACAATCTCAGCATTACTGCTGTGAAAACCGCATGCTGATGCCATCTTTAGTTGATGATGAGAGGGATTTTTTAATATATTAAATGTTTGTCAATTTTCCAAAATCTGACTTTTCACGCAACATTAGTCGTTCTGGTTTTCATAGCTAGTTGTCATGCCTTTAATGTCACTGAACAATAAGTTTTGAAATTTGAATTGTATATGCTGTAATGGTTGTGGTTCTTCGTTAACAGTCGCGAGCCGTTAGGAGCGTATGGGGACAGCGTCCTCGTTGTTGAATTGGAGGAGGGGACCAAGATCACCGACTACAAATGGCTGTCCGTCTGGTGCCGGACCTTCCAGGTAAGAAGGAGGTAGGACTCGCTGGCCACACCCCATGACCCCACCCACTTCAGCCAATGGCCCCACCCACTTCACACAATAGTCCCACCCATGACCCCGTAACACCCTCTTCACCCAATGGCCCCACCCACTATACACTCAATGGCCACACCCTCATCACCCTGTAGCTGCACCGACTTTACCCCACAGCCCCAACCACATAACCTTATTGACCCCTCCCTCCCCGACATTATCCCCACCCTGATGACTCATCACCCCTTAACCCTACCAACACTCCCCATGGCCCCGCCATCCTTTTGCCCTGCACACGTCATTCTATAACCCATCCTATGGTCCTGCACACATCATTCTATGTCCCGCCCACATCATCCTATGGTCCCGCCCGTATCATCCTATGGTCCTGCCCGCTTCACCCTATGGCCCTGCCCACATCCTAAGGTCCCGCCCACATCATCCTTAGGTCCTGCCCACATCATCCTATGGTCCTGCCCGCATCATCCTATGGTCCCACCCGCATCATCCTATGGTCTCGCCCACATTATCCTATGGCCCCGCCCACATCCTATGGCCCCGCCCACATCATCCTATGGTCCCACTCGCATCATCCTATGGTACCACCCGCATCATTCCATGGTCCCGCCCGCATCATCCTATGGCCCCGCCCACATCATTCTATAGCCCCACCCACATCATCCCATGGCCCTGCCCACATCATCATATGGCCTATCCACACCATCCTTCCTGAGGACCTGCCCACTTCCCCTTCTGGCCACGCCCACTTCACTCATGAACCTTCCTCTTTCAAATAAAATGTAAGTTCACCGAGCTAAAATTGGCTTTTACTGAATGAAAAACAAAAAAGAATGGGCCAAATCTCCCACATTAATATTTTGAATAGAACTTTAACAGTTTGATCATCCACTTTTTACCTTTTTTATTTTTTACTTTTTTTTATATTCCCCTCCCAAATAGGTCAACTTTGGTTACCTGAACATCTCAGCCAGCCTCTCTCTACCGGACAAGTATAACCTGGGTGCCTTGCCCACCAAGGCCCATGATGTCAAAGCTGACGCCGTCTACATTCTGGACGCCAAGACCTTCTTCTTTGTCAATTTCTTCTACGATGGCGCTGGACCAGGTGAACACTTTTTTTACAAAAAATGAAAAATTTTCCTTATTTTTTGCAAGGTGGTAGTTCTTCATGGCGAGTAACCACTTGTTTTCTTGCTTTCAGATACTTATTTTTGGGCTGGAAAAACAGTGGATCCGGATGCAAATGGCTTCCCGCTTATATGGAAAACCGGGTAGGTACATGCCTTTCTTGGAGAAGGAATTCATTTCTGAAAGTTTTGGAGGTGTGGAAAAAGGCACACCTGGATTTTTCCAGGCGTGTGGTTTTTCTAGTTGTGTGATTTTCTAGGTGGGTGATTCTGTGGTCTAGAGAAATCCAGGCGTGCAATTATTCACACTTCTCGGGAAGCTTTTAGGCGTGGGATGGCGTGGGGGTGCGATCACACGCCTCAAATCAGAAGGACTGGAAGAAAAACTTGTCACACCTCAGAAGCCTGTTTAGTTTTGCATTCTCAGCTAATCTCAAAACAAATCTGAATCCTGAATACTCATTGATCAATTCCATAGCAACAAGCTAAATCTGATTCTGTAAGACTAATTTTACACCCACATATGTGATGCAATCAAGCTAAATGAGTCGTTTGTCGACCCCGGTAAAAAAAAAAATTATTACAGATTTGAAAAGAGCACAATCTCAGCATTACTGCTGTGAAACCCGCATGCTAATACCATCTTTAGTTAAAAAATTATGGAAGTCGGAACACCAAGAGATGTGATGGCGTGATGAGATGAAGTGGCCCTATTTTGGCTTGTATCTCCAAATGAAAATTCCCGACAAACGACTAAATGTAGCTGTATATCACATATCTTCATTTGTGGTACATCTCAGTGAAAGTTGTTGCCATTTCATGTGAAATCATAGAGGGCGCTTTTATCTGACCTGTTCAATTGACTTTCTTTTTCAACATTCCTTCTTTCAATTCCCTGGCGTAATATTTTTGATCTCAATGGATCTTGTTTTCAGTGACAACCAGATAATTCCAAGTGGCACGGTGTTCAGTGGGGAGAACGTTACGGTCCGCATGCCCCCCGATATGACGGTGTTTGACATCACCTACGTCAGTGTATGGTGTCAGCAGGCCAAGGCGGACTTTGGCTCCATCAAGTTCAACCCTGACGTCCTGAACATTCCACCGTTCTTGGGCAGGGACGAAATGGTAAGTCGCTTATTAGCGCAGGCAAGGCTTTTTCTCGAGACCTCTCACAAATACATTGAACATCAGATTTGATTTAAGTCCAGCGTGAATAATAATAATAATAATAACTGTATTTATATAGCGCCTTTTGCCAGAGGATACAAAGTGCTGGGGAAGAATGCAACCAAATTAAGACAGGTAAATGAAGTATATGAACAGATGAGACTCATATGTAGCAACATAATGAGCAAAGCCTCTGAATGCTTTGACTTTCAACATGCAAAACGGCAACCGTAAGTAATCATAGGCAATGATTGTACTACTCGTACTAGGTACTCGTACTCGAGTACTACTCGAGTACTTTTTTTGGAGTATTCATACTGGAATGTCAAAGTACTCTTACTCGAAATGACGGTACTCGTACTCGGGCAGCAAAGTACTCCTACTCGGTCAGCAAAGTACTCATACTCGACATGTCGAAATTGTACTCGATCATCAAAGTACTCGTACTACCATGGCCTTATTTTATCGATACTTGCAGTTTGAAATGGTTAAATTGCTTGTAGAGAAATCAAAGTTTCCTGAGTTTCCTCTGTGCGTGTCTGGACAAACACATTTAACAGCTAGCCTTGAGTGGGTCTGTATATCGGTCTGACTGGGCCTGGGCCAATTACGCACAATGAACCATTTGCTGAATGGCTGTATTCGGAAATACAAGTATATTCGTACTTGGAAGTAAAAGTACTTGTACTCGGAAGTACAAGTACTCGTACTCGGAGACCTGTACTTGTACTTGGAGGTACAAGTACTCATACTCAGCAACCTAAGTACTCGGCACTACTCGGTACTCGGAAAAAAGTACTCGACTACAGCACTGTTGCTTAGCATGTAAATTTGCTGAGCAATCTGCTTATCAGGTTCTTGAAATCGGGCCCTGAACGTTTGTCGGTCAAGCATTTACCGTGTTTTTCTTTTCTCTCATCAGTCGGAGTTGCCCAACTGCGCGGTGATGATCGACGACGAATTCCAGGCCAGCTGGATGGTCAGTGGGTCAAGCATCACGGTCCGGCTGAGCGGCCGGGTCGCCAAGGGTCAGTACCTGGCCTTCGGGATCAGCGGCTCCACCACGCGGACCCTGATGGACGGCTCGGACGTGGCCGTGGTCTGGGAGAAAGAAGACGGAAGCACCGGCGTGGTGGACTACAATCTTCATTCCAAACAGCAGGTACCTGTTGATTGAATTTGCACTGGTTAACCCAATTGTACTACATTGTATTACATTGTATTTATTCCCTGATGAGTCCATAAAATCACGGAGCGCTTGGGCGGTTTTGGGCGGTGCAGGGAGTCTCAGGCAGTGCGGTTTAGGCTGATACTGGGACAATTGGGTTAAGCTTGCGCTCCTCATGTTTATTTTGAGGTTTCACCCCCAAAAATAGATTTTTTTTTTTCATTGCTTTTTCTTCAGCAATATACAAAAGTTATTTACTTTTGTATTGGAAATTAAATGAAAAGAATTAGCATGAAATCATTACTTTATTTCTTAAATAATTATACAACTTTTGTATTGTTGTGGCTCAAAAGTAACTCAGGTGGAGCTTTTTGTGTGTTTGCAACCCAAACCAAAACAACCAAAATAACAGCCTTTTCTTTCAGAAGGTTGTAAATGCCCAAAATTTGTCCAAAAAAGGAGTTCTTTTTGTAGAAATAGAATTTACAAATTGAAAACTTGAAAGAGGCACGATTGGGTGTGTTCGTTTAGCTCACTTGGGTCGACACAGGTAAAGGCAGACGGGTCAGCCACGACAGCCAGGCTAATCGAACGTTCAACCGCAGGCCATCACAATCCTCACGTGATGCCCTTAGCTGTGGCCGTAGCCACTGACAAAACGGCCGTTTAGGATTGGGTCTTAGTTTGAGATTTACTGCTTTTTAGTCGATGGCAAAACTCAAAAAAGTTGGGCTGAAATTATTGCCTGAAAAGTCGCAATGAACTGAATAAACTGATTACCTTTAGACTTCAAATAAAATCAACTTTTAAGTCCACTTCAGACTGCCGCTGTCCGGCCGCCATATTTGTTCGTTTCTAGGGAATGGATAACCCACGTGTGACGTACTTCCACCAGTGACTCTGCTCCATGAGCAGGGTCTGTGGTGGCTGACCCGGGTGAGCCCGAGAATGACGTCAGAGTTAATCGAACAGCACGGGGCTGACTGTGTCGACCCGGGTGAGCTAAACGAACGCACCCATTGCGTGCGCCACTTTCAAAAATTGGGTACATTCCACATAAGCTTTGACATCAACTTTTATTAAAGCTTTGGTAATAAACTGTTTGCTTTGTAGTGCACCTTGAGAGGTGACGAGCGAGTCGGTGCCTGTGAAGACACGGCTTTCGGCGGGACGGAAAATGTCGACTTTGTCGCTTACTCGGATGTCGACGGTATCAAACACTTCACGTACACTCGTCTGCTTGACACAGGTAATCTGCATACTGCCACCGATCAGTATTCCCTTTTTAAATTTTATTTAATAGGCCGGTTGAGGTGGCTTAACCTAAAAACAACTACAGGTTCGGGGCTTGTTAAGTTACAAAGGACCCGAAGTTGTTATTCTGATATAAGAATAAAATTAAATTAAATAAATTAATTTACATTTTTTAGTACCTGTAGGTCTCTATTTTTGTTTTTAATTTTCAAGTTGATTAGTTTTTTCCTTAATATAGCTTTTCCCGGTCAATTTCTTAAATGTTCATTCACTTCTGAAAATCAGTTATTCATTTTTGTCTGAATTTGAGAATCGCTCTGTACACGTGTTTTGTTTTTGCTACCAGAGCATTTGATTGCATTTCAGTTCAATCAATTAAGTGATTGAGCAGCACCTTTCGTTATATATCCGTTCACATTCGTTAACGAGACTTCTTTTTCACTTTTAGAGGGCCATTTCAAACATTCGCCATTCTATTTCACTATTGGTATCAGGTTTGGAATTCTGTAATGTAATCTGCTATTTTCAATGAGAAAAACGTACTCGATTGCACATTCATGAAATGGTTTTCCAGAACTCTGCGCGAAAAGGTATGCTTGCGTAAATGAATGCACAGGTAACGTAATTGGCCGTCTGTTTCTCAAAACCGAATGCACGGACAATGAAAACGATTGAACTTTTGTTGAATTGAATTGGGATTAAAGATATGCATTCAAATTCAGACGAAAACGAATGACCGATTTTCAGAAGTGAACGAACATTTCAGGAAATTGGCTGGGAAAACCTATATTTGAAGTTGATTTTTATCTGAAGGTTTTGATGTTACGTGTATTTGCAAAGCGCATGTGTGCAATTGGCATATCATATAAATGACATCATTATTCTTAAGATTTGTTCAGTTCATATTTGTACATAACATTTACTCTGAGTCCTCTGTTGAATTTGTTTGGATTTTTACAGGAGATTCCATCGACAAGGTTATTTTGACAGACCAAGAGATGTACATCTCGTGGGCCTTGGGATCAATTAACCCGGACGGCAGGGTAGCCAAGCACATCAAGGCACCTCTTGGTAATTAGGCGTCATCTCGTTACATATCAGGGATTAACCGCGGACAAGTTTGTCTGCAATCGTGGATCATTTTCCCCATAAAGCCTGTCGCGAGGCCAATGTGACCCATCAGGCCGGTGTTTGTCTCTGACTTCAGTAGCATGAAACAACTGAGAATATTTCTATTCCCCCCTGGATGGGGTATACTCCCCAGCTAATGCCGGTACCCATTTATACACTCTTGAGTGGAGAGAGGCAAGTGGGGTGAAGTGGCTTGCCCAAGGACACAACATTATGGCCAGCACTGGATTCGAGCCCCTGAACCTATACCACTAGGCCACACTCCCCGCTGAATTTTTTTAAAAGCTTTCTGAAAAAGTTAGTGGAGTCAGCCTGATTAGTGGTGGGCAATCGCTCGGTTATGGTCGTAAAGTCATCAGTTGAAGTGAGGTGTTGTCCCCGGGCAAGATAGTTTACTGCAATTTCCTTCCTAAAGCTTATAAAGCAGACGGGTTGCTGCACAGATACCGGCCGCAATTCCTGCATTTTAATGCTTTTTGACCGTCCGGCTGATGCACTAGTACTCTGCCTTCTGCCTGAAGTGACCAAAATTGGCATAAATTTCCTAACTTTTGATGGAAAACAATTTAATTGTTGGGTTATTTTTTTATTGTTCAGGGGACGTGAAGCTGAACTTTGGCAGTGCCTCGTCCTCCTGTCCACCGTTCAAGTTGACACTGACGCCGCCACCGGATCGGCCGGGCTGGCCCAAGCAACGCATCAACCTGGAAGAGGAGCTCCGCGTTGAGATCGGGCAGAACGGCGGGAAAAGGGGCTACGAGTCCGTCACAGGTATGATTGGTCAAGGGCAGATACTTAGTACTTGGTTGGTGGTCCTCCGAAATATTCCATCTAGGGAATTAAAACTGGAGGTGTGGCACCAGGGTTTATAAGGTGCTGCGGCCACTGCCAGAAACACCGGGGCAAACCCCTTCTCTTAGCGACAAGTGTATTACTGGGTTCTTTAACGTGCATTACACAACACACGGGACCTACGGCTTGACGTCCCATCCGAAGGACGAAGCAATAGTGGTAAAGTACCTTGCTCAAGAGCACAAGCACTATGTTCCCACGGCCAGGATTCGAACCCGTGTACCACGGCACACGAGTCGAACACCGTAACCATTGGACCACAGCACCCCACCCCAGATACAAGGGAGATGGGAATGGGGCCGGGGGGGGGGGGGGGGGGAGATGACGGAAGTCTGAGTATCACCCGTTATCCACGGAGCAAGTCTCCTGTATAACGTCTGATATGTCTAGACATGCAGATATCATGCAAGCCGTGCGCCAGCCAATCAAAGTCGACGTTACTAAATCGTGACGTCATTTCATCATTCCCGAATCAGGACTAAATGGTTTGATTGGTCCATTCGAGTGCAGTGTCTTGTAATACAACAACAGTAATTACGTCAGTTACTTTTTGGATAGCTGCAAATGATGGACTTTAGCTTATAACGCATTGCCTCATCCACCCCCCCCCCCTTGAAAAAATCATGGACTTCGTTGCCCCAGCCACCCCTCTCCCATATCCCACCCCACCCAACCCACCCTCCCCAATTCCTGGAAAATCTGAGATCCGCAACTTGATGTGTCCACAAGTACTGCATTCAAATATAATCTGCCGGCTGATATAAAGTCAACTTAAACGCTTTTATTCTTGATTGTTATAATGCCGTTCCTTATCCAGGTAAAGTCGGCTGGGGTATTGCCTGGTACGTCAACGGTCGTCTGATCCCAGAGATCCACGTCGTGCGCGGCGTCAATTATACTTTCACTGTCTTCGGGGGCGACGATCCGGACCAGTCGGCCAGATATCATCCCTTCTACCTCACCAACGACACAGTGGGAGGGTACGCACAGCAGACTGAAGACGAGAAACGGGTAAAGAATAACTCAGAAAAATTTGAAAGTTAACTCGGCCTTGAAAGAGAAAATGCTTATAATGAAAGCGTCTTTATATTCCACAGAACAATCTAGAAATCTCTGTTATTATGCACTTTTGCAAAGTGGGGAGAGTTCCTAAAAGTCCCTTGAGAAAGTTCTCAAGCCTTCCTTGAGAAAGCTCTCACAGCTCCCATGAGAATGTCTCAGACTTCCATTAAGAAAGGCCCAGACCTCCATTGAGAAAGTTTCAGACCTCACCTCCCCCTAGAAAGTCCCAGGCGTCCCCCGAGAAAGTCCCGGACCTCCCCCGAGAAAGTCTCAGACGTCCCCCAAGAAAGTCCCAGACAACCCCCGAGAAAGTCCAGGATGTCCCCTGAGAATATCCCGGACATCCCCTGAGAAAGTCCAAGACCTCCCCCAAGAAAGTCCTGGACCTCCACCGAGAAAGTCCCGGACCTCCCCCGAGAAAGTCCTGGACCTCCACCGAGAAAGTCCCGGACCTCCCCCGAGAAAGTCCAAGACCTCCCCAGAGAAAGTCCTGAACCTCCCCTGAGAAAGTCCTGGACCTCCCCCGATAAGGTCCTGGACCTCCCCAAGAGAAAGTCTCAGACCTCCCCCTAGAGCGTCTCGGACCTCCCCCGAGAAAGTCTCATTTCTCCCCCGAGAAAGTCTCAGACTCCCCAGAGCCTCAGACCTCCTCTGAAGCCTCCCTTGAGAAAGCTCTCAATTAAAAGCCGCCCAAGAGAAAGCTCTCAAGCCTTGCAAATTTCTGTTTGCGATTTTCAAAAAGAGCTTAATATTCTCCAACAATTGTATCATACTAAATCCTCTTGAAACGATTTTCTTTTTGATTGCAGTATGTTGCGATCTACTCTGGACCACACAGTAAGTATTTTCTTTTCCTTTTTTAAAATCAAGCTTGGTTGTGTTGTTATTGTATTATTTCAATAAGTCGTATAAACATGATACTTAATATGAGTTTGCATTTGCATGGTGTCCTGTCTTCCAGCTGGGCCTTACTGTGAGTGGAAGGTCAGGGTACCCGGCACCTCTCCAGATCAATACAACAACTTCGCCGAGTACAAGGCGAGTCTTGTTCTGGCTTGCGACGACCCAAACGCAGCGGGCACGACGTTCTCTTGGATGCCAGATGCCAATACACCGGACGTTGTCTACTATCAAGTAAGCTACACCCGAAACAATCAATCATAATAATAACAGGCATTTTTATCTAGCGCTTTTAAATGTGGTATCAAAGCGCTTCAAAATTACCCCTGTTCAACGAGCAAACACTCCTGAAACCTCAACTCCCTGGGAGCATGCAAGGCCGGTTAAGGCAGCTATTTTGGCACTCTTGGCCGTAATCAACCTTTCACAGTAACCAACTCTGCCCTCACAGGTACCCATTTACTCCTGGGTGGAGAGATTTTAGCAATGAGTGACAAAGCCCCGTGCCCAAGGGCACACGCACCATAACCCCAGGCAGGAATCAAACCAACGTACAGCCTGCCGGGGTCAGGGAGCCAGACTACAACAACATGATTGTTTTTCTTGGTTTGTCCAGCATCTCCGAACACAAAACTTGAAAAAAGTCAGTGTAACAATATTTGCTACAAAATACTAACCCCCGAAATTCATACATTTTGAAAATTACAGCAACAGCAAATGTTGTATAATCCCTCTAAGCACTTTACGCTGAACAAGTTTTACAGTTTTGACCGGCATTTTGATGAACTTCGGTCGTGGAGTTTAGTAATTTGCTTGTGGAATTTTATTGTCCTGATGGTGCAGGAACCCTCAATCTCTCCTGAAGACGGTCAGAAGCCTGAAGACGGTCAGAGCATACTGACCAGAACGTCGAGTTTATACCTCTGGTTCTTTTCAGAACTATTCTCTTAGTTGAGATATTATTCGCACATGGTGTTTACGCAAACCTTTCATTCATTAGTTTCTCCACCATGCAAAGCCTCAAATCTTACTTAACCCTCAATATGGGTGGCTTGTGCGTATAAAGCGCTCGCCTCTCACCAAGGTGACCACGGTTCGAATCCTGGCCGCGGATCACATGTGAGTAGAGTTGTGCGTTGGTTCTCTCCTGTGCCACGAGGGTTTTTTTCCGGGCCCTCCGGTTTTCCTCCCTCCGGAAAAATCAAACTCTTTCGATCTCATGCTGTGCTCCGTGGTCATATATGGGGCGATGTGGCCGGCGGCCATCGGCGCCTTTACGTGCCAGCGGCCCGACCACGTTGTAGCCGCGTCCTTCGCAATTCGGCATCCCAGCTGCCAGTAAGGATGATTAGCCTCCCAAATTATTATTATAATAATATGATATGTTTTTGTCTACTCCCCTTTCTTCTGAACTGTTTCAGTGTTACACCCATCGGTTTCTGGGCTGGAAGATCTTTGTGACAGACGAAGCAGTAACCCTGCAGCCCACTACCCTGCCGCGGGTCGAAGAAACTCAGCCTCCGATGATGACAACCAAAGCTGGGGCCGACTCCACTGTGGCCGTGTCTCTGATGGTGCTTCTTACCGCGCTCCTCGCCTCCCTGACATGTCAATAGTCATCACGAAGGAGAAGTCTTGGTACGAGACTGAATTTGCATTTTTGTCCTCGTGATTCAGCCTGTAGAGTGAAATTTGGACTGTACGTAATACCGACTTGCATGTATTGCGCATGACTAAATGAAGATAATTAGAACAGCGACAAGTCCAATGTCGAGGCCCGTACGTTGGGGGTTCGAACGCTCAGAAATTTAAAAAAAAAAAAAAAATTGCCAAAAACAAAAACTGATTTTGTTGACCCACCCCCATCCCCCTACGAATCTCACCTTCAGGTTGTAAACAGAAGTTGTGAGGGGTAGAATCCATACAGAGACCAGCATGGGCGTCGCCAGGGTTTTTACTAGAGGGGGGCAAAACACACTTTCCCCCAAAATCCCTGTGCTTTTCCAGCAAATTTTCGATTACCATTTTTGAGGGGGGCAGAGACATTCCCCCCCCCCCCAATTATTGAATTAATAGCAGTATGACTCCCCATTTTTTTTTTTTTTAATTTTTTTTTGCTTTTGCTCCCCCCCCCCCATGGAGACCAGATTTCAAAGAAGTTCAAATTATATAAGAAACCAGCCCCGATCCCTTTTATTGTCACTATTTTGCAGCACAAAAGTGGAATTGCACTGTGATTTACAATAAAAGGTAAATTAAATATAAAATAAACACAATTCAAGAGAAAATAAAACACATTCAGAATCCACAAATACAAACCATTGTTTCAAAAAAATCAAGCTTAGAAAAAAGAGTTACAAAAATGTAAAAAAAAAAAAAAAAAATCGATGTTGATATATTGATGAGTCTAAGTGAGATTGGTAGCGGGCTATTTCTAAATCATTTGTATGAACCAATAATATTCATAGTGTGTGATTGTTTTGATTTAGGTGAACCACTCGTTAAATATTGCCTGATTTAAAAAGGATTTAAAAGTGTTGTTTGTACAATAGTAACGCAGATAGGTGATGGGATTGTGCCTTTGATGATACATGCGTGGAATTTGGCGCGCAATTATGTCATGAATAAAAAAATATTTGGCTGTAGGGCCAATCGCAGACTTGTCCTTTGAAAAAAAAATTAGTAGAATAGCAAGCTTTTTTTCAACAAATATACCATTTTTTTTTTTCAAATTTGCTATGTTTTTCTGTCAAATAACCATTTTTGCAGAATTCTGCCCGAAATCTGCCAAAAATATCCATTCTGTCAAACTTTCTGTCAAACTTGGTTTTTGTAACCAAAAATCTGAATGTCAAAGTTAGCCGAATATCGGCTAAAACGGTCACCATGCCAAATATCTTTCTTCAAGCCATACTCTGTTTGCCAAATGCCATGCCTATACATGGGCGTCAATCGGTGTGGGACGAGGGGGTGGGGGCAAGTCCCCTCCCACTTTGTAAAGAGGGGGGATATCATATCGTTTGCCCCCCCCCCCCCCACCCACTTTTTCGTCCCCCTCCAAAAAATACAGCCTGCATATGATCCTGAAGCCCAAAATAGCTGATTCGACTACTCCGAACTCAACATTTTTTAAATTATGATCTTTTGCTCAACAAGTGGTTAAATGGGTCAGAAATTGCCTCAGATCGCACCACAGAGTGTGTAGATTCCAAATTTTTTCGGGGCCTTAAGCGGGCCCCAACCCCACTCCGTTATATAGTTCCGATCAACAATGTTCCCCCCTCCCCACTTTTGAAAAGCGATTGACGCCCTTGTGCTTGTATCATCAAAGGCACGCACACTGATTCCCCAAAATATTTCCCCTATCTGCCGCACTAGATAGTGCATGTTTGTAATCACTGTATTGGCTTCCTAGATTAATACTGCAAACTCGTCTTTTGGTATTTGATTCGTTTTGGTTTATTGGGGTGTATTGTAATTTTTGGTAGTAGTTCTGTTTTGATTGAGGTGATTAGTACTGTATAAAGAAAACAATTTTGAAAGTTGCCATCACATGCACTGATTGTCACTATATAGATTCTGTCTAGATATAATATCTTTGATTTGTAAATTTAACTCCTTTTTTAAGGTAATTTGTGTACTTTTAAATACAACTCTGCATTAGGTTGCTGTAACTTTACACACAACTCGTTTTAAGGTATTTTTGTATTAACATGATAATGAGGCACAATATTATTTAATTCTTTTTCACTTGAAAGCCTGTATTTTACGCACAACGCACAATATTTATACAAGGTAGTTTTGTTTTCAACTGAAAATTTAGCTTTTAAACAATGAGTGCATTTTACCAGTAAATTTAACAAAAAAATTGATTCACAGAATGGTTTCAGATACGGAATAGTACAAAAGTACTAAGCACTTACCAGCACGCATAAGTGGGACAAATATTTTTGTTTGTTGTATTTTTGTTAGACTCGAATTTGATTTTAAGAGCTAAAGGAGGGTAGGCGTGTCTTTGTCATCAAAGGAGGGGTGGATAAACAAGAGATCATCCATTGATGTATATTTTATTAAGCAATTGACTAATCTGTTTAATAATTATGTATGGTGGTCTTTAATTTTTTTTTTAAAGGGAAGATACAACATTTGTAAACATCAAAAAAAAAATGATCAAATTATCACGAAATATCTTACTGGATTGTTGGGGAATGACAGTCTTAAGCATCCTGTAAAGTTGCTGACATTTTCAAGAAAAACTGTATTTACCAACGCTGGTCGTCCGATTTTCAAGCATCTACAAGCCCAAAACGTGAAACAAGTCAGTGTAACAATATTTGCTATTATGTACTAATCCTCCAACACATTTATTTCTGAAAATTGCAGCAAAAGCAAATGTTGTACAAATTCCCTTTATTAGTGTGTGGTTTGTTTTATATATATATATATATGCCTTAAATTTGAGATGTATAAATGTGATGTAATGCTTGAAATAATTAAAAAGAAATACATTCAAATGCTAGTCAACAATTTGTGTGTATTTTATCACTAATGTGAATCACAGGGGCGGCGGAACGCTTTTCAAACTGGAGGGGGAAGGCAACACCAAAAAAAGGTACACTTGCCCAAAAAGAGGGGCACTTTATCCGTCGGTGTGAAAGTGAGAGCCCTTTGGCCTTCGTAACGGCGGAACCAGAACACGGGGGGGGGGGCAGAACTTTGGTCCCCAAAAAATTAGGTCCACGAATTCACGTCGTGGGGTTCGGGGCCCGCTTAAGGGCTCTGCGGTGCGATCTGAGGCAATTTCTGACCACTTTAACCAATTTTTTGTTTTTTTTAACAGGAAAAGATGGTTGTTTTTTTAGTCACTAAAACAAAATCTAAGTTCGTTATTGGGGGGGGGGGGAATGAGGCATGGCCACGTTTCCCCCCTTGGATCCGCTCTTGGGCCTTCGGCACACCGCACATGCACACCCTCCGCTCCCGGCAGTAACCTCTCTGGGTCCGCCCATGAATTTTGCTACAGTTATGTAAAGAAACCTTTTTTTATCACGAGAGGGCACTGTTGCTTTAGATGGCCAGCAGCTCAGTGACGGCTACATCTTAAGTTGTTGCTTTCACTTTCTTAACTTTTATAATACCATTCACTAAAGACCTATGACGTCTTTGGATTCGGTAACAATGAATGCGCAAGAGTGAGGGCTTACTCACCGGGTTTTTCTCGAAACTTTGCGGTTTTAAGACCTTGACGGAGGCCAACCACGACGGTCGTGACGTCATCGTTGGCTTTGTTGACTCACATTCCATCACCTGATCAATAGCAAAAAGTTATTTACAAAAAAAAATATTATCTACAAACAATTTACAAACAAGCTATTGTTGTTTACATGGGTTTTTTTTTTTACCGTGAAGAAGAGTTTAAATGGGCAATGGGTAAGATTGAATGTAACTATAGGTTTTCCCAGCCAATTTCCCGAAATGTCCATTCAGTTCTGAAAATCGGCCATTCATATTCGTCTGAATTTGAATGCACGTCTTTAATCCCATTGCAATTCAACGAAAATTCAATCGTTTTCATTGTCCGTGAATTCGGTTTTGGGAAACAGACGGCCAATTACGTTACCTGTGCATTCATTTACGCAATCATATTGGTTGCAGGTACAGCTAATTTGACTGACGGTTAATGAAAAAGAAACCCCTAATTGTATCTGGTGCCGATGACATTAAACTAAAAGTGAAATAGAACAGTGAATGGTTGAAATCGCCCCTAAAAGCGAAAAAGAAGTCTTGTAAACGAATCTGAATGGACATAAACGAGAGGTGCCGCTCAATCACTTAATTGATGGAACTGAAATGGAATCGAATGCTCTGGTAGCGATAATGAACGGCGTGTTCAGAGCGATTCTCAAATTCAGACGAAAATGAATGACCGATTTTCAGATGTGAATTAATGAACATTTTAGGAAATTGGCCGGGAAAACCTTTACCATTCAGAATATCTTTTGATTCAGTAACTGTAAATGTGGAAGAGTTTTAGCTGTCGTACTCATGGCTTTTATCGAAACTTTGCGGTTTTACGACCTTGATGGATTTCCCCCAAAAACCCACGACTGTCTTGACGTCATCGTTGGCTTCGTTGGCTCGCATTCATTTCACTCTTTACATCACCTGATCAATGGCGAAAAACAAGCACTTGTTATTTACATGTTATTAACAAAAGAAGAGATCAAATCGCCCAATGGGTAGGAAAAAGATTGAATATACTGCTTACCGAACATGCAATGAATGAAACTTATGAATAGGCGGTACTAGCTATATACATATGTACATGATTTTTTAAGGCATTGTATGATCATGGAGGAATGTACTATGACACCGGGAAAACTTTTCTTTTCTTAATCCTCACCGCAAACATGCGGTAGCATTAATTCTTAAAGGGGCGGGCAGAGATGTTGGAGTCATTTTTTTCAAAGGGGCTCAGAACTTTCTTGCAACAATACATACCCCACAAAGACAAAACATAGCATGCAGTGAAGTGAGATTTGCAGTAATGTGTACCGTTACATGTATTCCAGGTGAGGGCATTTGGGTAGTTTTTCCAGTAATTTATTAAACTATTTTATACCAACAATTAACACAGGTCAGATGGATCAAACTTGGGAGGATAGCTAATCAAACCACGCCCAAAAGTAAACCCGCCTTTGACAAAAAAAGGAGCATGCATGGTCGTCTGTTCCAAGGGAAGACAACCGTGAAATTTGTCACAAATTTCGACCCATTTAATCCGAGTTGGCTTGCCCTTTAAATTCATCCAAGCGCAACGTGCTTTTGAATGGACGGTTCGCGTCACTTTCCTGTGCTAATTATGCAGGTCGTGTGGCGGGTAGTGAATGACAATCAATACCTATTGTTGAGACACATATAGGCTTCTGCATGTCATAGTGGTAGAAGGTAGGCCATGAAACGAGGACATGTTTATGTGGTGTGATTTACGTCATTTCCCAGAAATCTCGAGTATTTTCCTTCAGCTAGGACTGGTGGACACTTTCAAGTTGACCAGCTTACCATACCAGTGTGTTTCTACCGCCAAACCTTCAGGTAAGTGTCGGTACAACCATGGAGGTAGAATTTAATAAGGAATATGGGTTGAATCATAACTCGAAGTCGAACATCGTTTAATGTTTCCTCATGTAAAATGTACTTTGGGCTAGCATACAATCAAATGGCAGTTTACTCATTCGTAACCTTGTGATTGTGTTTTTATTGACAGTACATATCAGACTTACGGGAAGTGGGCTGGACCTGTATAATATTTCCTCGGGACTTCGATAGTAAACCGGAGAGTTTCGTGTGAAAGCATGGCCGTACCTCGAGGGCTATGTGCGCTTCTTGTGGCCGTGTTACAAGGTAGGATTCGCTTTTATTTTTCCATGTGAGTAGGCAGTGAGCTTTTTTATTTACCCGTAAAGGCCGTAAAACATTACTGACACTGCTGTGCTAGATCACCATGTAGGCCTACACTCCTCAAAGTGGTTGCGCATTTTCTTTAGTTGTCATTCTTCCATTTACAGTAGGAAATGTAGGTTTTCCCGGCTATTTTCAAAAAGTTTTCATTCAAATTTACCAACTTAAACATTCAATTTCGTCCACGCAAAAAATCACACGATTTCACCAAAACCAATTTGGTCATTTACCATTCAATTCTAAAGTTTGGTCACCCTCTTTAGTCATCGGTCGAGAATATTTGTCATTACAAATCAAATTCGTCTAAGCTTTTGCTGAGTGGCAGCATTCAATGATCGAATTCGTCTTATATAAATCATTTAGAATTTAGACGAATTTGATTTCTGAATAGCAAGGTTTGGCGTAGACAAGCCGAAATCGAATACTCCGGGACGAAAACGTATGTTCATTGTTTGAATTTGCTTGAACTGAATTTGAAATTGTCTGACAAAAGACGAAATGAAACATTAAAAGTGCACTAAATCGATGTTGCTGGACGAATTTGAATATAAGAATCGGTGAATTCGAACGACAAAAAAGTTTTAAATAGCCGGAAAACCTATATTTAACTCGATTATGTAATGGGCATGATGGGGGAACAGCCTAAAATTCTAAGACAAAAATTATTATGATTTATTTATTTCTGGTAAAAACCAAGGATTCCTCAAAAGCTTCCTAGGCATTGTAGCTCGCTGCTAGCCTGAAGAAACAGTTGGAGAGGAGACAAGGAGAAAAAAATTACAGTTTTAGAGGTGGGAGAAAAGCCCCAGAAGAATATTCTGGGGAAAACCCACGGAATCATTAGTCTATATGGCGTTAGACAGGACACTGGGCCCCGTGGATAACGGGTGATACTCAGACTACGGAATCATCAGGCAGGGACTGAAAACCCAATCCACATGTTGGCCCAGGCAGGAATCGAACCCGGGTCACAGCGGTCGCAAAGCGAGGAAAGTAACCCGACTCCCCAATTCGTCAGCGTGACATTTACCCTAAATAATACATTTGTATTCGCCTGGAACATGGAGAACGGAATCCCCATAGCTTAACCTATGTGGGGGCGGACCGCACGTCATCCAATGAAAAAAAATCTGTTCATTTGCATACCAGCTTTTCATCAGTTGCAATGTGTTACCATTCAGCACTCCAGACCCAAGAGCCATTGAGATTCAAGAACATAGGTCGGGGAGCTAAAACCCATTCTCTCATACTTTTTTTCTGGTCTTTAAGTTTCGAATTCACAAATTCATGGCTAATTTGGTTCAGTATTTTTGTCTCACGAAAGCATTTTTTTCCCGAGATCTTTTATGATGCCTTAAAAAACGAGGATCTAAGCAATAATATAGGCTAGTCTTTTGAAAGCTGTTATGTTCGTTTCGCAATGCCTTATCTAGTTTGGAAATGTCTCTCTGCCTGACAAAGTGAACGCGGAAGCGGAAGCACTGGCCTCTGGACGTCTTTCCTTAAGTTCAAGTTAGCCCTATATCTTGTTTCACTTCGAAGCTTTTAACAATTTTTTTTCGTGGGAAAGGACCTTGGAATATCCGGAGTGACGGTTCATACGTACACCATCTGCATGCAAAATGGGAATAGCAAAAGTGAAATGGAGTCACCGGATCTGTACCCGATCGGGCTTTGGGTGCGATGAACCTTTATCAGGGGAATTATATATACAGTGTGTATATAGATACACAATGTGGAAATAGGTAGATAAAAAAATGCGCCAGTGCTCACAAAATGGCGCAGCATCTTCACATTATATATAGAGATACACGCACATAAAATAGTGAAATCTCGATAATTCAAACCTCAGGGGAGGTTTTGCCGAGAAGAACAATATTCTAGGATCTCGATTTCAATTAAAAGTCGCCAAGTCGTGTTTGGAATTATGTATACAGTGTGTATATAGATACACAATGTGGAAATATTGAAATAATAAAATGCGCCAGTTCTCAAATGGCGCAGCATCTTCACATTACATGTATATAGAGATGAACTCACATAAAATATCGAAATCTCGATAAGTCAAACCTCATCAGGCGAATGGGCTAAAATTTTGAGTTAAGCAGAGTTTTGAGTTAGCAAATGGGTTTTCTTTTCAGCAACAATTGACGGGAATATGTTCTTACTTACTTTGAGTTAGAAGGTTTTCGAGTTAGAAGGTTTTGAGTTATCGAGATTTCACTGTACATGTACATGTATCTTCTTTTGCCTGTTGCTCTTTCAATGGAGCAAGGACGCATTGTTTTGGTTGACCCTGCAGCGCGCATAGCAACCAAGGGCTGCATTTTCAATGAGCTCTTGAGTATACGGTTACCTTGGCAACGCATCGTCGAGCCTCGAGGTCGCAATTCCATGGCAACCGAAGTGGAGGCTGAGATGAATGCGGGGAATTTCTAAACGTTTTAAAAGAGATTGTTCCAGGAATTTTTTTTTGGGGGGGGGGCGACATTTCTAGGTATGAGATTTCAAGGCTTTATCAACTGTAGATATCGTCTTATTACATGAAGGCGCTGTTCATTGCAGAAACATATCTAGTAGAATAAACTTTTAAAATTTATTTTACACACATACACACATCCCTACGTGATTTGTTTTTTCGTTTTGTTGAAAGAACACTTACCTTCATGTGATCCGTGGACAGAACTTTAAAACGGTGGTTGTGTTTAAAATTCTGTAACTTGAAAAGTTCATTTGTGATTCGAATGATTCTTGTACTAAAAGAAAGCTTATGAATTGGGCTTTCATATCCTAGATTTTTTAAAGTGCTACACATGCAGAACTTCACTAAAACAATGGTCCCAACATTTGGGTTTCGCTTTTTTTTTTACTCACCCTGTATTCCTTGCCGAAAGATTTTGCGGAGAACAGGCCTTTTCAGTATTCGTGATTGAATTTTTTGGCAACAAAACAATATTGTATTTGATATAGTGTACATGTATTTAAGGAAAAATATATCCTGAATTAAGACATCTTAGTTTCCTATTTAAATTTCAGTTATCACCCAAGGACCGCCACAACATTATTTCAAACATTTTCATTTTTACGTATAGGATATACGAGATCGTGTACACACAGTTCCACCTATACTAATCCACATGCATTTTAGATTTTGGGAAGTGAAAGGTCAATTTTTGGCGCGATATTTCTCTTTCACATCAGGCATTTTTTTCAATTTCCATAACTTGAGATGCTAGTAACAATTTTACAAAGGCCTTTATTCGAGGATGACGTTCTTAAGAAATCCATGTACATGTACATTCTTTTACAAAACAGAAAATTGCAATTTAATTTTAATTTTTTCACGTTCATTTTCCTATTCTTGGAAGGGTACCGGAAGCGCGCCACCAGGGTGAACTTTCAGGCCCTACTGTACATGGTCTAGCCCTTCAAAAAAATTAATAATCATGCGAAATTCTTTTAATTTTTTATAGTTGACTTCTCTCTCTCTGTGATTTTCTTTCAGTGAGTTTGTCAGTAGCCGCCCCGTATTACGGAGCGCGGGTCGGCGACCTGTCCACGATATTCCACGACGTCGCAGGCACAGTGTACGCTGCCGACGACAACACGCTGGTCATCCGCGGGTTCTCGTACGACGGAACCGCACCAGGTATGCACTTGTTACTTTTTTCCTGACAATTTCTTGTTGAAAATCTAAGAAAAGAAGGTCATAATTGTCACATGTCTGTGTTGTCAAATTCACGAATTGTTATTTTCTCTTGTTGCAGATGCCTTTTTTTGGATTGGCAGTACGTCCTCGCCTGATTCAACGGGAACCATTCTTCCCATTGACCCTCGTTATCCGTAAGTTAGTTTTGTTTAAACCGGGGTAAAAATGTGGTTACCGACTATACGGTAAAAAAATATGTACCACTTTACAGTTTACCGGACAATACATGACTGTATATCCAACATTTCATTTGTGCCTTAATGCCAAATCATAGGCAGCAAGGTCATTTTTATGGGGGGGGGGTAAAAGTAAAATGGCACTCGCACATTCGTGCTGAAATGTAGACAGGGTTTTTACTTGGCCTCCGTAAATTCAAATATTGGGAGGGGATACCATCTTCCAATGGGTCGCTGTTCAAACCGGACGATTATGCACACTAAAAAGGACACTGGTAAAAAGGGCACCAGTTTTAAAAACAAAAATTAGGGCACTTAATGTTTTTTTAAAAGGCACTTGTAAAAAGGCACTTTTTACACATTTTGGGAGATGGTAAATATTCCCCCCCCCCCCCCCATAGACAAAACGATAGGATTTTTTTAAACTGCAACAACAACGTCTGTTGTCCACCATGCAGGGATCAGAAACTGGGCCGATTCCAAGATGTCGAAGTAATTGTGGACCTCCCTGACGGGACTACTATATCCGACTACAGGTGGCTGTCTGTGTGGTGCCGTGAATTTTCCGTAAGTTTTGGCGTCTAATTCTGCGCATATTAAACTAAATTCCCTTCTAAAATTTCTTCATTCTTTCTCCTCTTCAATTTCTACTTTGTAGCTACATGAAAAGGCCATGTGAATAATACAAAGAATTTTAAAGCTAGTAGCTGTTCAGATCTATATGAAAATAATTTAATCATTTTTAGTCAAGAAAATAACGCCATGCCACTTTTTGTTATACATCTCTACAGGCCGATTTTGGGAATTTGATTTTTCCCGCCAATTTTGAGGCTCCGGCCATCCATGACCTTGGCGCCTTACCCACGTTCGCTCACCGGGTCCGTGCAGACAGCGTGAAAGTTCTGGATGCTAAAACGTTGAGGTTCGAAAACCTCTTCTACGATGGCAATGGTCCAGGTAGGCAACTAATCGCAGTGCTGATTGGGTGTTGCATATTGTCTTACCGCAGTGCTGATTGGTTGTTGCATATTTTGATTTGTCTTACCACAGCTGATTGGTTGTTGCACATTTTATTTGCCTAATAGCAGGGCTGATCGGTTGTTGCATATTTGATTTGTCTTACCACAGTGCTGATTTGTTGTAACTTGTTGCATACTTGATTTGTCTAACCGCAGTGCCGAAAGATTGTTGCATATTTGATTTGTCTAACCACAGCTGATTGGTCGTTGCATATTTCGATTTGTCTAACAGCAGGGCTGATTGGTTGTTGCATATTCGATTTGTTTAACCACAGCTTATTGGTTGTTGCATATTTTGATCTGTCTAACAGCAGGGCTGATTGGTCGTTTCATATTTGATTTGTCTAGCAGCAGTGCTTATTGGTTGTTGCACATATAGTTTGTCTTACCACAGTCCTGATTGCATGTTTGATTTGTATTACCGCAGTGCTGATTGGTTGTTACATATTTTGATTTGTCTAACAGCAGGACTGATTGGTTGTTTCATATTTGATATGTCTAGCATCAGTGCTGATTGGTCGTTGCATATTTAGATTCGTCTAACAGCAGTGCTTATTGGTTGTTGCACATTCAATTTGTCTTACCACAATGCTAATTGGTTGTTGTAGTTTTTGTGGGCTGTGAAATTCTTCCTTAAACTTAGCGTCTACGTTTTTTCGCCAGATGCATACTTCTGGGCGGGAACCACATCGGCGCCAACATCGAACGGGATTAAACTCATTTGGAAGCCAGAGTGAGTATTAATTCTCAGTTGTTTGTGGAGGAAACAATAATCATTCATTATGCCAAGTAAAGGAGTGACAGTGATGCTGGTAATATATGTTTGATTACAATGACGCCTCGGACCACAGTAGCGACAATTTTACCACGGTGACAACAGCGACGACGATTAGAATTGTTGGGTCGATCCCATTCACGCTGACAGTAATTGACATACTGGAAGTGACGTCCTTAGACAGGTTTGCATTCTGCACACATAATGTTTGGGATCACGAAGATCAGTCAATCAATGATGACATCTCAGCTGTCGTATTGCCAATTAGATCACAATGACATCGGTGACAATTGTGACAGTAACAGTGATAACGTGATCATGTTAGTGATTAGAATACTGATGACGATGACAGTTGTGACATTTTAGCACTCGATCTGATGACCTCAAGTTTCCGTCCATCTTGTCTTCTCTAGTTCACCAGCCACGGGTACCAACCAACGCCTGGATCGCAGTTTCAACGGTGACACCATCGTGGTAACCATGCCCGATGCGATGACAGTGTATGACATCACATACGCCAGCCTCTGGTGTGTCCTGTTCACGCAAAACTTCGGTCACGTGTCTATCAACCCAAACGAGCTAAATGTCCCGGCTGTAGTCGAAGAAATGGTGGGTATTAACTGTTCAACAGTTTGTGTAGATTCTTATCCTCGCTTTGTGATCATTTTTGGTGTTAAAACTCATTTGAAACCACATTCTATGGCATATCTTTAAAAACAAAAGCTCAGGAAACGTTCACATTCATATATAGGGATGCATGTGAAATGTTTTCGTTTTGCTGAAAGAACACTTACCTTTTTTGTGATCCGTGGACATAACTTTAAACCGGTGTTTGTGTTCAAAATTCCGTAACTTGAAAAGTACATAAGTGATTTGAACGATTCTTATACCAAAAGAAAGCTCATTAAATGGGCTGTCAAGTGCTACAGGCAAAACTTCATTCACAAATTGGTCCTGCCATTTGGGTTGCGGTGGTTTTTTTTACTCACCCTGTATATTTGTCGATCACATCGTATCTTTTTTTTCTCCAGAGTCCACCCTTCGATCACTGCGAAGTGCTCTCCGACAATGAGTTCCACGTCCGTTGGAAGGTAGAGGGCGCTAACATCAAGGTGGAGTTGGCCGGCCGCGTCGACCCGGGGAACTACCTGGCGTTCGGTCTGAGCGGATCGGAGACACGGACTCTGATGGACGGGTCAGACGTGACGGTAGCCTGGATGGACCAATCGACAATGAGCCCGATGGTGGTGGACTATAGACTCCAATCCAAGGCGCAAGTGAGTGGCTCTTAGCTTTAATTCACGATACAGGATACAGGAAGATGTTTAAATAAAAACCAAGTGACACGAATCAACGTACATGTACATGCAAAATTCTCTGTGAACAATTTCCCCGACTTCTACTTTCTTGTTTTATGTTTTTCTTTTGCTACGTCAAAGCCATACAGTTTTTGCCGACCATGCCTGGCTCATAAACTGAAGGCATTCATAATTGCAAAATGAATGAATATATTTACCATTTTTAGATTAAGGAATTTTTAGATTTCAAAGAATCTAATTTTTAGGTTTTAAAAGAGTGCATTTCATTGTTAAACGCACTGAAAATCCGAGGATAAACACACGTGCTAAAACTTACCAAAACCTAAGGAAATTACATTCTCTTACACACCGAGTGCGTAGAAGTGCCATTTTTGGTAAATCATTTTGCCAACCACTAATGTAACGTACGGAAGTTGACGCTCAGAGAAAATGGCCTACGCTCCATGTTTAAAAAAAGGGTCTTTGGGCCGCCAAATCAAGGCTAATTACTTGTATACACATTTATCAACGTTGGGACAAGAATTGCAGGTACACAAAGTCACAAACTGTAATATCTGCAAGAAGTATCGCAAACCAGCATTCTTTGATATTATGTGTTTCTGCAGTGTTCCACTAACAACGGCCTTGGTGCCTGCCCTGACGATATTGCTAGCGTGGGGGGAACAAACAACGCCGTGTTTGAGGAGCTCTTGTCGGCCGATGGCATCACGATGTTCACCTACTCCAGACCTCTAAACACGGGTAACACAAGCCTTGTAAAAAAAAAAGCCGATATAATTTTCTCAACTTTTCGGTCATTGAGTTATTTTTGTAATCCCTGGAAAATCATAAACCGAGTCAGAAACGTTTTGTTTTGATTTTAATACTGATTCTGTGTGTAGGCCTACATGTATATGTTTGTACGTTTACTATAGTGTGTTAATAATCTATATTTCAAATTTGTTTATTTCTTAAGATTCAAGATGAATCTCTGTATAATGCAGAAACTAAAATTGAAGTTGAAGTTCTTATTTTGTTACGTATTTCCACAATGTAAAGACATTAAAGATAACATTTAGTTAATGTTTATTTTATATCAATTGTAAATATATCTATGCACATGTATTGTCAAGTGATAACGTAACATTACTCTCTAAATTCCAAAAAGTGAAAATTCACTTCATTCGAGTGAAGATTCACTCCCACAGTCGGAAACTAGGGACTAGACGTTTTAGAGTGAAATTTCTTCAATCGTAAAGATCGAGGTTTCTCTCGAGCTTCGACTGAAGTGGTTCATTTTTCAGACTATGTCAATCGAAAATGAGAGTGATTTTCACTCTAAAACGTCTAGTCCCTAATTTCACTCTTTGGAATTTAGAGAGTATGTATCATCCTTTATGGCAGCATTGAAATAAATGTATCTATTCTATATAAAAAAAATAATAATAATAATAAAATAAAATAAAAACACACACAGAATTGTCCTGCAACAAAATATACAGTGAATAGTACATTACTTCGGTCAATAATCCTATCGGTTTTTTTTAATCATTAACACGAAAGTTTTGAACGAAAGAGTTTTCTCTTTTTGTTTTGTAGGTGATTCTACGGACAAGGTGATTCCCACCGATGCATCGGTGTTCATCTCCTGGGCTATCGGCCCCATCAACCCCGATGGACGAGTCGCTAAGCACGTCAAAGTTCCTCTCGGTACAAAATGAGTCACCTGTTTCTAATTCAAAAATAATTCCTTACATTGGAATCATGAATAATGAATAACTGTGGAGCGAGGTCGTTTCCCCTTTCACCAATAACAGGCAGTGTTGTGGATGAAATCAAGCCTTTCGTCTTGTTACCTGTTATCTGATTGGACTAGACCGTTGATGTCCTTTAACCAATCACAAGCAATTTCCTGGATCGTATCAAACTTTTCGTCATGTTACCTGTTCTCTGATTGGTATAGCCGGCACCATTTTACTTCTCCCATCAACCAATCACAACATGTCATGTGTGTGGGATTGAGCTTTTCGTCATATAACCTGTTCTCTGATTGGACCATCCTTTTTTTGCTTAGGTAACCCTGCAATAAATTTCGGACGTCAGGGAACCACCACCTGTCCCGAGTTCACGGCAATCGACAGCGGCAATCCACTGGAGCCTTGGCCGCCCTCTAGCATCAGTAACGAGACAACCTTCACGGTGGACATCGGTCAGTCCGGAGGGGAACGAGGTTACACGGGCATCACCGGTACGATCCTTGCTCACTATATGAGAGTTTTGCCCCTGGCACACTTTTCCCGTAATAAACACTCAGCCAAACACATTTCTATATGAAAAAGATATCAGACACAGATAAGAAGTATTAATTACAGGCGAAAAGAAATCAATTTTCTATACGAATGGTTTTTTTTAAATTATGTCAGTATAATTTCAATACTTTGTTTAATGCAACAAATGAAATTGACAAGTCAAATTTCCAGGATAGCAAGTTTCGTGGGGATTTTAAAAACAGTAGGCTTTCAATTAACAAAAATGTCACAGATATGGGATATTTTCATCAGACATATACAATTTTCCACCTAAAAAAGTTTTACGTAAAGGTTTTTGCCCACTTCAAGTTTAAATAATGAAAGTAATTTCTTTGCAAGCAAACGGACAGAGACCATTTCTTTGAAACCGGAAAAAAAAGAGATCGTCATTTTTTTGTAATGAAGCTTTCTGACTGCTGCATGATTAAAATGAATGCCCATTGTTTCTCCTAATCCCAAACTTAAATTACATTACTTGAAACGCAAAACTGTTTTTGATTTCGGTTTTAAACAATTTTGTTCCCTTTTTTTCCACCCATGCCACAGGTAAGGTTGGCTGGGGCATTGCGTGGTACGTCAACGACCTTCTGATCCCTGAGATTACGGTGCAACGAGGCATGACCTACACGTTCGAGGTCCACGGGGGGAACGACCCGGCCCTGGCGGCCCGCTACCACCCTTTCTACATTACCGACGACTCGGAAGGTGGATTCGCGCAGAAGACAGAAGATGAGAAAATGGTCAGTTTTGCAACTATAATACTTGTAATTGTCCATTCCTCTATGATTTTTAAGCTCTGGAAGGAGCTTCTATAGTCTGTCTCCCAAGAAAATTGACAAAAATAAGCCCACTTAAGTTTCCCATAAAATATACAGTCCTGATTTGAAAATCACAGGCGTGTGGAAAAAGGCACACCTGGATTTTTTTTAGGCCTGTGGTTTTTCTAGGTGTGTGATTTTCTAGGTGTGTGATCTGTGGTCCAGGGAAATTCAGGCGTGCAATTATTCACACTTCTCAGGAAGCTTTTAGGTGTGCAGTGGCGAGGGGGTGCGATCACACGCCTCAAATCAGAAGGACTGAATATAAATTAACTACCACATTTCCATTGCCAAAAAGCAAAGCCAATACATTAAATACCTAACAGAAATTGTTTGAAACAGTTCGGAAAGGTGTTCATGACAAGTTTGTAAATGGAGGCAAAAATAATATGTGCAGTAATGTTATATAGACTTATAGTCACGTGGTATTTATCACACCTGTTATTTATCACATCTAAAGTATAGTGTTCCATATGCGCCATCGGCGTCGCAATTTTGGGCGTCGCATTTTTCAGCTCTGGCAGCGATCATTTTGATAGATTCATTTCATGCAAGATTTTCATGCAAGATGGCCAAGACGTGCACTCGCACTTGTTTTTAGTTTTGGGCCCGATTGGTCTCATTTAATTATATTGCAGCGATTCCGTGTGGCCTTGCGGCACCTTTTTAAACATTTGACCAATGTAACTAACAGATGTCCGTGCCAAAAGGTGACTATAACTGACTTTTAGATTTGGTTCTGAATTATTGAAATCCATCCAAGACAATGGACCGGTCCAGTAAGCCCCGCCCACTGCGCACTTGGCAAATCAACACGTGCTCCTCTCCGATGTCACACTGCATTTTCCTGCCGCGCGCATCATACGCGCGTGCACGCATGTCGGACTTTTGTGCACGCACGTCGGACATAAATCACGGCTGTGATTGGTCCGACCATCATGGGGCGGTGCTTACTGGATCGGTCCATTTTGGAGGCTCTTTGTTAAATCCACCTATGTGTTACAGTGAATAAAAATGTCACTTTAAATTTTCCCTTTTTCACTGCAGGATGTGACGATTTATGCTGGACCAACAGGTGAGAAAAATGACTTGAAAGATGTGATAAAATGAGATCAGTTTTCAAAATTTTGGGAAAAAAATTCTTGTATGAACGACTTTAACTCAGCTACAGTTTCCCTTCTGTTCCGAAATGAGGAACAAAATATTATATTTAATATAAATCAACTGGTTTTTTGTATCGTTATTTCAAGAGTTGACTCGAGTTTACATCTGATGTACCGCATTATCGATTACATTTACATTCACATGTTTGTGTCTGGTTGGCATGTACAGAGGGAGCATATTGTGAATGGGAAGTCAGGACACCAGGCACGTCCCCGGATGATTACGATAATTTCCTGAGTTACCGGTACTACCTGGAACGGAACTGCGTGGACGCTGTGCCCACGCCAGGCCGACTGACCTGGACCCCCGATGGGAGCACGCCGGACCTGGTCTACTACCAAGTACGATTAACAATTTAGTTATTGTCGAGTCCAAACAAACAAAAATACTCACAAATCAATCACAAGTCTTGCAGTCCCAAGTCAACTCACAATTTTAGATTAACTGTGACAAAACCATTCCTTTTTCTTCAATCGGAAAGACCGAAAAGTTATAATTTACCAACTCATTATATTCCAGCTACAATACTTTATGCTTCTGGACTACCAACATGTACATGTATATTGTTCATTTGTAGGTACCATGTGGAAAAACACACACGAGGTTTTTCAGTAAATTTGAAGCACACAATTATTATTGCACTGTAGCTCGCAAGCCTGAAGAAACCTGTAGAGAGGAGACAATGAGAAGAAATTGCAGTTGTAGAGGTGGTAGGAAACCCCAGAATAATATTCTGGTGGAAAACCCACGGAATCAGGCATCAGGCAGGGACTGAAAACCCAATCCACATATTGGCCCAGGCGGGATTCAAACCCGGGTCACAGCAGTGGAAGGCGAGGAAAGACCGCCACGCCAACCTGACTGATATAGTTGTCAAGTTGAGAATGTTCCCAAATGTATAACTCGATATCTTCTCCTATACCATGAGTTTCTTTTAATAGTTGGCCTGAATAGTGTAATAAGTGTCGTCAGGTCTTTTATCGGTTTTCCATTTTTTGATGTCAGTGTTACACACATAGGTTCTTAGGATGGAAGATTCGTGTAGTTGACGAGCCGGTGACAGGCACCATGCCAAGCTGGGAAGGAACGGGAGCCCCACCAACTGGACCGCCAGCCACCGCAGACGACGGCACGCAGCCACCAGAAACTCGGTCCACAGAACTCGGGGCCAATCCATCCACCACGGTTCCCGGCACGGGTGGTGCCACGGCATCTGTCACCACGTCCGTCGCGCTCATGATCTCTGCCCTACTCGCCGCCATGTTGTTCTGAGCATGGAACAAAGTTTAATCACCTTTTAAAATTAAGCAATAGGCCTAATTGCAACTTTTTTAAACTTCTTAAACGCAAAACTTGTATGAATATTACGCACAATGGATGGAACTAGAGTCTATAAAGTGTACCATAAAGACGAGTTTATGTACATGTAGCTTTTCAAAAAAAAGTAAAGAAATTTCATATAAGTGTTTCTGATTGTCTTGCAAAGTTTTCTTAATTTTAATTTTTTTTTTCATTAATACGTGCAAGAGGTCAATAGTACTTAATGTTTACATTATTAAAACATTTTACCAATGTATAGTATTAATTGACTTAAAACAAATTGAACAGTAACAATTTCATTTTATAAGTGATGAATGTAAAAACAATCACTTAGCCTAGTAGGTTTTAGTTGTTAATTTTTTTTTTAAATACGGCCTATAAGCGGAGCTAATAATACTAGCCTACTTAAAATTACTGCCAAATGTGATCTCTTATACAATAAGTCTCGGGATAATACATAAACTCAATGGCGCCTGATTTAAGAACAACGAAGGAGAGCAGTACTAACAAAAACAGATTCTGAAAATTTCATTTTTCCAGTCAGGTTTCGGTCGAAACTGTGAATAAATGAAACAGAGAACAAGTGATAAACTCTAGTTTTTAAAGTGAAATAAAACGCAAGGGGTGGACAAGGGCGGATCCAGAACACGTTTTTGTTGAGGGGGGGGGTGCCAAAAAAAAGTTGGTCTCATATGGGTCCAAAAAATACGGCGTGGGGTTTTTGAATTCTAGATGCTCTGTGGTGCGGCCTGAGGCAATTTCTGACCACTTTAAGTACATTTTGTTGAGGAAAAGATGGTAGTGTACGCAGTGCCTCCATTTATTGCGACGTCACCAAAAAAAAATAATTGGGTTGGGGTTTTTTTGGGGGGGAGGCGTGGCCCCCGTTTGCCCCCCCCCCCCGATCCGCCCTTTGGAATGGATTCTACTTCTTTGTCTTGACCCTGGATATGGCCTATTATTTGGATACCGGTTTCGGCGTTGGAGTACAACAGAACGCCCCCTTTTGACCATCATAAGTTCAGTACTATCTGTGACCTTATTTGCCCCGCCTTCTGTCACTGCACTTTTAAGCGAACCGTTTCCCCAGATATTATCTGAAAGTCATTCGAATTGGCCTTGAGCGGTCACCGTTTTTGATAGCAATTCACAAAGTCCACAAGTGATATTACACCGAGGTGTTTCGCGGGGCCGTCACAGATAACCATACTGTTGCCGTAAAAGAGACTTCACTCGCCGTTTTGTTTTATTTGGCAACGATACCTGGACTCAGTCGGAGTAAGTATTTGGTGTAGATTTGGAATTGGGGGTATCGTGTGTTTTGTTTTTCAGTTTTCTGGCCCATTGTATCCCAATGAGTAACTGAGTCACTCACTGTTATTAAATCTGACTTCTTGTTTAAAGGGAAGATACAACATTTGCAAACATAAAAAACACGAAATGAAATTATCACGAAATACCTTACTGAATTGTTAGAGAATGACAGTCTAAAGCATCCTGTAAAATCGTGGCTCCTGGTGTGCTGACATTTTCAAGAAAAAGTGTATTTTTCCAACGCTGGTCGGCCGACCAGCGTTGGAAAAAACTGGCTGTTTTCAGAAACTGTACCTAATTTTTCATATCGCATTTTCTTTGCAATTGATTACACACCAGTGAAGGGGTACAAGCCTGCAAGACTGATTCTTTGACCTAACAATTCCCAAAAGTCTATAAATTGATCCGTTTCATCTTAAGTGGGGTCAGGGAACCAGACTACAAGAACATGATTGGTTTTCTTGGTTTTTCCAGCATCTACAAGCCCAAAACATGAAATAAGTCAGTTTAACAATATTTGCTATGTCAAGCTAATCCTCCAAATCCGTTGTTTCTGAAAATTGCAGCAAAAGCAAATGTTGTACATTCCCTTTAAGCCTCATCATGGCCAAAAAATTGTTTTAATTTACGAACACATTCTCGTATAAAAGTTGGTCCGGTACTTCTGTCTGAACTTATTCTTTATGATGAGGCTTGCGGTTTTTGCCGAAGTTAATTGAGCGTGATAGGCCGTCTGATGAGGTTTGTTCACAAAAACCCCGGCGCTATAGTATAGGGGTTTTGTGTAGAATTATTATTAGGGTACCAACTTTTACGGCAATGTGTCTGGAAAAACGAAGCGTGCGAGGCGTCGGACCTCAGGCGTCGGAGCTATGAGGCGTCGGACTTATGAGCGGACCCCGCATTAACTATGATTCCGAGGCGACTACAAGTCATGTACTATATATTTTTTTATAGAAAAGTCTTTACTTTTCCACACAAAAAATCTACATGTTATTCACTTATAATATATCAGACATATGAATGTATCTGTATTGTTCAGCTATTAATTTGGGTGAAACTGCCGCAAATTAAACTTGAAATATAAACCAAATTCAGGGGAAATGGCGCGATGCCAATGTCCACTGAAACGACAATGCTCAATATGCAACATTCTTAAAAAAAAAAAAAAATGAGTTGCTCCGATTTACCCCATATTTCATCCAGTAGAAATGTGTGGGAATGTTTTCAAAAGTTTAATTTGGAAAGAACCAAATATATCTTCTTTCTGTGGAGGCCTACTTATGAATACGACGTATAATTCTGTTTATACAGCCTAAATTCATCGTTGGTATCAAAATGGTTTTCGTTAAATCACTACACGCGTGGTCAAAACGAAATCTATACTAGTACGGGTCAAGTGTACGCGTGGGCATTTTATGGTATGCCGCTTCGAGCACACGTTTAGTGCCACCAAAGTATTTGCAAATGGCGGAATATTGACAAACTTAGGCGGTTAGATGTGACCTCTGTACTGATGGTACTGTTCAAACAAGGGTGTAATTTGTAATTTTTGAATTACTAAAGGTCACTACAAACCCTAAATGAAAGGGCCTTGATATCATTGCAGGTCAGTTTAACATATCGGTTCATTATAAAAGTAAGCGAAATCGTTTGGATGCAGTCAGACGACGCAATGCATTGACAGTGATTGACTTTGATTTATATACAACTGAAAACATCACCCTCCTTAAGTTTTTCAGTTAAAATAATTGAAAGTAGGCCCTCGGGAATTGTTTTAAATCTAATAGATGGAGATTATGATTGTGTACATTGATTTGTGTAAATTGATAGATTAAAGGGAATATACATCATTTGCTTTTGCTGTAATTTTCAGAAATGGATGGAATTGGGGGGTTGGAAATATAATTATAGCAAATATAGTTACACTGACTTTTTTGAGGTTTTGGGTTCGAAAATGCTATAAAACCAAGAAAAACAGTCATTTTCCTGTAGTCTGGTTCCCTGACTCCATTTAAGAAGAAACAGAGCAGTTTACATATATTGGGGAATTTTAAGATCAGGGAACCAGTCTAGCTGGCTTGTACCCGTTCATAGGTGTGTAATCGATTGCAAACAAGTGCGATGGTCAACTGGGGCCAGTATTTGAGAAAAAAAGCCAGTTTTTTTCCAACGCTGATCGGCCGATCAGCGTTGGAAATTGACACAAAAATACCACTTTTCTTGAAAATGACAGTATACCAGGTGCCATGATTTTACAGGATGCTTTACACTGTCATTCACTAACAGTCCAGCAAGGTATTTCAAAACGATTTGGTAGTTTTATTTTTTGATGTTTGCAAATGTTGTATTTTCCCTTTAAAGGCCTTTATTAAATAGAAAAACTCAACAATATTAATAGGCAACGCATGAACTGCATCGAGAAGCAAGTTCGGGCGAGGACCATTAGTCGACTAGTGGTTAATCTGTAAACTTACGCCTGCGCACTAATGGCAACGTGCGAACGCGTTGGGTGCGTTCGAGCGTGCTACTCGTTTTAACACGAGTGACTCCTGAGCGCACGGACGGCAGGAGTACGACCCGCGGGTTAGCAAGAGTATACTCTCGGTCAGAATGGAAGCATACTCTTGCACCGAGAGTAATGCACATGCAACATTTTCCTTTACTCGGGAGTAGCAAGAGTAACACGCTCGAACGCACCCCTTTAGTCGAGTCACTGGTCAAAACGTCATCACAAAACTCCTTGCATGATCCTTGCTCCCTGCTGTGCATAATGATGCGCACGGCTATGGGGATGCAACCGTGCCATTTGGTCCCGTAGTCGACTAAATTATAACAGTCCAACCATACTGCGTTCGAGCGAAGTAGTCGAACTGTATAAATTATTGTTAACGATAGTCTTTGTGCTAATTGCCTGTCGCCATTGTTGCTGCCACCAAGCGTTCACAACTCCTGTACGTTATTTTCCCTTTCTCTTTTTTAGGCTGTGTGTGCGGCTACGTCTACGTCTAGAGTCGGAATGTTCCCGATCCCATGTATAGTAAAGTCGAACAGCTATAAAAGCTCCAGTCAATATTCGCACACACCTTATTAATTTGTGATCGCAAGATGTCTTCCACGATCGCTACAGTTCGCCTAGTCCTGATAGGCTGCCTGCTAGTGCCAGCAGTTGGCGCCAAAATCGAAGGTGACGAGTCCACCTCGAGACGGTACAAGTTTTTGTACTACGGCCCCATGGTGAACGGTAGTCACTACAGTAACATGCGAGCGTCTGCCAAGGTGCTGGTACAACGGGGCCACAAAGTAGTGTATCTGATGAGCGAGTCGGGCTCAACAGGTGAAACCACAGACAGTGAATTCTTCTCGTTCGTGGTCTTCAACTCGTCCTACTCGAGACAGAACCGAATCGATATGTACCGGGACCTGACCAACGCCGTCATGAAAAGACCCATGGTCCACTTCTTCGACCCTCTCATCGTCGGGATCGAGGGGAACTTGACCGGCGAGTTCAGCCTGTTTGGATCGTACGCCTACGAGTGCGACTACCTGTTGGGAGATTCCGTGACCATGAAGCGACTCCGTGCGGAGAGATTCGACATGGTTGTCGGGGATGCCTTTGATCACTGTACCCCGCTCATATCCCAGGCCTTGGACGTTCCGTTCGTCTCATTTTCATCTTTCTTTGCCGTTCCTACAAAACATGGACACATGTACGTATGCCGCAGTCTGGGTGCTAGTGAGTATGTAAAACACCGGCAATCGTGGACCTATACAAAAGGGTTAGGGCACAAACGATATGTCCACGATTGACCGACAGTCCACGATTGAACTTCGTGTACAAAACCAATGAGAGCTGTTGTTAAAAAGTTTAAGTACAAAGTGTGGGGGTATAGGCTAGAGGGTCCTCTCTACGTTCGTAAACTAAAACAAACATTTAAACTTGCACACAATTAGAGTGCACATCGGATCAACATTGTTACTCGGACATTTAAAAGCTTTCCTTCCCCAACAGACGTAAACATCAATATAAATATTGCAGCGTGCCAACGGGGAGGCCAAGTTTATCCTGATAATAACGCAAACAGGCAATTTCGCACAGGGCAAAAAGTATTTCCAAGAACACGTGCAATTTTGCATGAGCGCTACTATAACAGGACTGTAAATGGGCTCTCTTTTTAACATGGGTATGTTTGCAGTTTAAAAGAGAGCCATTATACAGCCCTATCTGTAGGGCTATACATTTGCATCCAAATTGCTTGGCTACGATATAGTTAACAGGCGTATTTATGGTAGCTTCATCCGATAGCCTGTATACCATGTATAATTGCAAGCCATAGCCGAGCAAATTGGACGCCGCCCAACTTGGAATCTCTCTCTTTGTCTCCTGGTAGCTCCGGGCTTCCAATCGATCCGTCGTACATGCCGGAGCGTCTCCTCGGCTTCACTGACAGAATGACGTTCCTTCAGCGAGTCCAAAATTACCTGGCGTACCATTACGACGACTTCATATTCTCTCTATCGTTTCACGATTATGACAAGTTGAAGATCAAACACAATATCAGGCCGGAGCTCAGCACCTACGAGTCCAAAAAACAAGCCAGTCTCTTTCTGTTCCTCGGAAGCTTTGGCTTGGAGTTCGCCCGGCCCATGCAACCCAACACAGTCTATGTTCTGCATTCAGCTGGGCTAGGTTCAAACCAAACGGTAGGTAACAAGGTTACACATACCTGACATCATACACTGCATATTTCGTGCATCAGATTTGAAGTTAGCTAATTTTATAAACCAAATAAAAGTGAACGGCAATGCATCTGTATATTTCAGTTGACCGACTTTGGAAAATTATGGCCATAGCTTTAGGACTATCGTTTAAAAGGGACAATCTTCGAAAAAAAAGTGATCTACGGTTGGTGCACTGAATTACAAAATCCATGATCCTTAAACGTAAATGTGACTATGCTATAAAAAAAACACTTATTTTAGTCACTCTGATTTACCGCTTATTACTTCATCTATGAATGTTTAAATTGAGAAAATGACTTCTTAACCACTTTCATCATTTTACCATAAAATGTCAAAAACATAATAAAAAAGATAGTTTCGATAAAAGGATGTATAACGCCTCCACATGCCATATTATGACACCTTGATGTTGAACACAAACATTTAAGATGGCGAAGTGATACTTTCTATATGCGCCCTTTTGCCTCGTCACATAAAACAGAATGATCTCTAAATTTACACGCACTTTTGACAAACAAACTGAATACTGACACGTATTTTGTACAACAAACGCTCTGCTATACTTTGAAACGGAAGCCCGGATGTTAAATGGAAACAACGCCCTCAAAACCCCCAAAGTGACTTTATCTCCAAAAGTCCAAAATTCAAGTTACACCCTTTGGTCATGACAGAGCCGCCATGCATGCATGGTTGTAATAGTCGATAACTTGGGCATTAGCTCTAGATAATATTCGCAAACACTTTATTAGTTTGTGATCGCACGATGTGTTCATTACTCACTACAGTTCGCCTATTCATGATAGGCTGCCTGCTAGTGCCGGCAGTTGGCGCCAAAATCGAAAGGCAGTACAAGTTTTTATACTACAGTCCCACGGTGAATGGTAGTCATTACAATACCATGTGCAAATCTGCCAAGGTGCTGGTACAACGGGGCCACAAGGTGGTGTATCTGATGAGCGAGTCAGGCTCAACAGGTGAAACCACAGACAGTGAATTCTTCTCGTTCGTGGTCTTCAACTCGTCCTACTCGAGACAGAACCGAATCGATATGTACCGGGACCTGACCAACGCCGTCATGAAAAGACCCATGGTGCACTTCTTCGACCCTTTGGTGGCGGGACTCGATGGAAATTTGACCAGCAAGTTCAGCCTGTTTGGATCGTTCGCCTACGAGTGCGACTACCTGTTGGGAGATTCCGTGACCATGAAGCGACTTCGTGCGGAGAGATTCGACATGGTTGTCGGGGATGCCTTTGATCACTGCTGCCCGCTCATATCTCAGGCCTTGGACGTTCCTTTCATCTTAATTTCAACTTTCTTTGGCGGGCCTTCCCAAGATGGATACGTGTACGTATATATGCGCCCTTTTAAGTTTGTCGGAGGGAGGCTCTCTACGTTCGTCGACTGGACGAACATTAAACTTGTAAAAAAATTAGAATGCACATCGGATCATCATGGTTACGCAAATTAAAGCTTTCCTTCTCCATGGTGGAACTCAATATTGCAGTACGCCCCAGAGAGTTTTATCCTGATAATAACGCAAACAGGTGTGTGCTTTTTCGCGCGCAGGGAAAAAAATATATCATTTCCAGGAACACGTCTAAGTTTGCATTAGCCCTACAACCAGGGCTGTGTATGGCTCTCTTTTAACATGTTTTCTTTTGTAATCTGGCGACAGTAATAAGACCCATGTTAATTAACAGAGCCATTGACAGCCCCGTTTGAAAGGCTAACTACATATAATATAAACGGATCATTGCAAGCCATAGTCGGATCATTGCAAGCCATAGTCAAGTAAATCTGACGCGGCCCAACTTGGAAATTCTCTCTTCTGTCTCCTGATGGTAGCTCTGGGATTCCAATCGATCCGTCGTACGTGCCGGAGCGTCTCCTCGGCTTCACTGACAGAATGACGTTCTTTCAGCGAGTCCAAAATTACATGGCGTACCGTTACAACGATTTCATACACTCTCTATCGTTTCACGATTATGACAAGTTGAAGATCAAGCACAACATCAGGCCGGAGCTCAGCACCTACGAGTCCAAAAAACAAGCCAGTCTCTTTCTGTTCCTCGGAAGCTTTGGCTTGGAGTTCGCCCGGCCCATGCAGCCCAACACAGTCTATGTTCTGCATTCAGTTGGGCTAGGTTCAAACCAAAAGGTAGGTAACAAGGTTACACATAGGCCTACCTTATATCATACACTTCAAATTTCGTGCGCAAAGCCGTGAAAGCACAGAGAAAGGTGTGTCCTTTCTCTATGGTAAAAGCCAGTTCATTCATCCAAACCAGTAAACCTAGGTCCGCCTTGGTGTCGCTATGAGAAGGGCCAGTTCAACCAGCTGCGTTTCATACCATATGCCTACATTACGTAAGAGCGAATTTAATGAAGTATACTTTGATCCATTCTCAAATAAGATCGAAGCCGACGTTGCCGACTTCCTAGACACAGCCCCGAATGGTGTGGTCCTCTTCTCGTTGGGCACCTATGTCTACTTTCGGGAGCGTGAACGGGCCCAACTGTTCGTGGATGGTTTCGCTAAGCTACCGCACCGAGTGCTCTGGCAGGCGAAAAGGGATCTGCCCTCGGGGGTCGAGCTCAGCAAGAACATTAAAATCGTCAAGTGGTTACCGCTACCAACAATCATGGGTGAGTCAACCATCCCCGCGCCTTTTTTCATCAGACATTGCAGTACACAACGATGGGAACGAGGCTATACCAAGCCTTAGTTGGCTTAGAGAGGGTAATCTCTGTTTTCCTTGAACTTTCATTGGACAGTTTTTGTTCAACCAGTGACCGGGGTCAGTACTTCCGCGTGCGCACAATATGTGCGCATATAGAATGTACAAACAGTACATGCATTAAACTTGAAGGTGAGCTATACCCTTACCAGAATTCGCTCTTTTCTCACTTCCGCCATGGGCATGCAGAGCCGCGATCTGGCAACTTTACACAATAAATATAGCCGGTTCAGTGATTCCCGTGTCGGGGTTCAGATCACTGAACCGGCTATTTTTATTGTGTAAGGTTGCCAGATCGAGGCTCTGCATGCCCAATGGCGGAGTGTGAAATGAGCGAATGCTTTGAAGATACTTCGTTTCCTCCAGGGCGAAGCTTGCAGCTTTCGATAAAAACGTCTTGGAAGCCGATGCTGTTACCCTATTAACACCATCGGAAACAGTCTTTGATATAACGACTACAGTGAATCTCATCCTGAACAGTGGCGTATCCAGAGGGGGGGGGGGGGGGGGGGGCAGGAGAAAAAACATTTCGGCGTGGATGTGCGGTTGCCCCCTGACATCAAAAGCTGGATACGCTGCTGGTCCTGAACCCGTAAAGCTGTGATGCCCTTTTTTCTACTTACAGAACATCCTAACGTCATGGTTTACGTCAGCCAGGGCGGGGCGCCCTCTACCTATGAGGCCATGTGGGCTGGACTCCCCATAGTAGGGATACCATTCTTTGAAGACCAGGCCGATAACATACTCCGCGTGGTGGACCGAGGTGCAGGGTTGTCGCTTGACTTCGCTTCGCTGACATCAGACATCCTCGCTGAAACCGTCAGCAAAGTTATTACGGGTCCTAAGTGAGTTCTTAAGGACCAATTCGGGCACACTGTCGATATTACAACCAGGAAGGCTGCCTTCAATGGGTTGTAAAAATTTTGAATTCCTGACGCTCCGTGGTGCGATCCGAGGCAATTTCTGACCACTCAAACCAATTTTTTTTTTAGCAAAAGATCAACATTTAAACATCGTTTTGGAAATAAGAGTAATTGAATCAGCTATTCTGAGCTATAGAATCAAAATGTAGGCTACAATATTTATTCGGGGACGAAAAAAGTTGGGGGGTGGGCAAACGATAGATATCCCCCACTTTAAAAAGTGTGGGGGGGGGGGGGACTTCTTCCAACTGTCCCCCACCGATTGACACCTATGGTGTTACCTTAGAGCTGGCCTATGCGATCTTGTGGACATCCAGGGGCAAGGTAAGGGAATGAATAATCTTGTTTTGTGTCTGTTATCGACTTGTTTAGATTCCAGAGCAATGCCCGGCGCGTCTCTCTGATTCTACGGGACCTTCAGACCTCCTCTCCCCCGTTGGAGACGGCAGCTCACTGGATCCTTCACGTCACCAAGTTCGGCGGTGAACACCTGCGACCGGCCGTCCAAGACCTGAATTACATCCAAAGGAATCTTCTGGACGTCTACGTGTTCCTTTTTGCGATATTGGCCGTTATTTTGGGAGCAAACGCTTACCTCTGCTTCTGTTGTTGCAAATATTTGTTTGCAAAGAAAAGCCACCCTAAAATGGAGTAAAGTTGTGTTGTAGGGATAGTTGGGCGTTATGAAAATTGAAAATTTTCAAAATGTTGTTCATTATTGAACTCAGTCAATTATTTAATGAAACAAAAGGGGCAATTGCAATGCATCTGTAAGTTTCAGTTGACCAATTTTGGATTTATTTTAAGATGAAGGTTGTAATTGAGAAGCTTTGGAGACAATTAGTCTTCTACGGTCACTCCAATGAATTACAAAATCTCCAGTCTTAAAAATTATGAGGATTATCATGACAACAATGGCGATAACTTTTGTAATTTTGGTATGTAACAAACTATGATATTAATATAATGCAACATTAAAGCTTACAAATATTAATGTCTGGTTTTTCCGCTGCAATTTTCAAGTTAATTTCCCAATACCTGGGTTCATGGATGATCGTTATTGTTACCTTTAGTTTTTCAATAGATAACTTTACGATGTCCACAATCCAGCTTAAAGCATATCTTTTCGGTTTACATTTTGTCAAATTTACCTCAATTTTAGTTATTGAATTAAAACTGCCATTTTTAATATACGGACAATAATTATATTATCAGTTAATATTCGTAAACAGTGAATAGAAGTTAAATGCGATTTTCTGAAAGTCAAAGGGAATAAAATACATGAAGGGAAACAATTCGGGGGAAAATTTAAAAACGTGTTCCTGTTCTTTTCGGGGGTGATGATAGTACCGACAAAAAGCCTCTGTACTTATGACGTCACACTTTGTTTACGTGTGTGCTTTCCTATGTTGCTCAGTGGACCGTGGACCCCCACTGGCTCCATAGAAAAGTGCACATGTAAACAAAGTGTGACGTCATTAGTACAGAGGCTTAATTATATTGCCCCAAGGGTAAAATCCAAACTCTCTAATGCTGGGCATCCCGTCTGCTCCCCTTCCCCGCCCATCACATACCTCTCCGATGATTCCCGCGAGACGGCTGACTGCCCACACCAACATTGAAATTCTGGAATCGAGACTGAAAGTAAGCAATTTTGTCTTTAAACTTCCGGATCCCTCCGCGACCCTGGCATTTTGCACGCGTGGTTGCCCTTCTACTTGGTACTTGGTACTAGTTTCCTCCTGAAACATCCTCTAGGGATCTTGACTAGGAGGTCACGGGGAGGTGTCGGCACCTAGGTCTCGGTCACGATGTGGCTATAATAGTTGTCCCTAAAGGTCTCGTGCGTCAAAGAGTCAGTGATGTGTTGACGAGGCAGGTCATTCTATAATTTAATTGTCCTTGGAAAAAAATGCAGTTGAGGATGTTTGCACTAATGTTGAATTGGTTGTTGTTCCCCCTCCTGGATCTCTGTATTTTTGGTTGAAGATAGTCTGAAGCATTGATGTCAACGGTGTGAGTGATGATCTTGTAGAGTTTAATCATCTGGTGGGTTTCCCTTCTGTCAGTTATTAACTTCTCCCATCCCAAGAGACGATAACATATACTCTGTCTGGCGTAGTGAACAAAGCGTGCAGCTAGCTCTGCGCTGAATTTTCTCTTGCTATAAGTTTTGTCAGAATGATCTCTATAACCATAATCTTGGTACTTCACAAGAAAAAATGATGAGAAAATCAGTTGGAGATGGGTAAAAACGAATTTTATTTCTTTTGACATCAGTTTCGTACCTAACTAAGTCGTTCGATCACGTTTGTTTTGACATCGCGTACTTCTGTGAGAACGAAAATGATTACGACGCCAAGCTTTACCTATCTATATATCCCGATGGATTCTATTGCTTGAATACATGAGTTCTTATCAACAGCCATTTTAGAATTTTTGTTTGTCTAAATGAGAATTAATCCTTCAAGTTTATAAATAGTGTGTCCCGAAAGACATTTTAGTCTCCTATTTAAGTTTCAGTTTTTACCCAATGACCACCAAAAAATAATTTCATAGTTTTTCATCTTTGCACGTGCGAGTTCCACCAGTCCACATGTATTTTCGGAAGTGAGAGGTCAGTTTTTTGGCACGATATTTCTCTTTAATGTCATGCGATTTTTCATTTTCCATAAATATTGAGATGCTAGTGAAAAATTTACAGAGGCCTTTTCCGAGGTTAATTTTCTTCAGAAATCAATGTACCAAAAATAATTTTTAAAAATCGGACTTTTTACACGATCAGGCTAATTAATAATTTTTTTATTCGAGCTAGGTCCGGAGCGCCACCTTGGTTTTAATCAGGGTTTGAACTGCTGTACCTTTGACTCACCTGTGGACATGGAGTCTAACTGAAGTATTCTTTTGTCATTTTCTATTTTCAACCCATGACTCACACGCGCTTTCAACATTTTGACCAATGGCATCGCGGTTAGGTGACGAGCTGGCGGGATTACGTAATCGTTTATTGTGTTGACAATCAATTTTGCGCTGCTAATCTGACATGACATCGATGACTCATCTAGCTCGCGCGATAACACTTGCACACGAAAAACACCATAAAATTGCCGTGTTTTCCTAACATCAACTTCACAACCTAGTTGGGTCACACTTGAGTAACATGTCTAACGAAAATTCCACCCGGAGCGATAGCTCTAACTCGTCTGATTCAGAAGAATCGTGCGTGCTGTCCGCGCTGAAACTGGACGGAGAAACTCCGGCATGCAAGGTGGCGGACTCGAAGACACAAGCCGATGGGGCTGCTGGCGGCGTTTCGCCGGGTGGGTCGCCGTCCGGAAACACGGCAAATTCCCTCGGTCTAGCGGAGGGTCTGGACAAGCTGCTGCAGAAACAACGCAGGTATATTATCTTGACAAGTTCGGTGTTTTTACCAATTTACAAGCATAACATAAAAATAGTGGATATATTGCCGGATCCGGCTTTCTCCCTTAAAAGAAACGGGCCAGGACATTCCTATACACTTTACCATGGTATTCTACCGCCACAACTTTTCATTGTTCAAATGCAAGTATACATTCTGATATTTACAAGCAAATTTTTTTTGTGATTTTGCCTGGTCAGACATGGCGTCAGAATACTTCATTTATAGTAATTTGCGAATGGCATATTTAATTAAATTGATTAACGTAATTAGCCATATAAATGAAACTTGGGATGACTGTTGAAATTTTAAAATATAAAAGTTTACCTTCAGAGCCATTATAAATTCACCCATATAAACAATCAACTACACATTTTTTTTACCACCTGTTGAAACTTTACATACTTAGGCCAAAAAAAAGTCTCCCGTTTCTGGTAGGGAGCTTGCCCCAAAAGTGGGGCGGCTTTTCTTTTCTTTTTTTAAACTTTTTTTCCCTTCAAATGTCGGCTGATGACTGCAAAGGGTGCCCGACTAAATTTAGTGCAAAATGTATTGGAGCCCAGAGATGCCACCTAAAGCTTATACTCGATCGTAACCCCATGTAACAACACGTTAAAATTGTGCAACAGCAGGATTCCAGTCAAACCAGTGAGTTTGGCGGTTTTGAGACATCATCTTACATTGAAAAAAACCTTTTTAATTTTGCCGACGCGCATGGCTACGGCGACACGCGCGTATACCAGAAACCGGAGACTTTTTTTTTTGGCCTAATATTCATGTCGGAACATAAACCTGCGGCGGTCCGGTTCGATTAAACTCTTAAAGATATAGTCCATCATTTGTAATTTGTGCATTTTGTTCGTTTGAAGCAACAAAAGTGATCAAAATCTAATGAAGGATACTGAACAACTAACCTGATGAAGTTTCACTCAGCTCAGCTTCAGCTGTATATTCCGAGAAAAAACGGCATTCTAGGATCTCAATTTCAAATCAAAAGTTGCTGAATCATGTTTTGAATTGTTTTGAATTGCAGCTATACGCGATGTCGCGCACTGATCCGACGAATTATAGCAACCGCGCGCGCCTGTGCATCGTGACAATGCTTGCGCGCGCTGCGCTGAATAACAAAACAAACTACTAATTTAAATTTTCCTACGGTGCGTCTTAAGACGCACCGTTGGAAATGCCTTCTTTTGTTGATTACTTCAAAATAATAGCTTGCCAGAAAGATTAATTTCACAGGGAGTTTAGTCCACTTACTATCTTTCAACCAAGTATGTTTTTCAACAATAATACGCCAGTTACTTTTTCGGATGGCTGCAAATGATGGACTATAGCTTTAAAGGATGTGGCCAATTGATGCATTAAGGAAAAAGGAAGTGTTTTGGCCTGTATTAGGCTACATAGCAGTGTTTTGAATTGTTTTGAAATGTCAGAAACCGTACCGACAGGTTTGCGTAGGTTGTCGTTGGGTTACCCATTTCCTGTGTACATATTCCTGTGACCTCGTTTGCGGCAGTTTTAAGGGTTTGCACTTCCATGTGTTTGTCACGTTTTTCTTGCAGTAATTAAGTGTGGTGAAGACCGGGACCATGAGTGCAGAAAAACATGCAAAACAAAATAGGCCAACTTTACTCGCGATGTTTAGCTAAACAAAATTTACCAAAATTTTCATGAGGTAACGACAAGATCCTGAGTATTTCACCAGCCAATTTTGAGGTACCAAATTGTTAAATTTTTAAAGGAGATTTTCTTCAACATTTTCAGAGTGACGTCAAGTGATTTTAATTTGAAGCCAAAGACCGGTTCATATACTCAGCGCGAAAGTGAACGCAAATTTGTGACATCGCAGACAAGTTTTCGCGCTGCAAACTCGCAAAAGTTGAACACAATTCAAATGCGGCGAATTTCGCAGCTTATGCTTCGTACGTCAAATTCGTATCACACTCGCATGAACAACGAACCGGCCTTAAAACTAGACTGGTACATGTCCAACTTTTTGAAAAGATTGACACTTCAGTAGTCTGGTGGCGTGACTATGGAGAATGTGTGGAAATAAAGACTAGGAACCAGAGGTTTCTTCTGACACAGTTGAGTGATGCAGCTCTAAAGGGGTGTGGGACTGGTAATGCCCCCCCCCCCCTCCCCCCGGGCTGCCCCACCCAAGACGTGGGGATTGTCACTTTTGAAGTGACAAAATACTGAAGGGTCAATGTCTTTTTGTACTTTGATAGGCACATAATTGTTTCATTTTCCAGTCTATTTTCTAGTATTGCAAGTTTTCACATGCAAGTTTTCACATCTTAAATTTTATGACTCTCATGTTCAGTATTGTGAGTCCCAAATTTTCGGACTTATGTAGGGGCCTTGGCTGTCCCCAAACAGGTGATAAAAATCCTTTCATTTCATCTTTTTGTACTTCTATGACAGTGATTTGCTGTTTGAGCTGAGGAAACTCCAGCACGGCCAACGACCGGTGACAAACACAGACAGACGCGAAACACTGGAGGAGTTCTTCTCCGATGCCCTCGGTCAGTCGTCAACCCCAGGTCAACCGGAGGGTGGTGTCCCAGCGAGACGGCAAGCCAGCCGGCCAGAGAGCGTTGTGTCTGAAGTCCAGGGACTGTCTGAGCGCCGCCCCGTATCATCCGTGCTCGGCAGCGAGTCGTTCCGCCGTAACCTTGAGGATGTCATCCGCGGGACTCTGGTCCGACAAGATCGAGAACTTCAACAGGTACGGATGGGCATCCAAGTTTAACTTTAAGTAAACGTTCAGCGAAACTTTCACTCGCCGTTTAAATATTTAAACATTCTGCCAACAGCTTAAAAAAAGCTGTTGCCTGTCCCAGTAAATTGTTTACACCAAATCTGGTTCACCTAATAGATAATCACCATAAAGGGACATTCTGTTAAACTAACTAAGATATGATGAAGGAATAAGGTGATTGTAATTCTTTGCAAAGTAAATCCGTTGAAGGTAGTTTCAAAAACGAAGACCCCGAAAACGAAGACCAGGGGCCAATTTCATAGAGCTGCTTAAGCACAAAATTTGCTTAAGCACAAAAAACTTGCTTAATAAAATCAGGTTACCGGCCAAAACTCCATGCGATTGTTATGCTAAGTAAACAACAGCTAAATACCAGTCACAAGCAATGTACATCACATGGAGTTTTGGCCGGTAACCTAATTTTACTAAGCAATGTTTTTTCGTGCTTAAGCAAATTTTCTGCTTAAGCAGCTCTATGAAATTGGGCCCTGTTTTCAAGTGGGTCTTCGTTTTCGAGTGAGTCTTTGTTTTGAGTGGGTCTTCAGTCTTCGTTTTAGGGGTCTTTGCTTTCGATACTACCTCGATTGAAAGGATCCTTACTTCTTTGGAAAAAAACACATCTTTGACCTGTAGCATAAATATCAGGTGGCATTTTCACATTTGGGTTCCGTTGAAAAATTTGGAAAACTATGTGAATGGATTTCAATTTTTTTTCATTGGAACGTAATAACTCGCGAACATTACATCCTTATCGATACAATAGGCCATACGTCTGCGGGCAGCCGGCTTTGATGTGGGGAATTCTAGAGCCCCGTCCACCGGGTCGAACGCGGACACGCTCCAGCAGCACATGGAGAACTTGAGCCAGCTCAGCCATTCGTCTTCAAGTTCACACCCATCGGGCCTGGGCGATATGTCGGTCTTTCCACCCCCGCCACCCCCACCGGTGCAACCCATGATGCCTCAACAGCCACAACTGCAGGTAGTTAGTTTAATTGTTAGTGGCGGATCTGGGACTTGCCAAATGCTGGGATTTCTGGGGGGGGGGGAGTTGAAGTCTAAGATTTTGAGGGGGGGGGGGAGGAGGTGGTGAGGCATGTTGCAGTCAATGCATTGAAAGACTAAAAAACTTAAGCAGTGATTCAAGATTTGAGATATTGATGTAAGTCAGGGAACTTAAAGACACACTAAACGTTAGTCTGGCTGGGGGGGGGGGGGACTAGCCATCCTATCCACCCTTTCTTTGATTCAACCTTGAACGTTGTTGTTTTTAATTTTTTCCATTGCCAAAAATCTGTTCTCAGTGTGCAATATGTGTATGCTCCAAAAATATCGTTCAAAGGCACATCTTGTGACTTTTTTCCAAAAGATATTAACAGATATTTGTACATGTTGTGTGGCTTGTTTATTTGGACATTGTTGTCTGATTCTAGCTTTCTGTTGTTTTGTTAAACGCAGCAGTTTCAGCAGCAACCTGGCATGCAGTGGCGACCGCAGCAGCCGCAATGGCAGCCCAACATGTACCACCAACAACCCTGGCAGCAGCAGCAATACGCACAGTGGCAGCAGCAACAACAGCAGCAGCAACAGTGGCAACAACAACAACAGCAGTGGCAGCCCCCAGTCCAACCGCAACAACCTTGGCTTATGCAGAATAGGTACTGTAGATATGCAAGTGTACAGCGCGTCCCAAAATACCCGCAACTTTTTTATTTGCGAGGCTCTGGCGTCGGCGCGGAAACACGTACCGCTATTATTTTTATACCATTTTAAAGCTTGGAATCTGAACTTCATCCCTGGAGAGTATTGGTTTGATATTTAAAAAAGAGTTAACATTATTTCTGTTCAAATAAAGGAAACAAACTCAACCGATTTCAAGGTAAATCGATGATGTGGTACATCAGATGCAAACTCGAGTCACACTTTGAGCGCACTTTTTGAATAGGTATATACTTGCACGTGAATTTCAAAATTGAACTTGAAAGGAAGAACAATATTGTGAATGGATTTTAGGTGTTGTCAACGTGGATCGGAAAGAATGGGAAACACATAACTTAAAAGGCAACATATCGTCACATCATGAACATGATGAACCATTTCCACATTAGAAAAAAATGTGCATGATTGATTTTCCTTGAAATCGGTTGAGTTTGTTTTTGACATGTCTTTATTTAAGCACAAATCATTTCAAAACCCTTTTAAAAATCATACCAATACTTCCCAGGGATAAAGTTAAGATTCCAAGCTTTAAAATGATATAAAAATAGTGGCGGTACGTGTTTCCGCGGCGACGCTAGAGCCTCGCAAAAAAATGTTGCAGGTTGCTTGGGACGCGCTGTATTATGCAAGGATCCACAATTTTGGGGGATTTGTTCTCAAACAGTAACCATACCCACAAAATTTCTGTTGAAAAAATTTCTCTATGAAAAAAAAGTTTTTAAAATTTGAAAAAAGAAATTGACTGGAGCAGGGTTTGAACCTGCGACTTCCAGATCATCATTCCAGTGCTCTACCAACTGAGCTATCCAGCCCTATGTTGGTGGTACCCCATTTTGTCACTGTCTTTGTTCAAGGGGTGCTAGTCAGAAACCATAAACCCATAAATACCATGTAGCAGGGATCACGCCCAAAGTCTCAATTTCTTAAAAATAAATTATGTTGTATTACACAATGTAACATCTTGCAGCCCTGCACCGCGGCCAAATAACAACGGCGGCATAAACATGGTAGCCCTCCTGCAACATGTACAGAGGGAGGAGACGGTCTTTGAAATCAGCGACCTGGTCCAACGCCAGGTGGTTTCATCGATGCTCAACAGCAACTTCAGGGGGACCCTAGAAAACACCATGATGGTATGCTTACTTTTTTAAAACAGTCCTCACTAGTCCTCGCAAGTTCTCATCAGTTCTCACAAGTCCTCATAAGTCAATACAAGACCTCAGAGGTCAATACACATCCTTATCATCAAGGACTTTTTAGTCCTCACAAGTCCTCATATTCAATACAGGACCTTACAGGTCAACACAAGTCCTCAAAAGCCCTTTTTTGTAAGTCCTCACAAGTCCTTACAGGTATTTTAGCCCTCATAAGTCCTCACAAGTCCACACAAAACCTTACAGGTCAACAAAAGTCCTCACAAGTACATTGACTTGATTTGTATTGTATGGACTCGACTACAGTTCCAAGCTGGTAAGCAAAAAATTCGTACTAAGCAAAAAGCAGCAAGGACCATCAGTCACAAGCCTTAAAAAATTAAAGATATAAATTTTTAAAAAATGTGAAATTATCAAATCTTAGTGCATATTTTTGCAGTACACTTCAGATTTTTTAAGAGATCTGGTTTGATCGGCCATTGATTCTAACTTTTATTCCTTGGTAGTATTTTTTTTCTGAAAATAAAATTCATGATTTGAACAACAGGGTCGTCTACAGCAGACCGAGGCTGACGGCCTGAGTGTGCAGAACTTTGTCCAGTCACTGCAGCAGAGCCACCGTCACCAGCGCAACGACTTCAGCCACCTCGGTATCCATGCTCCAGCCAGACAGCAATCTGCACCGGTTTCTGCTGGTGGCCCCGCAACATGGGTAAGTTGCATGGCGCGGTTCAATCTTTGCAACGATCATCACATTGCTCATTTGTTTTGAGACCAAGTCAATGTTGCTAATAATGGATATAGGACGACAAACACTGTACATGCGCATTGCCATTCAACACATAATTGTTCCAACAGTCTAAGGACATCAACTGCACGTTCTCTATAGGTTTAAATTGTATTGTTTTGTTTTAGGCTGGTTCCGAGCTGGACACCATGCGTCGGCAGATGGAGGAGATGCAGACCATGATGCGGCTGACCTTTGAACTCCAGCTTGACATGCAGAGATCCATCAGACAGGAGGTGGCTGCTGCCCTCAATGGCCAGCATCGGCCAGGTGAGCAAATTACGTAGCTTAACCAGTGACCAATTTTGGTTTGTTTGTAAAAGCTTTTTCATTAAAGAATTATTTGAAACGTTTCCAGACTTTTTGCAGGAATGGTAGAAACTCAACATAGCAAAGGCAAAGCCAAAACTGAAGCCAAAATTTTAAAAGTGGTTCTGCTTTGTTCATAGTTTTATCGTTTGCGCTGCAAGTTGTTAATTTCACTTGTGATCGTGTCTTTCTTCAGATTCCAACAGTCAAGCCGTCGCTGCTCCAATCCCGCCCAGCCAGCCGGCCAGTGAGGGCCAGTGCGTCATCTGTTTGGAGAAGTCCGTGGACGCGGTGTTGTACCAGTGCGGCCACATGTGCTGCTGCCTGTCCTGCGGTCTGCGACTGAAAGGAATGGGTTCCCACTGTCCGATGTGCCGGGCCCCGATCCGCGACGTCATCCGGGCCTACAGATGCCAGAGGGATTAAGAAGGGATTAACCCTAGTCTGGATATGGATTATGTTCCCCCATTGCAGCGGGTCCTAATCCCTAGCAAGCTGCTGGGGTACAGATGCCACTTAATAATGTGAATTTATAAAGTGCAGATATCCACCAATATTTGTGCTCAATTAAGGCGCTGCATCATTATTATCTTGCTTATTTGGCCAATGAAACATTCCAAATACAATCTCAGCTCCCTGGGAAGTATCCAGCTTGATGCAGTCATTTTTGGCACAGAGCAGCTAGAACCATGGCCATCTCTACCCTTACAGGTACCCATTTACTCCCGGGTGGAGAGAAGCAATGAGTGACAAAGTGCCTTGCCCAAGGGCACACGCACCATGACCCCAGGCTGGACTCAAACCAACAACCTGCAGAATTACCCGCAGACCACAAATTCAACACTCCAGACCATGAGGCCACGTCACTCCACACATCAAGATGAAAAAATCAAAGCCATTCTTGAGAACTGTTGCGCTCTGACCTTGTTGAATTGACCTATCGCCTTTTGCGAGTTAGCCACGCCCCTTAGACAACCCTATGGAATTTTTGTACATTAAGTTTTGTCTCAGATTTTGCACGTTCCGCGTCCATTTGCATATCATGTAATTAGACAGTATTTCACAAGCTGCGTTGACGAGATTTTCCGGCGATAGGTTAATTCAGACGTGCTGTATTCAAGCTTAATGCATGTACATGAAGTAGGCTCAGAATTTTCCCGGTCCTCGGACTACTTGGCTGCGGCTTTCATTACACATACGTCTATGTAAGCGGCTGAATCCACTTCACATAGACACGTGTGTTACAGGCAGCCTTATAGCCACATTATTAACTTGTTTCAGACTTTTCAGAAAGCTGTTGTAAGACGCTCGCTTGCAGGACCCACTGTGAAATTCAACGGCAGACTAAAACAAAGATTACAAAATTAAGTTGTCGGTTTTTATTCAAATTTCACTTAATTGAAAGCATGCGATGAATTGTACAGAATAACTCAACAATGCTTTCATGGGCTTTAAAGTTGCAAAAATGTATGCATTGTGTATTTAACCGAAGATTGTTTGTTTTACCCATAATCATAATAATAACAATTTACACTTATAGAGCACATAACATTAACATTTCAATGCGCTTAACAAAGATAGTTATATTACCATTGCAATACTGTAATTTATGTTGTAAAGAAAAGTTACACTGAAGAGCATTTACTTTAATACTGTAGAATATTCTGAAGTTTGATACATGTAGTTTTTTATCAATAAAACTTTTGCAATATTGAATATAATGTTCGTGTTGCTTGTTTGATAAATTTGTACAGAGTTGGAGGTTGTGCATTTATGATGAATTAGAAAGAGAAATTGGGGTGGGGGGGGGGGGTCGAGCAGCTTTTACGGCGTAAGACAAATTGAGGAAATCACCAAGGCTTGAAAATAATTAAATTATTTTTCCAAAAATCATGAAGGCTATTAAAATAAGAAAATAAACTAAAAAGTAAATGGATTGTTTAGCTTAAAAAATAATGATTCAATATAATTTTGGATTTACATCATGATGTTACATTTTAAGAAAATGGGTGGGAGGGGCACGCGAGAAAGGGGCGTCGACACAAGTTTTCTCGCACACTCTTTCCCCCAAGAAATCTACATAGCGCCCTCTCGCAAGACACATGTTGCAGTTGCCAATAGAGGGCGCTCTTTCATAAACAGCGCGCGTCAACTGCAACTACTTTGACAGGTGCACGTGTCTGGAAGAAAGCACAGACTAACAAGTTAGCGAGGTTGGTTTTAAATAAAGAAAACAAAGAACTTTTGGTTGCCGGTGTTTATTTCAGTGTGGTAGAATGCAGTATTTTATAGTAACTCCCGGTGTTTTTTTTGGAGAAAAAATTTATTATTAATATTTCTGTAGGCTACATAAAACGCTGTGGCTATAGTTATGGCAGTCGACCGTCTGGTTCGTTGACCTGACAATATTCGATGTCCGGATCTTTTGGCCTCGGGAACCAGACCATCAACCGAAGGGTTCTTCTTGGACTATATATTATTATTATTGATAGTGGATATATTGCCGGCAACAATCCCTATCAACAGAGGGTGCTGTACTCTTAAAGATAGGGCTGAATTATAAGAAGTATTAAATTCCCACCAATGGTTGTGTAGCACACTTGGTCTAGTGGATAAGCAACGGATCTCATGAGCGGGAAGACCCGGGTTCGATCCCGATCCCCGCTGGTGACAATTCTAACTCTAAGGTTTTTTTCCCCATCCCCAAAAAATAAGAATATTCTTCTTTATTACTTTAACATGTCTCAAACATTTTATTGCAGAGTATTATATTTTCTTTTTCAGATTTGTGGCTCTGGAGGATTTTTTTCTATAGGGAAATAAAGTCCGAAATTGTAAAATGGTCTGATCCCCATCTTGTGAATACGAAGTTGCAACGATAATGTTGGCATGGAACCAGACTAAAATTTGTCACCGGAAAATGTCTATGTACAAAAAGTTCGGCTAAATATCCACTGCCTTATTTTAATTTGAAATATAGACTGCTATTGCTATGGAAGCATCTTGCTTGGTAAATAGCCAGGAAAAAATTAATTCCACATCTCTCAGCATTCAGTTATAGGCCTATCCTGCCATTTTCAGAGAAAATTTTGACAAAATATTCCAAAATAACTTCAGGATTTTTCCTTGAGGTCATGGACAAGCATGACCTTTTGATTTTCTCTGGTAATTAACCATACATACCTAGGAAAGTATAGCTTCCATGGTGAATAGTAGTCTATGTAATGTGAGCAGATTCGATGATTAATTAGGCAAGACAACCACCTCTTGACCTCTAGATTTTGACCAATCAGTGGGTGCTTTTTATATCAGGTCTTCGGTCATTCACCCGTTGTGCGTCATAGACAATGGATAAAAAAAACCTGTGTCACGCGCTCTGTATCATGTTACGTGATAATGCGCCTGGCTGTTGTTGACCTCTGAGTGCATCATGACTTGGACAGCATATTTTGTATGATTTTGACTTGTCAATTGTCAGGGACTGAACTACAAGTTCAACTTTGAGTCTTTCTAACAACCCCCCCCCTTTTTTATTGTTTATCTCCAGGGTTTGATGATGACAGGACCTTTGCAATGAGGACGCGTTGTGGCATAAGGCATCCTTTTAAACTGACAACAGAAGGTGACGGAGTCGACAGTGAGTACCTTCAGTTTTTATTTTGCCATTTTTTTTAACTTGAGCTACAGTCGGGCACTAAGAAATAGTATAACGCCCTGAAAACCCACAGCCATTATAAGGCTGAGTAAAAAAAAAAAATAGTTTCTCGTCGGGGCTTTTTGAAAGAACGATGGAGGCGGGCACTTTTTTCTCCTTTTTTTTTTTACTCAAGACGGCAGATTGCTTCTTCCATTTTCTCGACACTTTTCTGATACAAAATGGTGACCAAAGGACCTGTAGCCCTTTATTTATAGCGTCAATTTTGTTGGAAACAAATAAAAAGACAATATATGGGCGATTTACATGTATTTGCTAAATATGTTGCAAATGTATGAATCTAAAAAAAAAGAATAAAAAAAAAGATGCGGGCGGAAGAAAAGGAAGCAGGTGGGGATGAGAAACTGGTTTATTTGTTTACTTGGCCTAATCACCGGGTTGTGTTGGCCTCAAAGTGAACATTTTGTGTACGCTCGTATTCTCAAACCCCTGAATTAATGTAAACAAATTCGTTGCGTGGAGACTGCGATTGGTTCCTGGAAGTTACCCCAAGGCTACACACAAATAAATGAGTACTAATGTGCTTATATAGTGCTTTATACCGCTTTATATAGACTGGGACCTTAAGTGCTCATAATGATGCAAAAGAAGATCAGGCCAACTTTACTCACCCTTTAGCCAGCAAATTTCTTCAAAACTTTCAAGGGGCAAAGAAAAGGGCCTCAGTATTTCACCAACCAAGTTTGAAGACTCAATTCAATTTTTAAAGGAAACTTTTCTTCAATATTTGGCAGTGGCTTGCATATGAGAGGGAAGTCAAGTGATTTTTAAAATGAGGCTAAAGCTAGACTTGTACATGTCCATCCATGGTCCAACTGTTTGACAAGACTGACTTCTTCTTTCATTGTCATTAGTCTGGTACCTGACTATGGAGAAATGTGTAGAAATAGTGACCTAGTACCCGACATCCTCGATATTTCTTTTGGCACAGTCAGCTGACAGTTGATGGATGCAGGACTGAAGAGTTGTTGGACTGGTTGTTTCAGATGCCAGTCTATTTTCTTGTATTGCATGTTTTCAGTACCTTAAGTTTTGGCACTCTCATACACAGTATTGAGAGTCCCAAATTTTTGGACTATGCTTTACTAGCGCTTTATAGTGCTTTACCGTGCTCCACCTCCCCGTCAGTATTCCCATCAGCACCAGACTACAAAATTATCAGCAGTCATTTTTTAAAACATATTTACGATCAAAAGTCTGCCAAATGAGCAACTTTAATTAAAACTTAAAAAAAAAATGTTTTAAAGAAACCCCATTTAATTGGAAACTGTATATGGAATGTACCTGGTAGTCGCGTTTGGTGCGTAACAAGATCTTTTTGCCAGCTGGCCCATGGTTTATTGACATTGAAAAGAATGCGAACAGAAAGACTGTTGAGCGCCCTCTCTTGAGCCGTGATGTGAAGTCGAATCCTATGCCCGATACCTTGGCTACAGCGTGACTATAAGGTCAAAGTCATTTTTGCATCAAATGAAGCAAAACATTGCGTTTGTCGCTCTGTCTGTACATTTACACTGCCTAGTTCTGGTGCGTTTAACAAACAAAAGGTCACTGCAATTAGACAGCGTCGACGCAAACATGTGCTCAGAAATTTATTAACGTTTGGTTAAACGTTTGTTTGTTGTTGTTTAGTTTACTGCATGATTGAAGAAGTAGCCAGTACAAATGAGGGATTAAAATCTGAATGAGAATTCTAACAGCGATGCCTGTTTTGCAGTCATAATTTGTGGGCGTTTTTGAATTGCATTGATTACTTGTATCCCTTCGAGATTAGTAAAAATACAACGGCTGTGATATTTCAGTGGTTTAAAGTTGCTGTAAGTTTGTTCTCTTCAGCGTATTCAAATTTCCTTTTTTACAAGTGTGTTTTATTCAAACGGAAAAGGGTACTTTTTTGATTATTTTTAGACATGTTCAGCCCCCTAAAAGGGCCATGTAATGTAATTGTTTCGATGCAATCTTTAAAAAAACACCTTTGTGTCCCATTTAACCTTATCTTCAATTTTCGTTTTGCCAATTTCAAGGGCATTTTGGTGCCTTTGTGTTTTTTTAATGCTAAGAAAAATTTCCATGTTCATGAGCAAAAGTGTGATGTCACTCCAGGTAGAAACCTGGATATTAACAGCTATTTCAGCACCAGAAGTTGCCAGAATTTTGGATATTTTGCCGTCATAAATTTGCTTTTCTTTGGTGATGTGTTGTTTTTTCAGTTCATGGCAGTGTAGCCAATAAGAAACTTTTTCTCACAAAAGTTTTCAAGTGAGCACATTTTGGGTTCACAATTCGAACAGGAAACCCCTGAACTGAACAGTGTCTGCCTGAAATGACATCACAGTAAAACAGCGCTCTCAGTTGTCTAGAAAAGCATGGACAATTTTTTATGTTTAAAGAAAGCCAGTTTTGAATAAAATTAACCAAAAGGGGATGTCAAATAGTTTCCCTACATTTAAGAGGAGTAGAAAGTTGAATCAAATATGTTCCCAAGTAAAATTTATCTCATTGTCCCTACCTACATGTATACAGGGTGAGTATAAAAAACCAACAAAAAAACAAATGTTGGGACCATTGTTTTAGGGAAGTTCTACATGTTGCATTTTCAAAATCTAGGATATGAAAGCCCAATTCATGAGCTTTCTTTTAGTACAAGAATCATTCAAATCACTCATGTACTTTTCAAGTTACGGAATTTTAAACACAACCACCGCTTTAAGGTTCTGTCCACGGATCGCAAAAATAGTTCAGTGATCTTTCAGCCAAACTAAAACAAATCACATAGGGATGTGTGTGAATTGTTTTCATTTTGCTGAAAGAACGCTTACCTTTTTGTTGATCCGTGGACAGAACCTTAAAATGGTGGTTGTGTTTAAAATTCCGTAACTTGAAAAGTACATGAGTGATTTGAATGCTTCTTGTACTGAAAGAAAGCTTATGAATTGGGCTTTCATATCCTAGATTTTGAAAGTGCTACATGCAGAACTTCTCTAAAACAATGGTCCCGACATTTGG